ACCGAAATGTACGGAATGTATAAGCCCGAAAGATGAAAAAAAAAAAAAAAAAAAAAAAAAAAAAAAAAAAAAAAAAAAAAAAAAAAAAAAAAAAAAAAAAAAGGAAAAGAAAAGGTGAGGGAGGGCAGATCAACAAAAACTGAAAATTCAAGCACGATACAGATTGACGTCAAATGAAGATCTCTCCCAGCAAAGGGAACATAAGCAGAATGCTTTATTGGAACCGATGATTCCGCAATTGATGTTCCACGAGGTTGTCCTTGCGATTGAACGTCTGATCGCAGGACACACACACATGGGAAGCAGGAAACACATGAATGGTTTTGATGTGTCTGCTTAAGTCCGCCCACCTGTTAAAGGTTGATCTGGTTTTGCAATTTGTCCAGCCGCACCGGAGATGGGTATTCCTGTTTGGATGTCAGCTGCAAGCTTCGCGGACTTTGCTCCAGGGGCAGGAAGGACAGCATACTCTTCCACGGGACTGTTTGCTGGTCTGGTCGATGGGTTCATTAATCCGGGGACAGCGAACCTATTCGACGGAACATTTTCTTGCTGTGTGCCAGCTTGGTAAAGCTGGTCCGGAGGCACGATACCTGGCTGAACCGCGGTAGTCAAGTCCCATCTCCCCACAGGGGTCGGCGTATTGTACCAGTTTCCAGCATCCCATGGGTACTGGCACGGACGTTCAAGGAAGCCCGGAACATTCGGACACCTTAAGTCGATGTGTGTCTGGACCTGATGATGCGGGGGTAGAGCGGCTTGGTTGAACAGGTCGTCTGATTGGGTGATATTAAAGGAGCTAGAATCTGGAGCGCGGAGGTTTCTCTGTGGCTTGCGTCTTCCGTCGTCGCCCGTTGCACCTGCAGTGTGTGGAGTCATGGTATGAGAAGAGTTTAGGTGGGCCGACATCGTGGAAAAAGCATAGAAAAGAAAGTGTATCGCGTTGCAGTATGAGATTTTGTGGAGAAACTGTTCAGAGATGGCATAGGATGTGAATGAAGTAGATATATTGCCCGTGAGCAAAAACGAAGCAATGGTTTGATTTTGATGAGAAGCCATGAGGAAAGATTTATATGACTACTTATTAGATAGGGCTCAAGGAGCCATGCATTCCTTGATTAAACTTCGACCTCACCCGTTGCAGTGCCTCGTACTCGTGGGCCCAAAGAATACCGTTCATCCTATCACAATGCCGTCTGATTATTTCCCAATACTTTGGTGTGGATTTATGACAGAACAGGTTTAGCACATGGTCAATTCGCGGAAGTCTAACCCAATCAGGTGAAGAGTTGACATCGAAAGAGCATGTCAGAGAAAAGCGATCGTCGGGCCGCGGGGTGATCGGTTAGTTACTACCTTGGTGTGAGTTCATGACAAAACCAGATTAGCGCAGAGCTACTTTCATGGCTGAGGATACCAGCCCAACACCATCTTACAGGGGTGTCGGAGAATAGATTCATATTTATAGCATGGTGTCATTGGTCACTCCCAGTTTATGGTAACAAACTAGAGCACTTTGAATCTAGTTATGAACAGTACGAACCTTCACATGTCAAGCCTATCCACGACCAGGTACAGGGTGAGGGGAATAGCAGACTCAATATCAGATGAACAAGCAGGGTAACCTATCCATTTCTTTTATCATCACAAGAAGTATAAGCTAAGCGTAAACATAATAACCCCAGTACTGTGAATCAAAAGGATTCGTTTCCGGCCCTATACACTTCGAGCGTGGAAGATAGGCCTGAATATAAGGGAGACGCTACCGCTGCACCGGCCAGCCTTTGCTTATGTCACACCCTGTCGCCTACCTGACATGCTCTTTTGAGCCGGCAGAATCCCACCGCCTGTCATTTAATGTCTTAAACATCATGTCGCTATAAAGAAGGCGATGGGGTCTCTGCCTGTACTCAAAACAATTCTTACCTCCTAAGGTAGGCGGAGGGCAGGTGAAGAGAGGCCCGTGTGGCGGTAGTGCCTCTCTAATAAAATCGCTAAAATTAAATGAACTGAAGAATCAACACTCTTGAATAGCAGTTCTGTAGGATCAGTTAAATGTACTGGAACCCATTATGTTGCGAAAGAGAATGAGACTGATCAAAAGAGAATCGTGTGGTAATACAGAGACAAACCATATCATTTTATCCTCCGCTGGACACTCAATGAGCCGGCTCATGTTATAGACGGGCTTCACATAGCTTTCCACATTCAGAGGATAAATGCCATTATATCCGTACATGAATTCCGCATGTGCTCGTACGAGCCTTGATGCAGGGGAATGTATGATCTAGATATATACACAGGTCTCCATCTTCATTCTGGGGGGAAAGAAGTCGAGAATTCATATAGCTTATGGTATTGACCCCTACTCCTCCTCTTCCTCCCCCTCATCATTTTCATCTGATCAGCAAAAAGCCCCTTCTGCTTCCTCGTATCATACTGCACCTCCCCTTCATAGATCCAATACGCGGGAGGCTCCTGACCCAGACTTCCCGGTCCACAAGACGGATACTTGAGGATGGCAGGTACACCGACCAGCTCCTGGCCCGTATTAGCCACCAGCCGATTACCACAATGTTCGATGTGGTCAATGGCCGCCGTATAGCTATCCAAAATACCCAGGTTTCCCGATTGAATTGCCCGAGCCATGCGGTGCCACAGGAAGGCACAATGTCTCACATGGTACCAATGATCAACGTAGACGTATTCCCAGTCACCGTTGGGGACGTCAGATTTCGAGCCAGGTTGCCTACCCGATGATCTGTCGTCCAGGTCCAATTCTGACGTTGAGGAACTTGGCAGTCTGCGCGGCTTTGGGGGAAGTCGCAAAACGGAGAGATCAAAGACGGAGTCGACGAGCAAAGATAACACTGAGTTTGGGCCTAGAGGTGGATCTGCTGGTTACGGTGGGTACGGTGGTGGACTTGGTGGGTACTAGTAGATAGTCGGGGACAATATCTTGTGGGTATTCGAATTCAGCTAGAGAACACGATAACCGACAGAAACAACATGAGATTTACAATCTCACTATATTGCCAGTTGTTCCAGGATATTATCCATTCATGGCGTACAGCAATACAACAGTTCGATGTAATGATACTATACTATATGATATATACCTCGTTTGTATCACGAATCATGTATAATGCGTAGGCACGGATTGACATGAATGTGAAAAGAAATCTGTCGGCCAGTGTGGTTTATCAATGTTCAGACATTGTTTGTAACAGCTTGTAAATATTCTGACCTGAAGCTTGTGGGATGTTGTGCCTTTCCTAAGTAGAAATTAACGGAACTATAGAAGAGATTTTATCTACACTAACGACATATATTATCACCAAATTATCTATCATTAGATTCAAGTATCGGGAAGCTGTTTTGTCTTGCTTTATTTTGATTATTCTACAGTTGTGGGTAGATTGATAGTAATACCATTATGAGCCGCATCGGCGTCCTTAACTTCGTTGAAAGGAATCCTGCATCGTTCTAGGATAGATCGCTCGAGTTGTCAACGGCCATCTTAAATCAGACCCCAGGGGCAAGACTAGAGCCGAACCACATTAGACGCAATATTGGGCAGACAACCAGAAGCTTCAATGCGGCCCGGCTTATAGGCGGACATATATATGTAAGCCTTCCTCATACCCTCCCATGAACATTCGAACGATAGTCCCTCATATACTTCGCCCAGATAGATATTATATCGCAACTCAGGAACCCAGGATTTGCCATGGTAGATGAACATCATGTGGCCTAGTGAATGTCGACAAGTTCTACCTAATTTGAGATGCTGTACCAAACATGCGAGGGATCTTAATGGAGGAGCTCGCAAGTCGCCATGCATTTCGTTGTCTTTCCTGGTGACTTTATTTGGGGCAGGTAGAAGCTGTGCCATACCTTGGTTCAGAGCTTTCTCATTCATATGTCCCTGCGAGGCAGACACTGATTCAATGTCAGTTCCTAGTGTTCCAATTCTCGCGGTCGTTTCAACTGCACTGTATGATGACAGTCCCTGCTGGGTCACTGCGGCAATGGTGGAATACTCTTGAATGTCCTCGTTATGGAATCATTGTTGGTTGTTTCAAAGGTACTCAAGCCAACGCAGGCACAAGACAGAAGAATGAGCGACACAAGAAGAGCTTCGATGCATCTTGTTGCTGTTTGTCACCCGTTATATATTCACAGATGATATATGAATTATAAAAGGTGGGGTCAGCAACTTATGTTGTACGAAATTATCCTTCCTGTTAGCTGTGTTCCCGCCACCCGCGATAGTGGGTTAGGAGTCATTGGTAGAGACAATTATCAAAGTGATAAGCGTGATTGAGCCTTCCCAGCAGCCGAAGGTTAATCTAGAGCTATAGCCTGTGCAATCGTAAAATAGTTCGCACATCTTGGAGGATCATCAACCACCCAGTTTCACTGTTACTAGAAAAGAGGGAATCGCGTGATCTCCCCTTTTCAGATAAGGGTTGAGATCTGTTATGTTTCTGGCTCCACATGAAAAGGCACCACCTTTACCGGATTGAACTATTGGACTCATGGGCAGAAGGTCCGGTTTTGGTGACTGATAGCCAGGGGTAATTGAGAATAGAAATAACAAGCCTGTCAACAGGTGTGCAGTCCGAAGTCAATGACCTTTGAGTGGGTAGACGTGGTGTGATATTTACAATGCAGTCAATTGTAGATTTGGCAACATAATTCCAACATTTGCTGTCAGACGAGACTTTCAGGGTAGCAGCTGGACAAGCTGGTTTCCTGGCGAAGAGGCACAGCTTAGCATTTGGAGAATCAAGCTGTTGTGGAGTGTACAAGAATTGTAAGGTTCCTCGCATGTTACGAGTCTGCTAGAGCAAATCAAACGAGGGTCCGGTATTGGTGGGCATCTGTGGTATAGCCGGTGAAGTTGGAGTGAATAGCTAGACCGTATCACGCGGTAGAGGCATTGCGGAGCACGGAGTTCGGGACATACAGGTGATACGATGTGCTGTACTCGGTATGCATGAGGATGACAATATCGAGAAAAGAGCAGAGAATTGCCGAGAAGGCTGACAATGTGAAGTCTGCTGGCAGTCGATACAAAAGGCCAAGGAACTCGTAGTTGAAGCAATGCATGACACTAGGGATATCATCAGATGGGACCAACCACAACCGATACGTACGTCGGTCCTTTCCCATGGTATGGTAGTAGTGATTCCCATCAGTATCGTGGGAAGCAGGATATAATGTTATATATAGAACTTGAGAGAAAATAATATCAGCTCGGCCTTCGTGATAATCCGTAGCAGCGACTAGCCAGCCCACTCATTAGGCGGTGGTGTCGAGATATTCGTACAGGCATCAACAACTAGGCCACGCATCATAGCGGCTGTATCAACTTATATACTTTCATCATGCACTGGTGCTCATGGGCTCTAGGTAGAAGGCAGAACCTAGGGCTCATTCCATCCCCGCTCTCCCTTTATTCTGGCAGGCTTGCTTGTTGAGTTGTTTATCCCGGCAGCTGTGGGCGGGCTTTTATACCCTTTCTGGCCCTCGCAGCGGATCGAGCTCTATCGGAGTTTTCCTCTCTCCTGTAGATTTTCTTCGTTTCACATGCACCTCCGGCCATTCCCTCTGTCCTTTTTACGGGGACTCCCGAGCTTGAATTTAAACCATCCAACTGCAAGGTAGGTAGAGGTTGCTTTTCCTGTCAGCTGCTTACTACCACACACAAGCCCTAGTTACTCCACTATTTTGCGATTTAATTCACATTCAAAATGACATTGATCGGGCCACCCAGAGAAGATTGGCAGCACTAACGTGAACTTGCTTTCTACATGGAAAGTGGAGACGAGCATCTTGGACACCTGAGGCCGTCAATGTATGGTGACCCACATTTGTAATCGGCTCACTTAGTCCGATCGGATAGTTGACTATTCCACCTTTACTGACGTATGCAGGCTACATCTTTGTACGCCCTGTGCGCCGGGAAACGCGAGAATCTCGGAACTATTGCTATCTGTGGTGTCACCCGAAAGTCAGATCCAATGTGGACAGTCTACCACCTGATACCGTACCGGGACGGACAGTAGCCTCGCCGGTGATTGCGTCCGTGACAAGGTTTGGTCAGCAATGAATTGGGCCGCAAAGAGCTCGGATGAGCTTTATGACTCGAGTATATTCAATACACATCGTACTTAGAGAAGTTGCATGGCTGGCGCATCAGTCATTTGGTCTATCTCGAGCTGAGGTTCCCGACAGGGTCCACTTCAGAAGATGTCGTGACCAACTAGGGCACAGGTCAATTTTCGACATCACCCTGCTACCTGGGGCTGTTACCGGGTGTATCAGCCCAAATTGGAGGTAACCCGGCAACTATTTGGCAATGGTGAATAAATCCCACATGGGACATATCGATCACATAATCAAGATAGGTGACAGGCGGGGCAAGTTTTCGGTCCACTTCGCGGAACCCTGCAGATCCCAAATGGCAGGTAGGGCGTCAAGAGCTTTAGGGATATTGTCGAACATTGTTCGTGAATATACGCCTTTCAGATAGTCGCTGAAGAAAGCTCTGTGCTCGGGATCTACGCTATCCGCTGCTGCAATGAAGCATGACCATACGAAGCCATGGGCACCTGGCTCCGTGGGGCTCATCTGACAAAGAAGCTGGCGCAGCTCTTCCAAAACATGCCACGAGCTTTGGCTTGTAGTCGCACGCTGAAGATATATCTGTGCACCCTTTGAGAAGACTTTCCTGACAAGTGACAATGTCCTGTGATGGTGCGAATCAGCGTTAACTCTCGAAGCCATCCAGACACTTGGATCAACCGGATTTCTAAGTCTCTCCGCGCCCAGGTTTTCGTTCAAAAGTGGCTGTCCTAGGAACGCAAACATGTCCGTCTGCTTTGTGAGAAAATCTCTCAGCTCGGTATTTCCGACGGATTTCATGTTTTGGGCCAGGGTGAGGAGAGTCCGTAACAGGTGGCTATACTCGGAGCTTCCGGTGACGGTTTCCCCAACAAGTAGCACGATCAGAGTTGCCCAAGTGGATGAATTAAACACGAGATCGGGCGAACCAAGCTGAGAATCACGTCGTAAGCGAGATATTATTGCCGACCGGCTGGACTCGGTCGCCGCTCGACATGAGGGGTGTCGGGAGCCAAGATGCTGCGCGGCCACAACAGCAACGGCCTGTTGTAGAAGGCTGTCTTCAAAAGCCATGGGCAGGATAATGTCCCGGTAGCCATTCGATATATCAAGAACAACCATGACAGGAGCGACGTGTTTCGCGAAGTAGTCGAATGATTCGCGGGTTCTGTAATCGACTGGTGCGATCCACTGCCCAACAGACGTCTGCATTATTGAGGATGGCCGTGGGTCCTCAGAAGGCATGTTCCTATACATTTCTTGTCCCGAGCTAGGGATAACGTCCTGGTTTGCGACAGATATCGACTGTGCGAGAGCTCTGCCTCCACTGGCCGGACCCCTCTCTGTGGCCAATCCATTCCGGACTACCCGCTCCTTCCGGCTAAGTCCGGGGTTCTGTGTTTTGTTGACTCTATTCCGGTCATCCTTCCACCGAATATAACGAGGGCCATCTGAGCCTTCTTTGTATACCGATCTCGGGTCGACATCGGGTATCGGAATTGTGCAGCCTTTGAGTTTTCCCCGACTCGCTAGGCCGGGGCTGAAGCGAAAGCGACCGGATCCCGAGCATTCGATCCCTTTCTTCTGACACTTGAAGCAGGTAGGTTCCCCTCTGTCACAGACAATCCGGCGTTTCGAGCATTGAAAGCATCCTGAGACGCGAGAAGAAGTTAGCCATGACCTGCTGGTGTGCGACGAAAACCGGGCATACCTCGCGACTGGGAATTACTACCGGAGTCCGTCGCGACCATGGGGACCCGCTCGGCGACCATCAAGGCATAAAAGCCATGCAAGTATGCGCGGATATTAGCTACTGATGGCGCTATCCGATAGTGGGCTGATATGAGGAGTGTTGTGGAAACTCCAAGGACGCTGAAATGAAATCCGCGGATGTCCGATGGCCGCCCGGGGCGGTGCGGGTCTTTCTCTTCCGAGGTTCCCCGCACGTGTTTGCCTCTCAATGCGGTGTCTGCGTTCTTTCTTCACGGCATCTCCGTCGTTACTATACACTGCAGGGACTAAGAAGGATGTCCCTTATCGCAGAGTTAATTAAACAATTCTGCAGTATGTGCCTGTTTAGTGATGGGCTACTGAAATGTCACATACCAGCAACACAGGGCTGCTTTCTTCCGGACGTGCCCCACCACGTGATCTGACAGCTACTCCGATAATCCGCCGATCTGAGCTTGACAGCATCAAGCATGAAACCATCTCCCCCTCTCGGTTGTCTCCGATGCTTGGCCTACCTTGGACCCAGTCATGGGCCTGTCAGGAGTCAGATGTGGGTTTCAAGGTTATAGCACGCTTGTCAACGTCTAACAGAGGGGCGTCTCGGACGAAAAGCAGCTGATACATGTCTCAACGAGGGATGGCTCTATTGCCATTCTTACAATGGCAATTATTGGTCGTTATCAAATGAAGGGGAACTGTGTGTGCCTCAGATTCGTCACAATGGCCTTGTCGGATGACAGTCTCCGTGTGCTGCACTCGTCGACATTTCGCCGGGCGCTAATGCCTTCAGGGTTATCCCCGAGATGGTGCCCGATACAATTATTCAAGGCTTGGTTACTTTATTACAGGGAGGGAAAAGCGCAACAATGATCACACCGAGCGCATGAAGCAATTTCTAGCTACCCCAATACATTCCAATCTATCATCTCTTCAGTCTTCAACCTTCGATCCCTCCCCTGCGGACTCCGACGCGCACCTTGCGTCTTATCTTCTGTGGGCCTGGCTTCGCACCAATCCAGGACCAGCGCTGACGCAACGCTCCCTATCAGCAATATCGGTGCCGGGCCCACACGGCGCTATTGTTCCTAGCCATCGAGTGGGAGGCCATGTCTCGTCACTATCAGGCAGCACTATACCGGTCCGCCTTGTCTTTTCAACCACTTGCATCGCGTCATTGCTAACCGCCACTTCGGAAGCTGCGAGCTATGCTAGTCGACAACAGCGAGATTCTGCAACCCAACGAATGTCTCTCATTCCTGTATGTTTAATTGTAGCTAGATCGGTGGTCTTGTCCGACTACCGGATGTAATTTCCCAACACTATATAATGTCCCGAACGCACCCCTCTTCTGCACGAGGTTTCTCTCCTGTCAGTCAAGCAATCGCTTAGATCTCTTCTCACTCAGCTGCCGCCATGTATATCCCCGTCGGTACCCTTGCCACTGCCTCGCTCCTTGCCGGGGCTGCTCTGGCTGCACCCACTCCCTCCCCGCTCAAGGGAAGAAATATTGTCCGCAGAAGCGGCAGCCACACCGTCTACAAGCCCGCCGCCTTCGCTGCTCCCAGTCACAACAAGGCCTCCTCCAAGTACCTCGAGCTGAGCAAGACCAAGTCCAAGGGAAACGTGAACCCTCGTAGTGCTGCTTACGTCAAGCGCTCCACCAGCAGTGGCAGCTCCAGCTTGATCTCCCTCTTCGAAGGCGAGGAGTTCGCTACCTCAATCACCATCGGTGGTGATTCTTTTGACGTTATCGTCGACACCGGCTCCAGTGACACCTGGGTTGTCAAGACAGGCTTCACATGTATTGACCTCGACACTGGCCGCGAAACCTCCGAGTCCAGCTGCGACTTCGGCTCCACCTGGACTGTCGAGAGCTCTTTCAAGGAAATTGAGGGCGAAGAATTCGCCATCGAATATGGTGATGGTGAATACCTCTACGGAGTGATGGGTAACGAAACCGTCACTCTTGCCAATATCACTGTGGATCAAACCATCGGAGTGGTCACTGAGGCCGCCTGGGAGGGCGACGGAACCACCTCTGGCCTGACTGGTCTTGCGTATCCTGCCCTGTATGTATTCTTCCCCAATTACTGATAGTCAGGCTTCTAACATGTATCAGTACGAGCGCCTACTCCACAACCACCGACGAGCAGATTGTCTACAGCAACATCATTACTACCATGTGGGAGGAGGGCCTGATCGAACCTCTGTTCAGTCTGGCCATTGAGCGCGATGTTTCCGGTGCCGCTGGCTATCTGGCTCTCGGCGGTCTGCCTCCTGTGGACTTCGTAGAAGACTTCACCAACACCTCAATCCTGGTCACCAACATCGAAGGCTACTCCAAGGCCTACGACTTCTACACCATCAACATTGACGCTGTCACTCTGAACGGCAAGAGCTTGGCCAGTGCTGGTGGCGACGACATCCAGTACATCGTACGTTGACTCCAGCACCCCCTTACCTGATGGTTTCTAACAGATGCAGGTCGATTCGGGCACCACCCTGAACTACTACCCAACTTCCATCGCTGAGGAGATCAACGCCGCTTTCTCCCCTGCGGCGACTTACTCCGACGAGGAGGGCGCCTACATTGTAGACTGCGACGCCACCCCTCCCACCCACGGCATCACCATCAGCGGAAAGACCTTCTACATCAACCCCCTCGACATGATCCTCGATGCTGGCACCGACGACGAGGGCAACACCATCTGCATTTCCGGTATCGTTGACGGTGGTAGCGACACCTCCGAAGATCTCTACATTCTGGGCGACACCTTCCAGAAGAATGTCGTCACTGTGTTCGACATTGGCGCCACGGAGCTGAGATTCGCTGCTCGCGAGAACTACACCTCCAACGACACCTACTAGATATAGACTGGATATGTCCCCATTATTCACATGTATAGTTATGTTGAATGTAGTATGAAATTCATGTTCACAATCAATACCCCTTAATGGCTTTAATCAATCACAAACGAGCCTTCACCTCCCTCTTCGTTCCCAACTCCTCCAACACCACCCTAGCAGCTCTCGTCCCCTCCTCAATCGCCCCATCAATAAAGCTCCTCCACCCCAACGCCCAATCTGAATTCGCAAACACCACACCCCCATGCTTCTCCCTCAACCCCTCCAAACACTCACTCACCATCCCAGGCCTAGAAAAGAACCACGCGCCCTTCGCAAACTCATCCTTCACCCAATTGTGAAACACCAACCGCTTCACCCCAAACTTGCCAGGCGCTAACTGCCCAACCGCCTTCAACGTCTCCCGCACGTCCTCATCCGGCTGGATATGATTCGCATCCGTCCCGAAACACACCAGATGCGTGTTTCCCGCGGGAGTCGTCCCATCACCAATAGCATAGCACAGTTTATTGAACGGGTACGCAATGCCCGTCCACGACCGCATATCCTTATTGTCCACTTCGGCATGCACCTTCGTGCACATATTCACATGGCCTGCCTGCATAGCAGAGATCCTCTCCGTCGACAGCGCAGGTGAGAATTGGATCGTGGACAAGACATTGAGGGGAATAGTGCAAACCACCCGCTTCGCAACGAACTCCCTCCCATCCCTCGCCGTCACTTTCACCCCATCTCTCTCATTAACAACACTCCTAACCGGACACCCAAACACATACCCCAACCTCCCCGTCCCGACCGCCTCCTCCCAGAACTTCCTCGCAAATGCAGACTGCCCATCCTTGAACTTATAACTGATCAAGCAGTCCATGCATCCCTGATACGTATATCCGCTCATCGCCCACCAATGCAGGAATTCTCCAAACGAGCTATTCTCCAGCGTTCCGCCAGAGCAAAGCAGAATGAACGCTTCCAGGGAACTCCGTTCATTAAGACTCAACTCATCCCGGATTTGATCAATCCGCTCCGAGTATGACATCTCATCATACTTCCTGAACTCAGGAACGTAGAACATATCATGCGGGAAGGGCAGGACAGTACGGCCGTTGGTGCCATCCACGTTGGTGAACTTGTGCAATGCGGAGCGGAGGAGCTCGTCCTCGGCTTCGTGAGTCATGTAGGTTGATGTGGTGGGGTTTGTTCGTAGCTGGAAGTGGTTCACGCCGCGGGAGAAGTTGAAGGAGGGTGATAGGGCGTTGTGCATCTTGTAGCGCGTGATTTCGCGCCATACGTGCGATTGGTGCCAATGGACCCATGTGCCGCCCATCTGCATTGGGTATTAGTTATGTCGGTTGGAGGGTAGGTTGGTTGAAAAGGGATGTTACCTCGTAAGGATAGCCGTCGATGTTAGAGGACCAGGAGCGGCCGCCTATGCGGTCTCGGGCTTCGAGGAGGAGGGTTTTGAAGCCTGCCGTCATTAGTTTGTTTTCTCTTTGAGCGTACACGAGAGAGGATGTTAACCTGCTACAGTCAAGTCCCTAGTGGCAGTCAACCCGCAGTACCCTCCACCAATGACAATCACGTCCCATGGACCATCGTTGTCCGTGTCTTCGATATTAGTGGGCGGGGAGATGACTCCTAGAGAGGGGACGCCCTGCGTAAGCCCTGTCTTGGGTGTCCACTGGTATCCGTCTCGGGAGGCCATATTGTTGGAGATGGTCCTGTAGTAGTGGAGGGGAAGGGTGTATGAGGTGATTATTTGATGAGCGGTTTACGTCGGGTACATCGTGGGATTATATAGTACGGCGTCGGAATCCATTCCGATGGGTTCTCTCGATATCTGTTTCTTGGTTTGATGAAAACGCAATTCTTCTACGAACCAGGATACACTTCTCATGGACCGAGAGGAATATTTCCCGATTGGGTTAAAAAAGGGAGATTTTGGGTGGGTCTCATGTCGTTGGATGGTACACCGCCTTTAGGATTTTCTTCAACGGCTTCCCCACAGTACCCTCGAGATACTGAGTCCCTGGAAGCCAGATAATTGCTCTCCCAAAGGGAAAAGATTTATTTCTGGTATGTATTCTATGCACAGGATAGCAGTGATAGAAATCCTGTTCATTCCTCTCATCCATAACAATACCATTACAACATAGTATTCTGCCGGCATAATAGCTGCCTTCCCCGCACACACTACACCGCCAGATTGCCGAGTGAGTCGCTTATCTTATCGGCTTATCGGCCCATCACATTCGGCGTCAGCGAGGAAAGAAATTTCCGTTTACGGGTAATAACCAGAGAAAATGGTGACAGGCTGGTGAAAATCGAGGAATTGGGTAGACATTTGTCTGATAGGTTAGTAAACTCATTTGCTACGTAGTGGAAGGACTTCTGTCATGGTATCTTGATTAAATATTTTGGTTTTCAATTTCTTTGGTGCTTGGTTGTCTCAGCTGGGGCAAAATATATATAGTCGGCCGGTGGCTTATGTTATTGAAGGATCATACAGCTTTCTCATCATGATCACTGATTGTGTCCCATAACAGCTCCCCGTATATGACTTTCCCACATTGCTATCAGCATCAACATCATCAGACCAAAGCAAAAGACACTAGCAACTGACCCAGGTTGTTGATGATGCTCCTCTAAATGGTACTGTCGGACACGTGCTATGTGCGCTGGGCCCTCAGCAACCCTCACCTTCCTTGACCATAGCAATTGCATCCTATTAGAGTTTAGCAATACAACGCCAAACATGCCAAGGGAGGTACGAGAAAGATTGTAAATAGCGTCAGATAGCCGCTCACCACGCGATGGTACGAGTTACTGTCTGCATCTTGGATCTGTCCAGTCACTAGTCGAACGATGATATTCGCCCTATTATCCTTCTACATAAAGCCCCAACATGCTGAGGTTCAGCAATGATCATCTTAGACACGCTGCTGAAAACTTCCAATAATGTCAGAATGAACGACTATAGCCGAAAGCGCCAGTCATTTTGGATATCACTTATGACAGCATATTGGTTTCGAGGGCTTCACGGAGACATGAGTAGACCTTGTGGAAATCACTAGAATGAATGGGATTCCTTCGATCTTGCATGCCCTGGAAGGGAGTCACCTCAAACAGCAAGTGGACAGCACGGCCGTAACTCCAAGACACTTCCAAGTTCCTCATCAATGGTTTTCCCTTTGCTAAGTAGCCAGGGCTTTAGTATGTTTAATAAACATATTCCTGACTACGGGCGATGTCATCCTACATAGTCCCACAGATGCCTATATTGTCGTATTGACTTCATCCGATGTTTCAATAAAATCATGTGATCTCATGTACTGCACTGTGCGTGGGAAATGAGACCAAATTGAACATGAAGACCATCCCCATTCTCTCTTCACTACTGCGGAACTTGTACAGGTAGTCAGGAGTATCCTGGCCTGTTCTGCTCCCACGTAATCCGGTCCAACCTGATTCTATGGCTTGCTCTCGGGTTAAAGGTGTTGGGATTTTGAGGGAAGAGTGATTGTTTCGCTATCATTAGAGATAAATAGGAAACATATACAGAGTAAAGCCGAAACGAGTTTCCTATTAGACTGGATTGAAACGGAATAAAGCGAATACATTCCATATACAAGGCCTTATCATCTCTTATATAGAGCCTCGGCTCACAACAGCAGGAAGTCCATTGTGGCAAGCGGCTCAAGTTGTTGACTGCATGATACAGTTGACCCTGGCCGAATGACTAATCAAAGTTATGCTGAAATTCTACCCGCGGACACCCGCCAAGAACCCATGGGCGGCCTCAGAACCACCCCGCGTTTGGGGAGGTCAGACTGTCTTCATGTGCTGGTGAACTTTCTGCCCAATCCATCTTGCTCTCTATCGGGTGTGCATTGTACTGATGTAGGTACGATCATCCCACCAAAATTACAATTAGAATGCTTTCGGCGGTAAGTGACATCATAAAAATCACTGAACCCGAGAGAAAGACGCGCTGGATAGAGTCGGCCCTTCCGGGCGTTTTGAAGGTTGTCTCGATTGTCTCGGGCTCGCTAACCTATTCTAGTGTGATCTGTGTCACTCAAGGAAAGTATGGATTTATTTTTCTATTAGCATTGCGCCTGCTAAAACATATACCAGGTAAGATGTGATAGACAGGCGATATGCGCAAATTGCGTGGACGCGAGAGTTGAGTGCCGGAGAAACCGGCGGCCCAAAGCCCCATCGAAACCAAAGGCTCCATCACGGTAATGCATCGTATTCAAGAAGCATTATAGTCCGTTATTGACTACAATAGCATCCTGTCTCCTGGAGAGCGGGTTTCACACCTGGAAAGATTGACAAATCAGCCTAGGGGGTACTGATAACGCTGTCTATTGTGTTCTCTGATTCTGACCCGTCCGCATAGAAACAGTCATAGTCTGACTGTACCCAATACGATGTACAATGAACCTAATGATACAAACGAATTAGACAAAGAGACTTCCGCAGAGAGGAGGAAGTTGAATGATCATACCACGCGATCGGAAAATACTCCCCAGGGGCATGCCGAATGGGCCACTGCTTCTGAAGATTCTTCTCACCGCGCAAACAGGCCAAGGTTATTCTTCAGAATGAGCTGAGCATCGACAGTGATCTGATACCTGACCGGCGGACAATCCTCAGGTCCGCTTTAGATCTAGTTGAAAAGGTGGCGAACAGGAAGAACTTGGACTTGGGCGGATCTTCATTGCTCAGGATGGCCGAAACCCACTACGAAGGCATTGAGGTTCCAGACGTGCCTCCACCAGAATTGTTGTACATGCTTCTTCGAGGTACTTCCCTTGCCCCATTTTTTATCCATCTCTTCTAATGCTGCGTAGAGCAATCGCCGACATTGAATGTTGGAAAATACGTTCAAGTTCAATGGCCTGACCATGTCACTGGCAAATCGCTGGAAAAAATGGCCACACGACTTTTGAACGGTGATGCCCACGGACAGCTATACCATCAGCTCTGCATCTGTATTTATGTAAAGGCTGTATGTCATGTAGATCAGCTATCAAGGTTGTCAAATAACGCCACCCTCTCAAAACAACTTCTGGGCTCTAAGAAGGTGTATGAGTCCGCTGCCATTCGAGCGCTTAGAGAGATCGACATCTGCACCACACCAAGTTTCACGTTGATTCAATCGCTCATATCTGGTGTGAGTACCGGCAGTTGCCCCTGCGAGATTTACGGATACTTACGCCGGTGGCGCAGGCCAAATTGATGCAACAAACCGGCAGGATGAATCAATGCTGGGTGCTCAACTCGTATGCGGCACGTTTGATTGTCGCCTTGAACTATCATGAAATCGACCATTTGACCCCCGACAATGAGGAGATCTTGAGTGCAGTGTTCTGGTGTTACTATCTTGACAGGACTCTAAGTTCCCTCTTTATACGGCCAATGTCGCTACCGGAGCCGTGTATGCCTCTCGACCAGATGCTTCGGAAGGATGAGGCAATGGCATATGGCACCGTGGTTGAAATTATCTCGGATCTAGCTCAAGTGCAGGGCGAGTTACTAGATATCTCCCTTAATGGGAAGCGCAGGTATGCCACTGAAATATCAGCCAGGTGTGAACACCTCCGATCAAGAATGCATGTGATACATAATAAAATGGAAGCTGTGGGTAATACACTCGCTAAAGGTTATATGTGCCGACTGATAAGAGGATCCTTAGGCCGGTCATTCTATAATCGATACCATTGTCAACGAATGGCACGGGACAGAATTTTGTTACTATGCGATTTTGGTCGATGTTCTTCGGGCACAGCTGAAGCATGACCCAAATGCGGCAGCATATAAAGAGTGTTTATCGGCTGCCAGGACCTCGCTACGAGCGTTTCAGCTTATCCAGAATAATCTTGCAGACGTACCCGGGATCGAGGGTTCGTATCCGTCGTTCTTGACATGGTTCGTCGCTCGTGGCTGAGGGGAGATTCCCTGAAGAAACATGACTAACACCCATATAGGACCGTTTTCTTATACCCACTCAGTCCATTCTTTGTTCTCTTCTGTAATGTGGTCCGTACCACCGACTCCGGTGACTATCTTTTGTTGCAGGAAGTCACTCAAGGGCTATCGCAATATACCGGCAACACTCATGTGATGAACATGTTAGATCTGTTAATGGCCCTTCAGAAACTTTGCGAGCCATTGTTCCAGACCGCACTGTCTCAGAATGAGCAGGCTCCGCCTGTGTCAGCGACCCATCCCGCCGTGGACAGTCTTCCATATCAGGTTCTAGCCCCAGACACGGTGGATGGTGTCGGAGGTGTACAACCCATAGGGTTCTCAACTCTGGGTGCTGCTGATTCCCAAATATTGGCAACCGAAAGCCCACTTGGCTTATCTACCGATGAATTGATGTGGCAGCTGTTCAATAGCCAACTCCCACTGGGATGGTACGATATGGACATGTCGTCCTTCAACGGGCAGTAATGGGGTGTTCACTTTTCTAGTACCTATAAAATTGAAAATGCATAGTCGCTTTAACGCCTAGCAGCTTTGGCAAAAAAGGTTGTGGCTGGACTACTGTCCGGTCGTCTACTGTTTAGATGTTACGAGTACTGTGCAGGCTTTGTATCTCGTGGTAGTTATATTCTCAAGTGAGCCGTCTGGTAGAGGCAATAGCCTAATGAAGGCACAAAGATGATACCAAAAACTAGGGTTGTGTATTTTTGTTGGTCATCACGGGTGATAGAGCATTGTATCTGATAAGTCAATCAATCCGACTATCTCATTCCGTAAGACACAATAATGCAAATTCGACGACCGAACACTACGATCCGCTTGTAGCAGACGTGCATGCACATCCAGAGGAGGTTTGCAGTGTTGCCCGTGGTAGATTGACATAGTCAGGCAGACGGAAACACGCAATAGAGAAAATCGTGCGGAAAAAGGTGAGTTTTCAAGTAAAAGCAACCCTTGTGACACGGTGCTAGACTTCTCATCTTTTAAAGTCCCTTGAATTTGCAAAGTCCTTGGACTGTCTCTCTTCAATCTCAAATGACTGGCCTTAAGTTAAATGACTTGAAATTGGGCCCTACAGACTTTGGTTGCTAATTTTCTATGCTACCTATCATCGCTAACTTTAGTAAAGAGAGGCTACCAATCTCCCTTAGCCTAGAAAAGGACAATAAATGATTATTTTCTCTTCTCTCTGGCCAAGAAAATAAATCGAACTGGATTGCTACGCCCCAGAAACCTCTCTTAGCTGATCTCCCTGCCACATATGAGGGTCAGAGAATACGGAAAAATGATTGTACGAATATTGTGATCTTGGGATCCTACACTCAGGTCTACTTGATCTAATCTACATGGAGCTATCCATGAAGCAGGGATAGAGAGACTAAAGAGGTCGAAGTGTTACACTATACTGATGTCTTTGAGCTTGATGGCCTTGATACTAGAGTTATAGTTTTGAAGAACATCCCTCTCTTTCATCAAACCACTACCTAGTGTGGAGCAGACTTCAGCTCATCATAGATTTCCTTGATCAAGGCCTTGACCTGCTCATCGCTCATGGGTTGAACGCCTAATAGATCATTGTGATTCTGCTCAAACACTCCATTATAGCCCGGGGTTGCAAGTGAATACCGGATTAAGTCCCCCACAACCGTCCAGCTGTAATTTCCGATGGTTGTGGCAGATAAAGCTTCTTCGAAGGCCTTTTCCATATCCTGGCTTTTGACCTCCCAGCCGTCGGGTCCAAGTGCCTCCTTTGCCAGATCGGCAATCTCGTTTTGGCACTTTTGGACACCGTAGATGGAGCAGTGCATATTCTTGGTTTTCTCAGCTTGAGCCAGGGCATTGGCAACGGCTGTACCAACGGCGGGAAGAACGGTCAAAGGGAAGACACGGGTACCATCGTTCATGAGCAAAACCTTTTTCTTGATCAAGTCAATATTTAAAAAGCCCGTGCGCAGACACCAGTCCAGAAAAGCACCATTAGATATGGCGGTCCAGGTAATCTTCTGATCATTGGCGACCTTCTGGAGATGATCGTAGATCTGCGCCTTGCCCCGGAAGATGGGCAGTGACCGTGTCTTGTCGTACTTAGGATGGATGGTGAACTCAGGGGCGATGTAGCGATAAACCCCGGCAGCGACCGCGGCATCAATCAAGCCAATGGAAACGGTAGGGTCAGGACTTAAGATTGCATCGACCACGGCGTCCTGACCCTGAAGAGCAAGACCTAATTCCGCAGGAGAGCTAAAATCCACCACCTTGGCCGAGACGCCAGCCGGGAAAGTGGCACCAGTCTTGCGTGTCAAGACCATGATATTGAAGCTGCCATGACTCACCAATGCGGTCAGGATATGCGATCCGAGGTTTCCGGTGGCCTGAGATCATGGATTAGTGGCATGACTTCAAAGTCATTACGATTAGAAGTTCCAACCTACCCCTGCGATAACGACATGCTTGATCTGTCGGGACATTTTCAGAGTCAAATAATGCAGTTGAAGGTAATTCGACTTGAGCAATTCCGTGTCTCTTGGGGTTTGCAGCGCTCCTCGAGGCGAAGGGGATCACTGTAGTCACTCTTTATATAGACCAACCCTTGCCTCCCCATGACTGCCTTCGGAGGCCATCTTATCTGATCCGAGGGTCTTCGCCTAGTCCCCGCTTAGTCAGCGCATGCCATGTAAGGTCTCGCGGTGAGGTTGCTCGTTCCCCACTCAGGAAACTTCTCCATTGGGTGTATCCCCATGAAATACAAATGGCTGCCAGCTGGATTACTAATGTAGCAATAGGGGGAAGGCGCGTCTGCTTCCTGCGCAAGAGAAATACTTTGCAGTCAAAGCCATGGCCTTGGACTTATGAGGAGTGGTACTATGCATAGAAAATGTGAGGTGGTAAGAGCAACAATGGTCTGGACTATTGATCATTTTCATTCTTATCCAGAATCCTTATAATCTATTTACACGGAGTGAGACCCATGCCGATTTCCAATCAGCCTGGATGAAAGTGTAGACCCTCGTTTCACAAGTGACACCTTCCAGCAACTCACATTTACCTGCTCCATCTAGGGCTTATCATGTGAAGTAGGAATAATAATAATAGAATACAATATTATCAGCCATTTCTGGACAAAGGAAACCACAGGATACCTCACCCTAGATCTAAATAAAAAATCACGTCATTGGCACCTCCCTCTATATTGGAAGAAAACAGTAATATTTACCTAGGAAAAATCCTTTAATTTAATATCCACAACACGTCCTCTGTTTTTACGTACGCTTTCTGTCCTGTTATAGGACATGGCAGTCCTGGAAAATGATTAGGGCGATGATGTGTGGGAGGTTACTTCCAGCAATCTCAGCAGCATCTGATCTCTCTTCCTATTGAACCCATCCCAATCCACAGTTTCTAGCCATTGAAGAGCCTCTCTCTTCAGCACAGACACGCTTTCCTCGCTCCAATCGAACCGATGCTTCAACATGTCTTCCTCCCAAGCTCGAACCGCAGGGCCAAGTCGTTCGATACGCTGGGCAAACCCATTCGGCCCTCCTCCTCCTCCCAAAGAATTTGTAACAAACGGACCGGTCAATGCCCACCGAAGACCTGGACCTGATGTCATTGCCGTGTCGAGACCCTCGGCGGAGACAATGCCGCGGCTGATAAGGCTGTATGCTTCGCTGTTGATCGCAGCCTGCAGACGATTGGCTACGAACCCTGGGACTTCGTGGTGAAGCAGAATGGGCGTCTTCCCGAGGAACCGATAGAAGTCTTGGGCCGTAGATATCGTCGTGGCGCTGGTGCCCGGGTGAGGGACAACTTCCACCAGGGGGACTAGATGTGGTGGATTGAATGGATGGCCAACTAGGATGCGACTGGGGTCTTTCTGGCATCTTACAATGAACCTCGATGCAGGGAGGCCAGAAGATGAAGAGGAGATAATGACACCGGGTCTGGTATATTGGTCGAGCTTTTCCATGAGCGCCTGCTTTAACTCGGGGCGCTCGGGTCCATTCTAGCAATACATTAGCAAAGCCGATGCCTCGAGCATAGCATGTTAAGATTGCAGGAGCTACCTCCTGGATAAAATCGGCTTCTGATAAGCTCAATTCCATGTTGTCGATGAACTTGTAGTTCGTCGCCCAGGCATCTTCAACGGGACTGCGTGCTGCCAAGGCAGGCCATGCATCTTGCAGATAATTCTCGAATGCTTCCCGGGAACTTTCGGCGGGATCGTAGATCAAGACCTTCAAACCCCGAGAGAGAAAAAGACATGCCCAACTCGCACCAATGACACCGCAGCCAATGACGGCAACGGTGTTGATCTGATCCTTCATAGTGATGGGTGTGAACCGTGAGCTGATCCACCACTCCAAGGTAGCACCGCTGAAAAACAACAATAATGTAGAGAAAGATTCTTCGTGGTCTTCACTATCAAGGGACTGCCAAATGCTTCGGAAATAAGTCAGAGCTAAACGGGCAAGCTGAACCCGGCCGGCAGATTTTCTATACCGGGCACGGGAATAGTACCGAGTAACGGTGCTCCCCGCATTGACGGATCTTCCGGTCATTGCCCGCGGTCCCCGATTGGAAGATCCGTTACTAGGGTGGTAAAGAGCGGGTCAGTCAATCCGCATCATACCAAGCCTATATGTAGAGCAGTGTTTATGGTCACCCGGTTTCATACCTGAGCATTGATTCCTTTCTCTGACGCGAGGCTATAACCTATATTCTCGATCCAGCGTTTACAGAATGCCTTCAAACGTAATGGATACCGTGCAGTCAACTGATTCGTCAGAAGACTATGGACCAGGGACATACGTCGACACGAGCTTCACTCCGGTGCCCGAGGAATGTAAACGACTGCTGCATGTCTTCGCGGCTAGAACTCCTGGCTTCACGCAGGATCCTGCCCTCCTTGATGGAGTTATATTCGAAGGTGACGATCTGCCTTGCATTCCCGGACCGATCAAGGCACAGGCTGTGACGGCAGTGCTGCATGCGATGGTCGGTATCGTGGGCCATGAAATGCTCCAACTTCGCGGCGACGATACCAGCTTGATAACGCACGTCAACACCAACCATGCAGGGCTATATCCAGCCACTCCTGCGCTAGTGACCGTGGAAGGGCAGACGGGTCCCTCCGTGATTGCTCTGCCTAGCGTGCCTCAGTGGGATAAAGACCGTCAATCCGGCTCTCCCATGGTATATCGTGCAACAGCTATCTATCCGACTGCCGATGAGGGCATCTGGTTCCAGCTACATGGCTCTCTTGACCCTTGGGCAATGCTGAGGACGATCGGCATTACGCGGGATGTGGAAGTGACCATACAATCCAATGATGAAGCCTATAAGTACATTGGAGAACGCGTGCGGACATATCGTGCTCGAGAGCTCGAACAGCTTATGCTCGAGCATGGCCTGTCGGGCTCAATCGTTCACTGTCCCCAAAGCTGGCGTCACACGCAAATGGGCCAGTCTCTCGCTCGTCATCCACTGGTCAACTACGCCCAACACGCACGTGGTTCCTCTCTTCCGCCCACGCTCCCGCTCAGGTTGGCCGACAAACGACCGTTAGCCGGGATCAAAGTCGTTGAACTGGCGCGTATTATTGCCGCGACTGCCAGTGGAGCTGCCCTGGCGTCTATGGGGGCTGAGGTCATCCGCGTGAACTCTTCTAAACTCAAGGATTACACCCCCGCGCAGCCTTCCTCATTAATGGCGGGCAAGACAACAATCGACTTGGATCTGGATAACCCTGCTGATCATGAACGACTGATGCAGTTGTTCGAAGACGCTGATGTCATCATCCAAGGTTATCGCCTGGGATCCTTCGCGCGTCGTGGGTTCAGCTTCGAGGCGGCTCAGAAGATGGCCGAGAAGCGCGGCCGCGGCATCGTTTACGCGGACGAGAACTGTTACGGCCCAGATGGCTACTACGCCGAGCGCCCGGGATGGCAGCAAGTGGCGGATGCGGCCGCAGGAAGCTCGTACATTATGGGTCAGGCGTTTGGTTGTCCCAAGGGCCGGGGCGTACTGCCCAGTCTGCCCATCTCCGACATGTCGACGGGCATCTTAACGACACTCACCATTATGTGCGGGCTGAGGGATCGCGCCAAGTTCGGCGGCTCATATCACGGTCATACCGCACTGACGGCATATAACATGGCAACATTGGATCCGGACGTTCGGCTATACCAACGTGAAGTCGTACGGAAGATCCAGGACATCTATCGGTTTGCTCCATGGTCCAGCGATGCGCATGTGGCGCCGTTGTATTACAATATATTAAATGCATGGGACAAAAATAGTGACCTGGCGAAAAACGAAAAGTATTATGTGCACTTTTCTGACTCGGTCTTTGGAGCTGATCTGCGCGTGCTCGCGCCCGTGGTGAAGTACGCTGATGAGGAGACCACGCCACGGTGGACATCCCCGCCAGTGCCTTTCTGCCACCATAAGTTTAGGACTTTTTCTTCCCCCACTGGGGTATGATAGACATGAACATACAAAATAGAAAGCTTTCTTTATCATCTATATCACAGGGAGGTCACAGTTTCGGCAACCTGACACTATACGTGTGTGTGGAACTCGCGCGTGGGGCTATTCGTAAAGCGCAGAGTGCTTCTCGGTCTGAATCAGCAACCCAGACCATTGTGTTGATATAGTATTCCAATCGCTCTCTGTCTGCAGATTGCTAAATATCTTGTATGCTTCTTCCTTGTTAGGTATCTCGATTCAGAGTTTCAATGTATTTCCCTAGTGTTTTCTGATTCTCGGTGGTATGCTTCCTGGCCATTCTCAGTTGTATATTCTGTCATGGTATTGGCTATTGAATTCCTAGCAGTATCTGCCTGAGATCATATTTGTAATGAGAATATCGAAGCCGCTCTATCTTCTAACATAACGATGTATGTATATGCCTTGCTGTGGGCCATATGCACCGTCCCCGCTCCATCTTCAACCCCAACTAACAAATGTGAAGGCTAGGTCACCCATCCCGAGTTTGTATTCCCCTCCTCAGCTCTAACCGATTTGCACATTTAGACATGAAGATTTACTAAAGGGTTCCGATTGGTCGGGGATCTCGGGTATAGACCGGGTATCGGGAAGCAAGATAATGGTCATTTGCCGAGCACGAAACTACGAGTGTAGATCAAGGTCTTTGCGTTTGAAAGTCGTTCTTCCTTCTTATCATTCGACAGTAAGATCCTAGTTTAACATTGCCTTTGATCCGTCGCGTGTGAGGAAGGCCTGTTTGCCCCTATAAATGCATGACTGTGTAGCGGTGACGGGCGTTGGTTTTAACTGCATGTATCAATTCTGAATCAGGACCTCACGGTTATACTACCCATCATGCTTGCAAAAGATATAACCGCAACCGCTTATACTCTCAATACATGCCAATTAGAACTATACCTTCAACGTATTCAATATCCTAGCCGCGCCACCCCAACGGCTACTGGTCATCCGCGCCTAGAACAACTCCACAAGTCTATGGAGCATGGTTCCCTGGCAGCCCTGACGGAATTGCAACGGCGGCATCTTGCCGCAATTACCTGGGGAAATACGGCTCTACATTACTCAAACCACCATTCAGTCTCCATTCATCCCGCCAGTGTCTTCGAGAAGCTGGTGGTGCGTTGCCACGATGGCTATTGTATGGAGAACACCAATCTCTTCTACATGGTGCTCTGTTCCCTCGGATACCAGGTGTATGCGACCGGAGGCCGAGTGAGTCGTACTGTCGTTTCCGGGGATCCAACGGAGGAAGGTTATATATCCTTGTCAGTAGTGCTTTGCAAGTCCAGACTCAAGAATTGCTGATGGCTAACAAAAATATGTAGGAGCCACATGGTTCTAATCGTAACTATAGCCGGGCAAAAGTACATGGTACGTCCTTCAGAGCCTGTCGCAGTGTATATGGGTATATTAAGAACGATGAACACGATAGGTCGATGTCGGGTTCGGCCGTAACACTCCCACCAGACCGTTCTTGCTGCAAGAGAATACCACAGCCCCATTGATCGTGCCGAGCGAAATGTCCCTAATCAGGGCACCTCTTGCAGACTTCAAGGATCAAACACAAAAGGTTTGGGTCTATCAGGCCCGAGCTGACTCTCAGAGTCCGTGGGTGCCTCAATACTCATTCTCCGAGATTGAATTCCTCTTTGAGGATTTCAGTATGATAAACTTCTTTACGAGTAAGAGTCGCGCGATGTTATTTACGCAAAAGTTGGCGTGTACCCGACTTATCCTAGATGACCATAACTCTGAACCCATTGGAATTTACATTCTTGCTGGCAGAGAGGTCAAGAGGGTGCTTTGTGGGAAGACCGAAACCTTGCGGGTATTTAATACGGAAGAGGATAGAGTCGGTGCGTTGGTCGAATACTTTGATATGCATTTTCACGCACACGAGCTGGAGGGTATTCGCGGGCTACCATCCCAGATCAAATCCAGATAGTTCTGTGGAGCGTACTAAAGCTCGTGCTGTTAGTTCTGGGGAGCCTGCTTGCATAGTATATATATATATACTAGGGAAAATATAAGAGATACCTGATCATCCTTATTTGCACGGAATCTGCCCCCCACAAATCAGTTAGCTGGATCTTGCATAACGAGTAGCATTGGGAACACCAAGGCACATATGTACGCGATGGATTGATAAGCAATTCGTCTCGTCCCCGTGTATGAGGAAGCTCTATGGTATAACACTGACCCAATGCCTTTTTTTGCGTATTAAGGAGTTCTCCAATTAATCCCATGCACCTACTAAGTGACCACTATTTTCGTATTACTTGACCTGAATCTAAGCCCTTAGAAGGTCCAATCATGGATGCTTCTTTAGAGCACAGAAGGTTGTGGAATTTGGTAAACGGTGACCTTTTTGAATAAGAAGAATCAATTCAAAATACACAAGGCATCTGTTCTTGTCTAGCCCATCAATTCTCACCTTTCCAAATCTTTTCGATAATAGTCGCCGCCCCCAAAACCTTCTCGTCATTGAGTGTCTTCCCAATTACCTGTAAACTGACTGGATGGCCATTCATTACGTGGGGATCATAGATTTCCCAGTTCCAGGCATCCAGGTCATTGCGTGGTTGATAACCGTTTGGCTGTACGTCGACCTCCTTCCTAACCTCATCCACAGGGAACGAAACCGCCGGATAATCGAGTAGGTTCCACACCTTGGTGTAACCAACACATCGCAGTTTATGATGTGGGACCGCAGTATGAGCTGTTGTTGGTCCTAAAAGCACATCGACCGGCTTTCCAGAGGGAGACCGTGTTTGGTTTCCACCTGCTAAGGTACTTCTGCCTTAATGCAATCTTTCTCTTTTTCACTTGCCAGTATTCATAGACTGATCTCCAACATGATTACTCTATATGATAAAATGTCAGCTAACCCCTACCCTCTATGTAAGAACTCCCGTACGATCTAATCAAGTCTCATCCAAATCTATTTGGTACACCAACTGATCCAAACCACAGCATCAAACATCAAAACCGCAAATCCCACCCGATCTCAGGTCCCAGACGAGGCAGGACCTCAGCGACAGTATTGACATCCTTGTCACCTCGTCCGCTAAGGTTGAGAACAATATCCTGTTCGCCTTTCTTCATTGTCTTGGCGAGTTCAATAGCACCGTAGACAGCGTGAGAGGACTCTAGCGCGGGAATGATACCTTCGTACATTGCTAGAGCGCGGAAGCCAGCCAGGGCCTGGGAATCGGTGGCTGCAATGAATCGGGCCCTTCCACTGTCCTTCCAGGAGCTGAGTTCGGGGCCTACCGCTGGGTAGTCCATACCAGCCGAGACAGAGTGTGTCTCCGAGATCTGCCCATGTTCGTCCTGTAAGAGATAGGTGTATACTCCATGAAGGACTCCCTTACTGCCACCGGACAGGGTTGCTGAATGGCGTGAGGTATCGAGGCCATCGCCACCGGCTTCCACACCCAGCATCTGGACACTTGGCTCGTCTATGAAAGGATAGAACATTCCTGATGCATTGCTGCCTCCCCCGACACAGGCCACAACAGCGTCAGGGAGTTTTCCGATAGCCTGTCGCATCTGTTCTTTCGTTTCCTGCCCAATGATGGACTGGAAGGTGCGCACGATAGTAGGGAACGGGTGAGGGCCAACAACCGAACCGAGAATATAATGGGTGGTTTCAACATCTTTGACCCACGCACGCAATGCTTCATTCACTGCATCACGCAGGGTGCGACTACCAGATGTCACTGGTACTACTTTAGCACCGAGAAGCTTCATCCGGAACACATTCAGCGCTTGACGACGAACATCCTCAGCGCCCATGTAGACAACACATTCCATTCCGAATTTGGCGCAGACCGTTGCAGTGGCCACGCCGTGCTGACCCGCGCCCGTTTCGGCGATAATTCGTGTCTTTCCCAGTCGTCGAGCTAGTAGGATCTGGCCCAGGGCATTATTGATCTTGTGGCTGCCAGTGTGATTGAGATCTTCCCGTTTGATCCAGATATTTGCACCACCAATCTTCTCAGTAAGATGTTGAGCAAAATACAATCCACTCGGCCGACCCATATAAGGGTAATAGGAGCGGTAGTCTTCCCAGAAGGCCGTATCTTGTCGTACCGCTTCAAAGGCCCGGTCTAATTCGGATAAACAGCCCATCAACGATTCGGACACGTATTGGCCACCAAATTCGCCGAATCGCGTGGATGCCACGGGATCCTGCTCGGCTGTGAGGTCGGTGGTTTCCGAATGTGGACCCTCTGAAGTCATCGCTTGAGGCCTCACCCTAGTCACTGGGGGTTCTAACACAGTGACCTCACGGACAATCGCACCGTGCTCATCTCGCTCAAGCTTGCGACCGGTGATACCAGATAGGTACTTCCCGACGTATTCAGCAGCGCGACCGGGTGGCGCAGCGCCGATGGTACTGATGATCTGACTGCCAATGATACAGCCTTCAGTCAAGGCTTGTACGGATAAAAAGTGTTCTCGTGTACTGATGCCAAAGCCGAGAGCAATCGGTGTGTCGCCGGCATAGGTGTGGATGCGGTCAAGAAACTCAGGAAGGTTGGCGCTTAGTGACTGGGAGGCACCAGTCACACCCATTCTCGACACAGCATAGATAAATGAGTCGGCTATGCTGCACAAGGCTTTCATGCGAGGTATAGACGTAGAGGGAGCAATGAGGGGGATATAAGAAAGCCTGGCGTTCATTAGCTCATAACTAGAAAGACAGACGATCATGTACGTACCCATGCGTGGCAGAGAGTCTTCTGAACCGAACGGCTTCCTCAATGGGGAGGTCCACCAGGACGAACCCATGTACGCCTGCCTGCTTGCAGTCATGCAACAACTTCTCCTCACCATAGCGGATGACTGGATTATAGTACCCCATGAGCAGAACGGGTATCTTTAGTCCCCGTCGTCTTGCTTCTCGCACCATGTCCAATACCCCTGTGATGGTGACACCATTGGCGAGAGCGATCATATTGGCCTCTTGGATAATCGGGCCGTCCGCAATGGGGTCAGAAAACGGCATGCCCAGCTCAATCATGTCTATTCAGTCGTAGTGCGTTAGATGTCATGCACACGTGATTCGTCAAGATATATTTAAAGGCGACTCACCTGCACCGCTGCTTTCAAGACTGAGTAGGATATCTGGCGTCTCTTTGACTGTCGGATACCCAGCGGTAACATAGGCCCCCAGAGCAGCACGGTTCTGATGCTTCGCTTTCGCGAAGGACTGCTTAATATGCTCCATGACAGGTACGCAGTAGGTTGTTCATGCGCAAGATAACGTAGGGTGGACGTTAATAGTCAAAGAAACTCATCAACAACGACAGATGACTGGGGTAGACATTGCCGTTGGGTTTCCGGACTCATTCTTTTATGTCCTCTCACATCGAGTCATGACTCATCGCTACAGATTTATTTACTTCGCCTTCCTTCGGCCCCGAAGTGGCAATGGCATGAAACCATGGAATATAAGCCGGGCTGCCGGTGAGGGTGGGGATATGCCCCGCTGACAAAGCGGACGGGGCGACTCACGCTTTACAGAACAATTACAATATAAATACTCGGTATGCCGATCGCTCATCGAAACCTAACCATACAATCCTACGAACGTACAACTTACAACATGGCCTCTTTTAAGTATCACGCACTTCCTGGCTTTGGAGAAGAGTGTCGCGAGAAATACGGGTTCAGCGATGCCTGCATCATCGGCAATCGGCTGGTCGTCACTGGACAGAGTAAGCAGTGTACCGGAACCACGTCTGAGGACCCAGGGCTGATCAGATTGCAAAGCGGGCATGAATCCTTTGACCAGAGAGACTTCTCCCAAAATTGAGGAGCAAATTGCACAGGCCTTCAACAACATCAATGACCTGATCATCCACACTCTCGTTCAAGAAGGTCATGCCATTGAGGAGAATAGTACTGGCTGGGATTACGTGGTCAAGCTGCGCGCGTTCTTCGTGGGATTATCTGGAATGCGCGTGGAAGCACGGGAGAATATGGTCCACTACATCAAGAAGTGGTGTCCTCGCCATCAGCCGTTGTTCACCATGGTCGGAATCGAAAGCCTGCCTTTTCCCGAGCACCTTGTGGAGTTTGAAGTTGATGTATGGATTCCTTAATATGGTGCATGCTATGGTCCAATTGCGGTTTTAACCCCTTGTATTCCACTGAGAGTGCGGAATGAAGAGGGCCTTTTGGTACTGAATTACTACATTATTGCTTTTATGCCTGATATCAGTCTCCTAGAATACCTTGTAATCGTCCAATTATGTTGGCTGGTAACGTAGACCACAATCACGCGGGCCACCCTGTAATACTATACAAAAGATGCTTTCCAAATTCAATATATTTCAAACATCAAGAGTCTAAGGGTGTTAAGTTTTGATATATAAATTACAAGTGGTATAGAGAAACTGCAGACTCTTTTCAAAATCTCTTTCTATATACATAATAGTAGCATTTTATATATAATCCTGTTTTTTACTATATTATACAGAAGTTTGTTATAATTCATATAAATAATATATATATGAATATATACATACATTGTATTTATTCTTCTATTTATAATGAATAAAATGAAGTGAGAACTTCTCAAACACTGTATTAGCTGAGATATAATAGAATGAAAAAGATATCTTCTATATAGGTCAGCAGGGTGGCCCGCCTGACTGTGTGGCCCGCTCGACTATTGATTACGTTACACATGGTTGTAGCTCGGTATACGCGTCTAGGCCATGAATATAAAAGTTTTCAATCCTCCGTGTTAAGTGTTTTATTCAAAATTTCAAAGAAGTGGGATACCGGGGAAGTAGTCTGCATGGAATTGGCAGAGGGAGGATCATGCCATGTAGTATGTGAACAAACCCAGTCTATAAAGTCGAGCCATACAGAAATCTACACATCCTTAACCGCTATCTACCATCGCACCCTCTCCCCGTTATAATTAACAAATTGACCAGATGTGGTCGACTTTGTCGCTGCCTCAATCTGTAACGACGTTAGTAATCCGCACCTAGTCACGATAGCCAACATCCTGCATACCTGGTTGGTGATCCCAAGAACAGTATCCTGGACAGTCACCGGAGCCTTCTCTAGCCCATTGGCTTGTGCTGCACGACTCCCCATGTCAGTCTGTACCATTCTACCCACCAGAAACGAGAGTTTCAGCATCAGCATTTCTTGACTCATGAGCTATGGGAGTGCAAAAGCAAACCTACCCCGGATCAATTGGCAAAGCGATCAAGTACTGATTCTCCGCATCGATCTTCTTTATAAGATAGTTTCCAGCCACCTTCGACATCCCATACGCGGCGGTCAACGAAGGGATCTGTTCAATTTCATGAATGCTGGCCAGGAGCGTAGAGACATAAGCGAACTTGGGAATACTGGATTTCTGCAGCAGGGGCGCAACAGCTCTGAACAGTCTAAGTGGTCCCAGTGTATTTACTTCAAAGTGAGACAGCACGTCGGAGTCGGTCATTTCTACTACCGGTCCGTAGTGGTTGCAAATGCCCGCATTAGCAATGACAATATCAATATGCACAACACTGTGCTGCGTGTGGATCTCCGATACAGCCTCTATCGCGCCCTGTGGGCTATCGGAGCTTAACGGCACGACGATCAGGCGAGAGCCTTCGCCCTTTGGCAGCTCATTGAGATCTTTCGCATTCGCGGAGGAGACGTCCCGGGCAGTACCAATAACAGTCGTGTCTGGCTGGGCAAGGTAATGTGCCACGAGGCCCCTTCCGATGCCTGTAAGTCGAGTCAGCCAAGGGATGCACTATACTGCGAGGAGTCTTCTCTCACCTCGATTGGCCCCGGTGACGAGGATAACACGGCTCATTGTGAAGTATGTACAATGGTAGTATTGTTCACAAATTCGCAAAGTCAGTAATTGGTGAATCGCCGGACTCGGGAAGTCATCAGTGTCATCGGTTCTCGCTGTCCGAGATGTCCGAATTTATATTGTGATAGAGACTGTTCCCACAAGGGGGCGGGACGAGTCGACCCATTAAGTGCCTCACCTCGGGTTCGGCATCTCCGGATCGGAACCGAGTAAAGATAGAACAGGTGGGGTTGGCAAAGGGTTCAGCAATCTCTTCCCGGACGATGCAGTGGCTCGGAGTCTAATTATGACGGATACGTTGGTTATCCTAGGGGTCTTCACGCGATACAAATGATCAGAACTCAAAGTCTGTCGGACGGGACGACGGTATCAGATGTCATTAGTTTACTACATTGGGTTTACGTCTCCCGCTGAGTCAGCGGTAGCAATTGCATCTTGAGATTCCTCGGACTCCCATATACTGCCCTATATAGATCTCCAGTGTCGCCTGTTCTACAGCTGGTTCATTCCCTAAAATTACCTCATACTTCACTCCAAGGTTTTACGGAATTGCAACACCATGACGGTTACAAAGCGAAATGTCGTGGTGATCGGTGCCACTGGCTCTCAGGCAAGGTTACCCATACCCACGTGACATTAGGCGACGCAGGTAGCTGACCTTGAACTATAGGGCGGATCTGTGGTTGCGGAATTACTGAAGCACCCTCATCTATATCATGTCCGGGCCATTACCCGTAACACCTCCAAGCCTAAGGCCCAGAAGCTCGCTGCTCAGGGAATTGAACTCTTCTGTGCCGACTTGGAGGGTGGCAGAGAGGCTCTAACCGCGGCCTTCGCTGGTGCGGATGTGATCTACGCTCTGACTGACTTCTGGCAGAAGCAGTCGGCAGCAGCTGAGATTGAACAGGGTAAGGCGATTGCGGATGCTGCTGCCGGAATCACGACGCTGCAGCACTTCATCTGGAGCGCTTTGCCAGACCCTGTTGCCCTATCCAACGGCCAATTCCTGAACGTGCATCACTGGAAGGGTAAGAGTTTGATTACCGAGTATATCCAGACCCAGAAACCGGATCTGTGGGCAAAGACGACTACCGTTCTTTTCCCCAATTACTTTGAGAACACCTTGACTGATCCCCAGCGGTATCTGCCTGTCAAGGTGAGTGATTCCGTTCGATCAAATCTATATTGAATGCTCATGTACATCACGACATAGGACGCCAATGGCACCTACAATCTCAGGTTCCCGCACAGCCCGCACACGGTTCTGCCCAATGTGGCAATCGGTGATACGGGCAAGCTGGTACACCTGGTCCTCGAAGCTGGCTCCACCTACTTCACCAAGACCATCGCCTTCTGGGCTCAGGCGTTGTCTGAGGCTGACAAGCTCGCTGAGTTGGGCTCCTGTATGGTTCCCCTAATAGACTTGTGGTTCATCATGCTAATTTACGCATTAGGCTACAATGTTCCGACTCACTATCACGCATCCAGCTCTAGCGAATTCCAGCAGCTTCTCATGACCCGGGACGGCATGTCGGAGGACATTGCTTTGGACTTCACTGAGCAGTTGCTGATTTTTGAAAAGTGCGGAAATGTTTACGCACGGGAGGAGTTTGTGCAAGCCAAGGATGTAGGTCAACACCTCAGTTCTCTTCACGAGTACTACATTTGCTAACTGTGTTAGATTCCTGGACTGAAACTTCAGACCTGGTCCGAGTTCATTCGCCAGCACAAGCTGCTCTAAATAGGGTGGAGGGATACACAAACCACTTTTATAGATCAGGATAGACAATAAAATACGAGGCCCTTTTCGGTTGGGCTCATGCTCATCATTCTAATCATTCTAAGGTACTGTTAGACGCCCAGATGCGCGGAAATGGCTGCACGATGCCCACTATGAGCAAAAGCACACCTTTGTATCTATCGGAATCCCCGTAATAATCAGAAGACGCCTGGTAACCAGGTGTAATTCCGATGAAAGTTCAAACCAGCAACCTACTACTCTAGCGGCCATTATTTCCCCATTTTATGGTTACGGTGGAGCTGCCAAGAGCTTAAACGACACGACTCCGATTATTAAGCGGATTCGCCTCTCTGTGGGCCCTTGAGACACATCACGATCTCTTGCAGTCTATGCTTGCCCACTTGCATTCCACTCAAGCGCTGAGCCAGCGTGAAGTTATCGGCGAGGAATAGTGCATCTTCTCGTTACGTGACCGATGCCGGGCAACCGCCCAAGCAAACGGCGTTCGCCACTAACACAGAAACGACGGCCGAAACCGAGACGAAGAGCATGCGACTCCTGTTCCAAGAAAAAGGTATGCCATGTGTTGTTGGACATGACTCAGATCCAGTCTGACACCATATTACCGGGCTTGCAGATCCAATGCGATGGAGAGTTCCCGCAGTGCAACTGGTGCAAGCATCATAATCTCGCCTGTACCTTCAATCGAATTTGGGCGAATTCCGACACAGGGTACGCTATGACTGCATCTAATAATGCGGCCTGATTGCGAGTTTCACCTTTTCTGCTCCATTTCCTTTGAATAATGCTATTTCACTCAATATTTCAGGCGCCGTTCAACCTTATGCATCAGTCCAAGTGGTCGTAGCTAACTTGTTGGTAGCAACCGAGTGATTGGCGCCACACCCGACACACCTAAGGGGGTGATCCCCAACATTGCGGATGGGCAGCAAGACCTACTTGCCCGCCCGTCATCCCAGGTCGCTGACTCCACGAGGTCGTCGAGGATTGGAAATACGTTCCTTAACAACGTCACCTACCTAAGGGGGCACCATGTATTTTCAAACGAAGGCCAGAGGTGGATTGAATCTCAGGTTGGGGAAAGCGTCAACTTTGATAAGTTGTTCTCTCTGGAGCTCCGTTGGCTGAAGCCACTTCGATCGTATACGGTCCCTGGGGCGCACCCCCCTGCCGGTCCGCAGCTTCCAAGTAGAGTTAGCGTGGAAAGATATGTGCAGATATACGGCTCATCATCGCAAAGTCTTGTCTTCCCGGTCATCAGCCAGCCCGTCTTTGGCAAAACACTGGACCTTGCCTACAGTCATCTCCAGCTTCCTGGTTCTAACAGCGCTAAATCATGCGTCTATGCCTTCCTCTCACTTATTTCCCTGTTTGGCATGGATGACAACATCCACGGTGCTATGGACTGCCAGTCTTATGCATCAGTGGCACAGAGCTTTCAGATCCCGGTGATTGAGGAGATGACGGTCGACGGGTTGCAGACATTGATCATGCTGGTATGTCCAAGGCCTTCACCATGGTCCATGTTTTAAATAGCCAACACAGCCACCAGGTACAAGTTCAATACTTTCTGGGAGATCTTCAGTCAGCAGCGGCGACATTATCCATTGCCACGCGTCTTCTGTACACACTGGAAGCCCATACCACCCCCACCAATAAGCCCTCTGCCCCGTATGATAAAGGTGATTTGAGATGTCACCTACGTGATCTCTTCTGGCTCTGCTACTCCTTTGATAAAGACACATGTCTGAGAACGGGCCAGCCACCTTGTATCAACGATGCACATTGTGACCTTACCATGCCTCCCGATTATGTGCGACTGCATGATCTCAATCTCCAACAGAGTTTGCCACAGGTCGACGAGCATCTGGTTCCACTTTTCCCATGGGATCTTCGTCTGTCGATGCTCAAATCAAAAGTATACGAGGATCTGTATACCGCTCACGCCCTCCAGCAGTCCGTTACCGAGTTGCTCTCGAGCATCCGCGGCCTTGATGAGGCACTTGAGCAGTGGAGGCTATCGCTCCCTACCGAATTCCGACCTACTCTATACTTCTCTCAGGAGACACCAGTCAGTGCCAATTTGAACACCATGGCAGTGATCCTGCGGCTCGGCTACTACCATTGTCTGACTGTCATCCACCAAGCTAGCACCAGATGCCAGATTCTAGAGGCTGATCTTGCAGGACCGAGACTTGATGGCATCGCTTCCAGTACAAAACTTACCATCACCGCGAGTCGGTCGACGTTATTATATCTCCACAAGGTACTACCTGTGGTAAACCCGGAGTGCTTTTGGTATGGGTTCTCGGATCAGCGCTAATCCTAGCATCACTAATGGTTGTGTCTTGTATCAGGGTCGTCCTCTTTTATGCCATTACAGCAGTCTTGACCCTTTTTTGCAATATCATCTCGAATCCTCGCGATCCCGACACAAACCACAACATGGACTTGCTGCAGAACGTGCCAAGTTTGATCCGGAGTATTCCTATCCGAAAGTTAACTGCCGGCGAAGTCCTTCACCTTCAGTACCTGGATGTCTTTACCACGGAACTCAGCAGCATTTGCGTACGTGCCATATCCAAGTCACAACAGAACAGGTACAGCATAAATTCGCACTATGGTGACACTGCATCCATGTATACCATGCAGTAAAGAAGGAATGCTGCGAGACTCTAGTTCTTTATTATCAGGGCGATTGGAGGAGGCTATTGGCAATTACGAATGTTTATGTTACCATGTTAATGGCTGGTTATATGTAAAAGCCGAATGAATTTTCGAGACTTCTAAATAGAACTCATTCTCTCCAGAGCACTCACTCTATGATATAGACAGCCAGAAATCAAACCACTGGACAAAGCTTTGGAAGCTCTGCTCTTTCGCCCATTTCTCGTATGGGTCGGACAAAAATGCCCGCGACTTGGAGTATCTCTTAGCATGCGCCTAGACGGCAAGGACGGCTAGACCCAACTTACTGCAAATCCATGTGCAACATCGGAGAAGATCTGCATATTAAACCTTTTCTTTTCGTTCGTCATAATCTCAACGGCGCGGGCGCGTTGCTCCGGCATAAAGAGACCGTCTATGTTCGGCACAGAAAAGAGAATAGGCGCTTGTACTGGTCAACAGTCTATACAACACCGGCTGAATGATTCTTACCATCGATACCGAACACATGGCTCTCGTTCATGAACGACGGGTGAGCGATAGCGCCAGCCCTGCAGATTCCGTCCTTGGAAAGCTGGGTACACACAAACCGCGCCCCCCAGCTGTCATATAATTAAATATCAAACATCAGCCTCTGCTCTCCGGGCTCACCATAATGTAACTTACCAATGCCCGGCGCAAACAAACTTGACTTCCCCGTTATTTCCATACTCTGCTTTGACGTCCTTTACCCACTTAGCAGCAATGCGGTCGGTGGAGTCCATGTGCTTGTTCTTCCAACTCTGGAAGTCAAAGGTCGGATCGTTCAACGGGTTTTGGGAATGCTTCCAAATGGGGTCCTAGGTACAGATCGTAAGTCTCTGCCGTTTATGCAAGGGTCTGCCGAACTATGCAGTCATACCCCGGCGAAATAATCGACGCCCAATGTCAGATACCCGCAAGCGGCAAACGCATCCATTGTAAGAAAGTTATTGATGTGCAAGCCAAAGGCATCTGGAAAGAACAAGAGAACATGTCCATTGGACTTCGTCTTGTCCGGTGTGGCCACGTAGGTGTCCACGCCTCCAATTTGCATGAGATAGCCTGCCGGCTCTCCCGAATGGATGGAACCTTTCAGACAGCAAAGTTCAGCCGGCTTGGCAAGAACTGGATCCTCTGGAGCGCTCATTGTATCTATGGCTAGCGCAGAAGATTGGAATTATGCTGGCTTTCTGGCTTCGTGCCGGTATATGGGGGTTTATAGACTGGCTTTTCCTTCGACGAGTTCGGTGTGCGCGGATCGTCGGGGCATCTTCGGCACTGCGATTTGCGAGCCGAGTTCGGGCGTATCTCCCCGATGGCGGTCGTCAATCCCCCGCGGGGATTCAGCCGAGCCCTTGATGCTGTGGACGCGGACGAAGCGATACGAGCCAGCATTGTTACCCCCGCGGCTGATTTGTTGCCTGCCCTTTTTATTTAATCGCGACTTGCCCGTGGTAAGGGATCATCATGAAGAGTCGCACACATACGCGAGCATTCTCCCAACATGAGCGGCGATACTATTAGAGACTTGCACGTGGCCATTGTCGGTAGGTCTCCTTGAGATGCATCGACCTTTCGTGGTACTGATCTGAGACCGAGTCTAGGCGCCGGAATTGGGGGACTCGCCCTGGCCATGGGCCTGGAAAAGAAAGGAGTACCCTATACGATCTATGAAGCAGCCCCGGAATTTTCAGTCGTGGGGTAAGTCCAGACCCACAATAGTCGGACAATAGATTTACAGTTTGACACAAGGGACAGCGCGGGCATCGGATTCGGCCCGAATGGCGATCTAGCACTGGACATGCTGCAAGAAGGGTTCCGTGCAGAATACGAGAAGGTCTGTGTGGGCAATAAGCCCGGCGAGCCTCAGGATATCTACTATGAGGGCATGCTCTTGCAGCCAGGTCTTGGTACGCAGATCTCCTCACTTTCCTGCACCACCAGCGTGGATTCCCATTCACACTGTCTGTCATAGGTCTCAACGAACCATGGCGCGGCAAGTCTGCCTGGGGCCACCCAAAATACGTCCGCAGAAGTGTCTGTCACTCCCCATCCACGTTAAAGCCAGCTATAGGAGCGGCACTGATGTTGAGCAGGCCCATCGCCACGCAGTCCTTGAAATCATGACCAAATACATCTCAGTCGAGAAGGTCCGTTTCAGCAAGACCTTGGTGGGGATTCAACAGTATGCAGGCAAGGTCATCTTGAAGTTTGCAGATGGCGATACTGCTGAGGCTAGTATCCTTGTCGGCGCCGATGGTATTAAGAGTATGGTGAGAAAGCATGTTTTGGGACCGTTGTATCCCAGCCAGGTCGAGCCGGTGTATGCCGACTCGTATTGCTACCGAGGCGTGATCCCAATATCCGAAGCCAGAGAAATCTTTGGAGATCTCACCGACGTGGCGAAGATGTTCGTGGGCGACAAGCGCTGTTGTATCACGTATATGATTTCGAAAGGCGAGGTAAGTTTGATATTTTGCTGGGTTGCGATTGTGTGCTAAACGATGCCGGTTTCAAGGAATTCAATTTCCTCCTCTGCGCACTGGATGATAAGCCCTGGGAACTCAAGAACTCAGTATCCCAGAAGATCAGCCATGAGGCCATGATGGCTGACTTCGAAGGCCCCGAAGTGGACGAACGATTCCGCCGCTTGCTGAGGAAGGCCAGACCGGTGAAGTGGGGATTCTTCCATCATCGGTACACGTCGACATATTATCGTGATCGGGTCGTGCTTCTGGGTGACAGCGCCCATGCGTCCCTGCCGTTCCAGGCCGCCGGTGCTGGTCAGGGCTTAGAGGATTCCTTGATACTCTCCAACCTTCTAGCGAGGATATATCACGCCCCTGAGCAAGGTGCAGCACTGGCACCATATATTTCTGCCGGTCTTGCAGCGTATGACGCTATTAGACGGCCAAGAGCTCAGAAGCAATTAGAGCGGGCGTATGAAATGAGCCACATGCTTCACTTCCAGCACCCGGAAACTGGCAAAACGGTTGATAAGATTGCTTCGAAACTGCAAAAACAATGGTTTGACTGGATCTGGTTTCATGACTTGAATGGAGACATTGACGCTGCATTCCATAAATTGGACGAGGCCTTGAATGCGTAAGTGATCTCTGAAGATGTACGCTGCTTTACAAGAGATAAAGTGGCGTGTATACACACCTAGTCCAAAACACTCATGCTAATGGAGGCTCGTTTGTATCCAGGGCGAAGATTTGACATCAGATAATCTCAATGACTCCATAAGTGTCCGATCCTTTTTCTGTCCACTCTGTCTGATTCTGGTAGTTTTTGTTGAGATACGCGTTCATACTTTGTGTCCGTCCCATGTGCGCGTCCAGGACTTTAAAATTCATACTGTCTCTTATATCTTTGCTAAATATTATCACAAATGCGTCCTCATGGAGTGGAAGTCAAGCTTTCATTCAAAAATCATCTCGGGCTAAATATGGATACAAGGCTAATCTCCCCAGATAGCCAAGGTTATCGGAGACTGCCGACTGTCGTCGAACAAGCTACACTTGTAGGCAATGTCTTAGTAGGTGGAGCTTAGCTGGTCAAGGCTCAGGCTCAATCCGCCAAAGGAATGACCGAATAACTCGCCCCTGGGAAGTGGAACCATATCTGGGTCTGGTAGAGATGAGAGTCCAACGGTAGACCAAAGCTGTTCATCCGTGAGCTCCTCACTTCCGGTATCCGCAACACAACCATTCCCGAGACTATCTTGTTTAGCAACTGGGTGACGATATTCTGCCGCGTCAGCCTTCAAACACTGTGATACGAAGATTTTCCAACCCCACTAACCTTGGTCACTCTGTGGTTGGGAAAGACGTGCGATGAACCTCGCACAATCGTACACCACATGATTGTCCTTGTCTAACTTATCTAGGGATACCACCGCTTGATTTAGAGAGTCCTGAACAGAGCTCTGAGTGGCGTTGTCGTTAATATAGACTGCATGTTGCTCCAACACGGAGCGTCCCAGGATCACCAAAGCCGAATTTAATACTCAACGTGATCAGTTAGTATGCCAATGTGCAAGTATACATGACTCAGTCTACATGGGGATCACCTACCATGAAATAAAGTAAAGAACCAAACATCTAACCTGGTGTGAGAAGGGTACGGCGCGTTGATAACTGCATGCACTACTTCGATTGTCTTCTCAGCAGAGACTATGCACTCGTGGGCTTCCGCCACTGCAAGCTGAATTCTATAAGGTAATGGTCTCCCTGTGGGAGAACCTAACAAGGTCAAGTAACGCAGGATGGTGCATAGAAGTGGTCGATGGATTAAAATGTTGACAAAATGATATCGAAGCGTAAGAATGATCCGCAACCGGTTTAATACTGTATTATCATTTTGCAGATGAACATCCGATCCAGTCTCATACAGGTCCAGACATGATGGTAAACTGGAAGTCCATCGCCGAAGGTCCTGTCGCATCGTACTTGCCGCGTGAATAGCGGTACTCTCGTCGATCTTTTGATCCCCAGGCCCAAGATTCTGGCCGTATTGTGTGGCTAGGGACCGACCCACAACCTGGAGCAGCCGCACGGTCGCGTCGAAGAACGCCGTGTGAATGTCGCCGGCATTCGAATGATGTGTGGTTGTTTCGGTCATGGTCACCCATGGCGATGGCAACTTCACCACGATATACTCGTCTGGAATTACCGGCGGGCGTCCCCACGTGACGCTCAGGATTCTGTCCAAACAGTAGATCGTGAGCCAGGTACGTCGGCGGATTTCTTGCTGTATGGGGTGAAGCCCCTGTGCTGCTTGCTCTGAGTGCAGACCTAACGCCGTCGCTGTTCGTACGAGCATCCCATGCATTGTCCACATCTGAACAGGCATCTGTGTGCCTTGAAGATAGAGCACGGCCAGCAGAAGATATTGTACAATGTCAAGGCTGACTGTTCGCACTGACAATTCGCTGCAGAGGGATACCGCCCGTTGAAAAAGAACATGGGACCGCCTGAACCGATGCTTTGCCGAGACCTTTCCATTTTGATTAATGTGGGTAGCCATTGCAAAGGTCATGGTGAGCACACCGAGCCAGCCTCTCCGGGCTTTGACAAAACCGCTTGCCTTGTACTCATTGTATGTGTCTCTGAAGGTCGGCTCATGGAGAAAAGGAAAGAGAGAGCCATAGTCATTGAAATAAATGTCCAGCAAGGAGTCCATCTCTGTTTCGGAAACAAGGGTCGTGGGCGAGGAAGGCTGGTCTTTAGGAGACTTCATGACTGACTGCTGTTGAGACACCGGCGCGATGTTGCACTCAACAAAACCATTTTCATTGCATGGTGACTTCGTCTTGGTCCGCTTGGCGGTCAAATCTAGAGACATAGCCTCTAGAAGACAACGCGTGAACGCAATGCTGGATGATTCGCCGTAAAACTCAGTGGTCGGTTCGTCGACAAAGCCAAGGGCAAGGCCATCTGTCTTTGTGTCGTCCGACCCGGGGTCCTCCCCATTGACTCCATCGACGTGAACCTCATCTTGTATCTGTCGGACAGTACTGATGCTCGAGTGATCACCCATGGGTGGATCACATCTGTTTACTTTATCTGTTGCGCATACAGAGAGATGCCCTGTCAGCAAGTCGTCATGCCGTTGCAGTCGGCTCTCGACGCATCTCAGTCGCTGTTCCAGGTCTGCGACATATTCTTTGCGGACCAAAACATTTGTTGAGCAGTCAGACGGCTCATACACACACTCAATGGTCAGTGATAAGCATGTTGAGCACGACGGCCGCTGTCCATCGCATCTGCGCAGTTTTCTCTTCAGCACAATATCCAGCCTGCCGACAACAATTCATATCACGGACTTGCTCACCTGGACTTCCGCGCTCGGCATGCACTGCACGCCAAAGCGGTGCGTCGCCGTTTTGCTAGTGGCTCTCCTTCTCTATGCGTCCGAATCATATCGCCACGTTGTGCAGATGCGGTTGGTGCCATTAGGTAGTGTAAGAACCAAATGGCGCATTGCGCGGATGACTTCACATCAGGAGAAGGGCTGCATGTGGTGGACGCTGGAAATATGAGAGTGCTTGCTATCTACCGTCGCTGACTACCCCGCTGCGGCACAGCGGGGAGCGGAGTAACCTGATAAGCCAAATGTCCTTGGGGTCTTGTTGATGTCCCCACGCGGTCTTCTTGATATGGACCGAGGGTTGCTTACGCCACGGGACGTCAATCCCTTCTTGCTGATAGGCTGATCTCCCGATATGGTACTAGCGCGCCGCTGACAAAGCGGGAAGTTCATTCCATGAGAATGGATATGGGGGAGATATCATTCGAATATGACCCAGGAGGACGAAAGCATTGAAGTCTCATATATACTGAGTACTATATATAATCCGGCCTATAGCCTCCTGGTTTCGTCCCAGAGAAAACAGTTCGATGACGGCATCATATCGATTTCAGCCTTTCAATCCAAGACGAAACCTTGGAATTGAATACAGCATCAATGTGAGCCTGTCACCGAGTGTTGAGAGGCTATAGCCATTGCCTTCATTATGATACTCAATGGTTTGAGCTCCCCTCGCTCCTGGGCCGCCGTCTCGACGAATTGGTTAAACCAAGACACTAGACCGAGATCGGCTTCGGCATTTCCACACTCCGGAGATCCGATCATATTCATGGAGACAATAAATAATGGAACAAACTGATGGAGAAGGATGAGACTGTAAATAGAAGGATGCAACAATCAGCATCATGATGTGGAGAATCTCGCGTTGCAACATACCTGATACCCCAATATGGGTGTGTAGAGGACGACATGAGGGACCGGGACATATGAAGGCTCTTCCGTGCAATGTCGACCGTGTGATATGGTAGGAATTGGCTATCTTGGTTACATTTCTTCGCTTGGTAGAAAACGATGAGCATTTTGTAGCTGCTGAATAGGATGTCCACGCAAAACCAGGTATCCATGCGGTTCGTAGTCGTAGTAAGGAGTTCCTCCTTGGTTTTGTTAGCTTCCGGGTGAGTAAAGATGAACCTTAAAGATTAACGTACCGGCGACCAGTCGGACATGATGGTTTGGACCTCGGCAATGAGACCATCTATTGTCCTATCGTACTCGGGTGTGTCCACGTCGGGTTCCGCATCGACCATGTCCAAATATTTTATCAGAACCAACGTGAGACGCATGGAAGCAAAGAAATGGATTTGTATGAACCGGGTGGATGCGTGATCAACTCCAGTGATACTCGGATCCGGAAAATTTACCGTCCAAGACCCGTCGGCAATGAGCGCTGGTTTACCAAAGGACAAGCGGAATACGCAGTCCGTTCGTAGTAAGTGCCAAAATTCAAAGCGCATCCTGTTCTTCTCGATCTCACTTTTAGGATCAAGGGGACCGCCTGGTCGCAAGATTTGCTGTCTGGGTGTTGGTTGGTCGGCATCAACAGAGAAATATCCAAGAGCTCGAGCAATAGTGCAAGCATGGGCCACAATCCTCCAGGACAGTTCACTGTTGCAAGCTTCAAGAGACATGGACATCTAAGCTCACTTTAGTTTCTATTGCATTTTCTGGACGTCGAAGCTAGAACGCACCATAAAGAAGGCAGCGAACAAGTCAGCCGGGGTATTCTTAATCTGGGCTAGCCAGCTTTCCGTTAGCTCCATACAGGAGTGGCAAAGGAATTCCACGATGGCGCCTCTGTTGGGATAGGGGTCCGGGTCCACCAAAAACCCTTGAAAGAGGACGTTGTAATACACAATTCGTATTGTTGGGTCGAGTTGAACATGTGGGTTGTGAAGGAGATCCGGGAGGGAGAGGATGAAATTTCTTTCAAAGGGAATTCGGAAACCCTCGAATTGGTACGCCTCATAATATACTCGGGTCCAGGTTAGCATAATGTTGAATATCCACGTGTTGTGGACGGACTGTACATTCTATCCATTTGTGTGCTGTTTCTTTTGTGATGACAGGGGAAGCCTTTGGCTTTGCGGTTTCTACGTTCTCCAACTGCGAGATCTCTCGCATGGCGACCTCTATGGCCTGGATGCACTTCTCGTTCCCCCAGAAGCGAGACTCCACGGTCTTGAGGTGACAAAACACATTGGAACTGAGAAGTGACCTAGTATTTTCGTCCTTTAGCCCCCTCAAAATAGTCTGAGCTACGCCCTGTGCTGCTGGCAGAGGAGACTCAATGCCGCGGGGTGGAACGCTTGGGGATGTGTCATCTTCCGAGCCGATGGACATTGAACGAGATGCATCTGCTGGCTGATCTAGGTCTGAGTCGATCATACAGTGATCTTCTAGACGCTCGAGTCGCCTAAGGATTTCGGAGAGGACATTTTTATCGTCTAGCGGCCTACAATGTCCGTGACCACGTTAGTAGCTTTCGCCCTGCTTGTCGCAAAGAACAGGATTGCGAGGACAGGGGGGAGGGAGGACCTTCGCTTGGTGGACCGTTGTTTTCGCGGCAGATAAGTACATACTGCCCCGACAGCATCGCATTTGTCGCATCTGGGGTCAAGCCTATTGCAACGGATCTAATGTTCCGTCAGATGGTGCATGGCTAGAACGCGCGGCTGAGGCCGATACCTTTTTTTGCTGACAGCGGCGACACTAGACCATAGTCAGTTCTAATAATCATCTCAGACTGGCTGCAGGGATGACTGGGTTCAGCCTACCGAAATAGGCTTGCGGGAGCTCATCCTCCAAGCAGTGGATCTGCGATCGGGGTTGAGTGACAAAGTTGCAAAGGGAGGAAGGGTGGCAGCGGGAAAGTCCTGAGTCCGAAAGTCCGGCCAGCAATTTGGCAGCCTGCTTTGACCGCCCGGGATTTCGAAATTCCCGAATGTCCGCCACGTCGATCGGCTCCACTTTCCCAAGGAGTCATCCACAATCATCGAGTCATCGCGCTGCGCTCCAGATCCTCCTCGTAAAAGCCGATGCCACTTAGGCCTTTTAGGCAGGCTAAGACCTTTCATGCATACGTCTTCACTGATACAGGGCCAGCCCACTGTGGCCTGGACCCGCTTCTGGTTGCAGACTGAACATCTGGCCTTCAAGGGTCTCTCCCCTATAAATCCAACTCTCCCCCATGCGGTACCATGCTTCGTCTAGTCGACATGCTCTGGCCTGCACTCACACCGGAATATCACAATGGGCCACTCTCCCGAAAGTCCGACCGGGCAAAGCCCGCCAGAGAAGCCTCGCGAAGACACCATCATTATCGGAGACCAAGAAGAACCAAGCACAATCGATGAAAAGACCACGGAAGAGCAGAAGAAGAATGATGAATCTGCATCGCTGGGTAATTACATTGTATGGTTTTAATTGCTCCCACAGTGTTCCGTCGCTTACTGTCTGCAGCGGCTGCTTTCCTACACCAACCGTACTGATCGCGTGATCCTTGCAATCGCCATGCTATCCGCCATCGGATCTGGAGTGGTAGGTGGATATCGTCGACATCGGAGATGTTGGGTCTAACTTTCGTCGTATAGCCACTTCCCCTGATGAATATCGTATTCGGCAGCCTTGTCGGACAATTTAATGGATACTTTTCGGCGGGAACATCTGTGACGGAGGCGGAATTTAAAGCCTCGGTCAGCAGACTGAGGTAAGCAAGCTTTATGGATGAAGCAATGGTCTTTGCCAATCATCACGAACTAACTTGATGATAGCTTATACATCGTCTACCTTTTCATTGGAAAATTTGTTTTGACATATTTCTCCATGGTAAGCCGATGTGTGCCACAAAGCGGAATAATTGCTGACGTTGCTAGTATTGTTTCCGCGTTATTGGTCTTCGTGTTTCAGCCACTTTGCGACACGATTACATGCGGACGCTCTTCGCCCAGCCGATCAGCAAGCTCGACCAGGTATCAGTGGGTGCCGTCACCAACACCATCACCACCCTGTCCAATTCTATCCAACAGAGCATTTCGGATAAACTAGCCATCCTTTTCCAATCTGTCGCCCTTCTCGTGGCTGCATACATCATCGCTTTTAAATATTCATGGGCCTTGACTCTGGTCACTAGTTCCGCACTTCTATTTATCCTGATCGCTGTCAGCATAACACTACCCCGTTTAACGAAAGCCCAGCAAAGTGTCGACAAGGCAGATGAGAAGCAGTCATCCATCGCAGCGGAGGTGTTTAGCTCAGTTCGCACAGTGGTATCACTGGGAGCGGAAGGGAACCTCGCCACCAAATATGCGCTTTGGGTCGAAGAAGCGCGTAAACGAGGGCGAAAGATGTCCGTGTTCCTCGGACTTCAATTCGCCCTAATTTTCTTCGCCATGTACTCTAGTTATTCCTTGGCCTTTTGGTTTGGACTGAAGTTGTTTCGCGACGGTCACATTGGGAGCATCAACACAGTCATCACGTGAGTATATCCGCCAACATTTGGTCCCTGTGCTAATCGGGGATAGCGTATTCTTCTCGGTCATGGTGGCAGTGAGTGTCATGGGAAACATCGCTTCGCCGTTGATTATAATATCCAAGGCAGCTAGTGCGGCGGGTGCATTCTTTGAGATGCTGGACTCGGAGAAGATAGACGTCAGCGGTCTTGGCGACTCCGATGCCTCTGCAGAGGTGGATATTGTGCTTGAGAATGTTCATTTCGCCTACCCTGCACGACCGGACACAAAGGCGCTTAACGGGCTCAATGCTCGGTTTCAGCGGGGAAAGACTACAGCGTTGGTGGGCCCCTCAGGGTCGGGAAAAGTACGATCGTGGCTCTGCTAGAGCGATGGTATCAGCTGAGTGGAACCAGCGATAAAGACCAAGGGGCAATCTATGTTGGCGATCATAATGTCAATAATTTGGATCTGAAGTGGTGGAGGTCCCAGGTGGGGCTAGTACAACAAGAGCCCGTTCTTTTCAACGATACCATCTTCAACAATATCTCCCTGGGGCTAATCGGAACGAAGTGGGAGCATGAGTCCGACGACAAAAAGAAAGTACTAATTGAGAATGCGTGTCGAGAGGCCTTTGCAGATGAATTTATCCAACGTCTGCCCAAGGTATGATTATGACAATCTTCCTCGTACCAAGTCTGACATTTGCAGGGCTATGACACCCCAGTGGGAGAGAATGGCACCAAGTTAAGTGGTGGACAGAGGCAACGACTGGCAATAGCCCGGAGTATCGTGCGTCAGCCCTCTATCTTGATCTTGGACGAAGCAACGAGTGCGATCGATGTCCGTAGTGAGAAGATCGTCCAAGCAGCTCTTGATCGGCTGTCTCGCAACCGGACTACAATCGTCATCGCTCACAGGCTGTCTACCATTCGACAAGCCGATCATATCATTGTCATGAAGGGTGGCGTGGACATCGAGCAAGGCACTCACGAGGAACTTCTCAACATCGAGGGTGGGGTCTACAGCGGCCTTGTCAATGCTCAGAAAGTGGAACTGCTGGATGATGATGACGAGCACACTAGCGACATAACCGAAGAATTAAAGGAAGATTTCAAACCTGCAGACGAACTTGTTCGACAGTCTACGAACCAGGATGGAAAGGAATCAGCGAAGAACAAGGGCTTCTTCGGCAGCATCGGGTTGTTTTTATATGAACAGAGAGCGCTATGGAGGTTCTATATTCCAGTTGTGGCCAGTGCCGCTGGAGCTGGAGGTAAGCACCCTCGAACTTGCGGTGCCAATACAGACTAACAAAGTCATGTCTGTAGCTGCGTTCCCACTCCAAAGTTGGCTTTTTGCGAAGCTTATCGGGGTGTTTCAGTTGACTGGCCAAAGACTGGCACATGCAGCCAACTTCTGGGCATTGATGTTCTTTATTCTGGCTCTAGGGACGGCATCATCTTACGGACTTATGGGATATTCTTCGAATAGGTTCTCTGTGGTAAGGTGCCATACAAACACTACAGCTTACGAAGCTAATTCTTGCCCAGGAAGTATCCTCCTTCTATCGAAAACAGTACTTTGACAACGTACTCAACAAGCCTATTCCATTCCACGATCAGATTGAAAACGCTTCAGGCTCCCTTGTCTCTCGGTTAGCAACAGATCCGAAGCAAGTGCAAGAGATTGTCGGAGTGAACGGTGCATTCCCACTCTCTTCCATATTCAGCATCCTGGGGTGCATTATAATCGCATTCACATTCGGGTGGAAGCTCAGCCTTGTTGCTGTTTTCGCAGCACTGCCATGCACATTTCTTGCAGCGTTCATGCGCATCCGATACGAAATTCAATTCGAAGCAATGAACGCCAAGGTCTATTCTGGAAGTTCGCAGTTTGCAGCTGAAGCCATAGACGCGTTTCGTACCGTCTCAGCCCTGACAATGGAAGATGTCATTCTGGATCGTTATTCCAAACTCTTGCGGGACCAGCAAACAAAGGCTTTCCGAAAAGCCTGGTACGCTACCCTCATCTTCGCCTTTTCTGACAGTGTCGAGTTGTGCGCTATGGCGCTTACGTTCTGGTAAGTGCTAATTAACCAATCCCTTGCCGCTGCATCTAACAGCATCGACAGGTATGGCGGTCAACTTCTCGCGTCCCGAGAATACCAGCCGACCGACTTCTTCGTCATCTACATTGCGATCATTCAAGGCGGACAATCTGCCGGTCAATTTTTCAGTTTCGGATCCAACGTCGCCCAAGCTATAGCATCCGCAAACCGTATGCTAAATCTGCGACCGAGCAAAGCCGAACGTGAAGAAGCCCACAACATCAAGGCTCAGCCAGAGTCCCTGCGAACCCGCTCTGGAGCCAACATCGAGTTCAATAACGTCGCATTCCGCTACGCCTCCCAAGATACACCTCTATTCACAAACCTCAACGTCAAAATCGAGAGTGGCCAATTCGTCGCCTTCGTCGGACCATCTGGCTGCGGGAAAACAACCGTGATATCTCTACTCGAGAGATTCTACCACCCCTACCAAGGAACAGTCCTCATCAATGGCAACGACATCCACACCATCGACCCCTCATACTACCGTCGCTCAATATCCCTCGTAGCACAAGAGCCACGCCTCTTCGAAGGCACCATTCGCGATAACATCACCCTTGGACTCGACGAGTCCGAGTTCACAGAAGACGATCTGATCCAAGCGTGCAAGGACGCAGAGATCCACGATTTCATCACCTCCCTCCCGGAAGGGTACTCCACTGATCTTGGAATCAAGGCGCAGACCTCGATGAGTGGAGGACAACGACAACGCATGTGCATTGCGAGAGCGTTACTACGAAAACCATCCCTACTTCTGCTTGATGAAGCGACATCGAGTCTTGACTCGCAGTCTGAGAAGGTCGTGCAGGCGGCAATGGAGCGCTTGGCTGCGAAAAGATGTATGACGATTGTGGCAGTGGCGCATAGATTGGCTACTATTCAGAAAGCGGATACGATATTTGTCTTTGGTGAAAGTCGGAGTGGGTATGGGTCTAGGGTCGTGGAGCAGGGGAGTCATCAGGAACTGTTGCGGAATAAGGGGACGTACTGGCAGATGGTAAGTCTTGACTTCACTTATCGATGTGATTGTGTTTGCTAATATTTTCGCAGTGTCAGGAAAACGCGCTCGATCGATGATTACATTCTACATAGTTTTTATTTGAATATAGATTTGGTATTTACCGGGGATAATATGCTGATGCGGAGTTCTTTCATCATCCGGTTAGATGATGTCAGTAGATACTGGGTTGCTAATAGAACTAATATCCTTTTGCGCATAAACTCTCACTAGACATCAAACGAGCCTCACAAACATACCTAACACTATCAAATAATCTACGCGCTATCTACAGACAACCAACCATTCTCCCTCTACCCTCCTACCCTCGTTATACACCCTCCAATCACGAGCCACAGTATTAGCCAATCCCTCTATAAGCACCGTAAGTTTCCCTTTCAATACAAGCATAGTCCACCGTCTCCAAAGACAGGAACAGGAAGAAGTTTCGAACCCAAATTGTACAACAGCTTTAGGTAATTCGTCGTATGAGTCATGAGAATAATACTTCGGCAATCAAGGTCCAGTCTTACAAATGCAACCTCAGTACCATCGTAGTGTCCAACCAGATCTGCCAATGATTCGCTTTCTTGGACTATGAGGCCCATGTCACTCTGAAGACGTAATGCTCATATCAGCATACCAGACCAACAATTGCGATGAACTGCCATGCCATTTGAACTGCTAATCAGAACGGTGGAAAGATGGTGGATACCAAAGTTTAGCCGGGTGGTATCCGTCGTGCGGGTCCGGTCTATTTGTGGAGCAAGGTAAGTAGTGCCGAGGAACCGGCTGAGTTCCTGGACGGGGAACTGCGACTGCTGGTTCTATTTTTGCTTTATGCTTGCTGCGTGAGATGGCTTACTGCGTTTCTACTTTCAGATGACTAACTCATAACAGAGTAGAAATTTCATTAATTTTTCGTGACACATCTAGTACGTTTTAGACAAGATCGTTGACGTTGGCCAAGTTCGTCCAGACCGCCACCGTTCGTGATAGCTAAATGAACGAAATTGATTCTGGCGTCGTCTTTGGTTCCCATTTCTTGGGTGTGCCATTGACTGGGTTCGGTGATGCGTTTGAGTTTCCATTCTTGTTCTTCCCTCCTCTCTTCTTTTTTGACTTCTTGCGGGGGCTGGAATTGTTATCGCCGGGAGCACTCTCTGGTGTCTGCGCTCCGCTTCGTGGGTTGAATTTTGGACTCGGCTCTGGCTTGTCGAATGGGACTTTCCCTGTCTGCGTCGGCTTCTCCGGATGGGCCGTTGTTTCCGGAACAGGCTTTGGAGATATCGCAGGCTTTGAAGGCTCCCTTGGCTTGGGCTCCAGCTCTGACTTTAGCTGTGTCTTGGGTGAAGCTGGTTCCGGTGTAAAGCTTTGATGCCTCACTGGCTGCGGCGACCGGAAGGTGAATGGAGGAGGTGAAGCTGGAGCGGGAGATGGAGACTTGGAATTATGGCCGGATGCTGACCCGTTGGCAGCCGCCTTGGTCAAGTTGGCAATGCTCCCGGAGTAGATCTTCATGACGAGTTCCAAGATGAACTGATCGAACTTTGCATCGCTTCCCACCCCGTACTTCAGAATATCGATTCTGAACTGTTCTTCGCCAGCTTTGAATGCCGCGGCAAGTTGATCATGCATGAAATCCTCAAACCACTTTCTACCAGTGAACATAGTAGCATAAACCTCGCGGGCAATCTTGAGTAGTTCCAGTGTTGACACGGAGTCAACAAAGGTATACATGTAGCGCTTTGCGTGGTCCAACAGGCCCTGGATCTGGTGTCGCTGAGCCATGTGGAAGGCGTACACGCTGCGTTTGAATTCCCGAGCTCGGGATTTGGAGGGAGGAACGCTGGGAGACGCGGCGAGGGTTTGATACTCGCCAGTGTAGAGATAGTGGATGAAGGTATGTCCAATGTCGGCGTACATTTCTTCGAGGGCGAATTCCTTCATGTAGGCGAATTTCAAGTTCGGGATTTTGAGGACGTAGTATTCGGGTATGGCGTAGGTGGTACGGCCGATTGTGATGTGGTTGACAGGGCTTGCGTAGGGACTGTAGTGCTTTGGTCAGTGTTTGCTTGTATAAAAACATAGGCGAGTCTCTCAATGGCCTAGCTACCTGACACAAGGCTGGGGATAGTCCATGATCGTTTTGGGAGGCGATTCTGGCGATGCGAAGACATTTTGGGTCGGCTTCTTTGGCGCAGTGCTAAAGAGATTGCACAACGGACTGTCTGCTGGGAATATCTTCGCCATTGTGTATGCCACCTGTTGTGAGAGACGTGGAAGGACTGTTGTGAGAGATGGTGATTAAAAACAGACAGACGAGCTCCTTGTTAGCCAGGCAATACAGGCCCACCGCCCGGCTTAACCGAATTTCACGGTCTCGCCGCCTACCGCGATAGGGAAGGTCTGTGTTTACTACCCGCAGAATGTTCTTATCTCGTGAATCCCGTGGTTGGGGCCGTGCCTGAAACTTAAAAGTTGATATAATGATATTTTAATTTTCTGCTGTTGGCTGACGCTGTGGTGTGGGTTGCAATGCTCTAAGCTTTTGGCAGAGTCTTACTTAGAACTCTCAGACTTCCGCTCATGGGTCTTTCCGAGACATCGTAATGGTTTTTCTAGATGTCTCGGAAAACTCCGCGACGCGTTGTTTAGGAGCTGCCCCAGGCACATTTCTCCACATTCTCCCATAGATACGATACGATACGATATTCCACTTGCCCATTTGGGAAAAGAACCACACCGACAAGACCACATGTATAAGTAATGATTTCACACCCGTACAGTAATTGAATGTGTTGCTTGAAAGTAGCTGGATTCAAGCAACTCGATATGCTCTTTGGTTCATCCCTCTATGTGCGAAACGGCCTCTATTAGGCCCCTGGCGAGAATCGCTCTTGGTAGGTAGAAAGCTAAAACACCAGTTTTTATTAACACCCACTCTCGCTGACATCAAGCAAGCCATCACCTCACTGCCTAATCATACACACAAACTCCTCAACTTCCCTCCCAACAACTCCCTTCCTAACCAATTGTCCCATCGACTCCACAATCCAAGTCTGACAATCCCTCTGCACCACCTTCCTCCCAACCCCATCCTCTCCCAAGTTCCCCTCCTGACTGACACTATTCAACGACTTCCCTGGCACCTTTACCTTAGACAACACCTCCTCAAACGCACACACCGGCAGATTCTCGATCTTCTCCACCCCACCATTAAACATCTTCCCCTGATCAAGATGCCCCCCATCAACCCACTGTAATGGTATCCGCTTAATCGGAATATCCGGACTGGTACGGAGATCGTGGCTGCGCTTGATCTCGAAGATGAAGCCGTTGCGCACGTCCCCGGTCGCGTGGATCTTCACTCCGACGAGGGGATCATCTGGAGAAGAAATCCAGTATGCCCAGTGATCTTTGAAGGGGTGGCCGTTGAAAATGTGGAGTTCGAGGAGGAGAGAGCCTTTGGGGCCGGTGGTGGGGACAGTGGGTGGTTGTGGTTCTGGTGGGGTGTGTGCCTGAACTGGCGGTGGACCGGGTGCGGGTGGTGGGGTGGGAGGTGGGATGAAGGACATAGTAGATGTTTCTGACTGACAAGTATGAGCTGGGGAATGTAGCTATTGGGGAGTAGGTATCTGAGAATTATATCTGCTTGTCTCAAGAGTAAATAATGAGTAGCAAAATGAGGACTAGATAGGGGTCTCTGTTTCTAGCGCAGTTAAGCGCTGTTGCCTGGGGAATGATGAGCGGGGGTACGAGGAGGCTGTCGTTATGATTCATACTACAACCGAGTCAAAATAGTAAAAAGGACAGCTATGATACTCATGGAGGATCTCCAGAAGTATAAACTCACACCTTCCACCACTCCCTTCCCAAACTCCGGATACACCTGAAACGTCACCCTCAACCCCGCCACCGCAGCCATCTGTTCCCAGTCCGTCTGGCCTCTCTGCCGCCCACCAAAGAACAGAATCATCGCCGCATGCGCCCCCGCCATATTCACATTCTTAGGTAGCCCAGGAATCAACAATCGCGAATATGGCGCCATCGCCTCGGCAATCTTCTGCAACAGCCGCGCAGCCTCTAAATGAGGCAGATCATGCATAACTACTGCATATGGTAGACCAGGGCCCCTTTGACCGACTGAGAGTTATCCTCCTCCGTAGAGTTCCACTTTTGAATAGTAATACCTGGAATGCTGGCAATACCTGGGTTGAAATCCTGCACGATGAGGTCGGCTTCCTGTTAGGGCGAAGATGCTTCAGCGAAGATGTTGGCTATGATATATCTTACCAAAGGAGAGATCCATGTTTGGCTGAGGGACTCGCTTCAATGTGCTTCTGATTTCATTAGCCTGGTACATGTCGTCATCTACTCAGTCAACAAAGCCCAGACCCGCCATGGCGCGCAGTGTGTCCTCTGCGTAGAGCATCGTCATCAACTATCGCAAAATAACTGGACGTAGTGCAATGTGTGTACTGACGGATGAGAATCAGGGCTATCCGAAGGGTCAATATGCGCGGATCACATCATCGTTATAACAGCCTAGATCACTTAGATGTCTTAGGGTCACCCGGCTTGATCTCCTTGCGGTACGCAGCCAGAATTGCTATCGAAGAGAGTGGTCCATCACGGGACGCCTTTGCCACTATGTCGAAGAGGCGGAGTCGAATGGCAACGGGCATGAAGCCTAGTGAACATGCCTGTCGGGGTGTATATTAGCCGAGTGACAGAGTGCCGATGAGGGACTATATGTACTGAATAGATCGTTCTCTCGAGCAATGCGCCTGCAGAAATTGAGGCCATAATGTTGTGGCAATTTCTTAGTTATCTTAGCTGAAAGCTCAGCCGCAGGCGCGGAATCATAATAGTTTTAAATACACTCCATGCTTGTACTTCAAGGTACTTCTGCTCCCGGCTTGCTTCACGCACTGACCGATCGATCAATATCTGTACTCAATCAGGTAATAGCCAATATTGTCACTGGTGTGATGAGTGTGATGTGCGCACCATAGATTAATGCAGCTGTCCAAAAGAAGTTGTGCACGATCTTCGGGGGATTACGATGTGGTAGGCGACAAGGTTTACTACAAAACTAATCGAGCAACGATGAGTTTTTGAGAGGACTTGAGTAGAGTTCCATGTTGAGATAAAGCCCCTGCCACACAGCGATCATGGCTAGTAAGCAGCAAGGGATGTGCTGACATGAAATTAATCGAGGTACACTCCTCACGGTCGGCCATCGGGCCATTTATTATTAAGAAGCCCGAACTAAGCCTGAATTCGTTAGCTTCTTTCTCATCCTTCGGGGTAGAATCTCACCATCGCGGAGACATTCCGGAACTATGATTTGCCCGCACTTTAGCATTTCCAAGTGGATCGGACACATTACCCGCCAATGCCCTAAGCAACATGACCAAGAATATGCCCGAGCAGGAATAATCCGACTAAATACATACGAACCAGATGTATATAAAGAGAACTTAGACACCAGCAGATATATCACTCAACATCAACATAATAGTATTATCACCACCCAAATACCTTCATCCGCATCTTCACCACTTCTAAATTACAACCACCAACATGTCTCCAATCACCCGCCCACCCCTCCACCCCACCCTCTCCGCCGTCCACCAAACCATCCCAACCATGGACATCAGCACCCCCGAAAAACGCCGCGTCTATCGGGACTACCTGACCACGAACTTCACACTTGAAAATACCCTCAAAGGCCACGAATCCACAATCGTCTACCAAGAAGTCGACATCCCGGGTCCCGCCGGCCCTCTGCGCGCCACCATCTTCCGCCCAAAGCACACCACCCTGAATGTCTCCTCCACCCCGGGAATCCTCCACCTGCACGGCGGCGGCCACTCCACCGGCAACCGCTTCATGGGCTTCACCGTGCTAGACTGGGTCGAGGCCCTCGGCGCAGTGATCATGACAGCCGAGTATCGTCTCGCACCGGAACATCCTCAGCCCGCACAGCTGGAGGACAGCTACGCGGCTTTGAAATGGATGAGCGAGCATGCGGACGAGCTAGGCTTCAATGCCTCCAAGTTAGTAGTTTGTGGTGGCTCGGCGGGTGGTAATCTCGCAGCTGGTTTGAGCCTGCTAGCAAGGGATCGGGCCGGGCCAGCGATCAAGGGCCAGGTACTGATGTACCCATGGGTCGACGATAGCGTGGAGTGGACCTCGATGGAGCAGTTTGGGGATATTGCGCCGTTGACGAAGGCAGATGCGGCGCAGGCGAGTGATTTTGCCTTTGGAGTGAATAGGGAGTTTGCCGATATGTATACGGTTCCCTTGAGGGCGCAGAGTTTTGTGGGCTTGCCGGAGACGTTTATTGATGTTGGGGAGGCAGATGTGTTTCGCGATCAGGATCTTGCGTATGCGACGAGATTGTGGAGGGATGGGGTTGCTACGGAATTGCATGTTTGGCCGGGGTGCTGGCATGGGTTTGATGCTTTTGTGCCGGAGGCGGAGGTTAGTAAGAGGGCGAGGGAGGCGAGGTTGGGGTGGTTGAAGAGGTTGCTTGCTTGATGTGTTGGAGGTGATTTAGGGGTTATTATTGTTTGTGTTCTAGATTTGGTGTATATGTTATTTGTTTGTGTAAGTTCTAAAAATTATAGAAGGAGGTGTGATTTTTCTTCTCAGTTTCAATTTGTCCCAAGTTAACATTAGACATCGGACAGATGCAAAATGTCGTGATTGGAGTAAGATCAATAGCTCTGATTCCAGCTCACGTGCTTTCAGCCTTCTTCTCGATCTCACTATCACCCTCCATCTTCGCGGAAGCACCCTGCTCGCTGTCTCGCGCATCCTTCCGCTCAACATCAGGCTTGTTCTGCTTCACACTGCGCCATTCCATACCAAGTGCACCAATGATAGCAAGGCAAGCCATGATAAGTCCCACCTGAAAGCACACGCGCAGAGAATCATTATAAGCCCTCAATGCATCATCCCGATACGCCTCAGGAACAAGGCTTAACACCTCCGTCGCACCCGTACTCTGAATTACCCGCGGAGTTACATCGACACCCGGAATATGACCAAGTCGCTTAGCCAGCTGATTGGAAAGAACATTCGCACCCACAGACGTGAAAATAGCTCCGAAGAGCTGCTGACCGAAAAACATAAGCGACGCTCCGATAGCGACGTCCTTCCGGGACAACACAGTTTGCGCGGCCATATTATTTATCTGAGTTGATGAACCAAGGCCGTAGCCGTAAAGAATTTGAAAACCGATCCATTTTGCTTCTGAGGTGTTGACATCCAAGGTGGTCAGCAGGCCAGCACCGATTGATGTAAGGCAAACACCAAAGATTAAGAAAGGCGTGTAGTATCCGATGCGAGAAATGAGTTGTCCGGTCACAATCGATGCTATGACGAGGGGTATTATCGTTGGAAGGAGATGGATACCGCTACTGACTGCTGAGACGCCTTCAATAGCTTGGAGCCATATGGGGAAATAGTATACTAGTGTTCGTCATTGGTATGCGATTTCTGCATGTAAATGGTGTGATGACTCACTGATGATCATCGTATGTGCGCCTTGGCAGCAGCTCACCCAGAAGCCACTTGCAATACTACGCTGGAAAAGTATTTTAGGTGGTAATGTAGCCTGCTCTGGCTTCCAGATTTGGATTACCACGAAGGCAATAAGAAGGATGAACGCGAGCACAAGCAGTGCGATGATCCTCCCATTGCTCCACTGGACAGTGTTAACGTTGCTTATGGCTTGGAATTGTGCCTTAATGAGAAAGCGTCTAACTTACGTTATATGTGGTACCGGCCCACTGCAGGGCCAGGCATAGACAGACAACGCCGGGAATAAGCGCTACCATTCCTGAAAGATTCAACTGCCGCAGCTTCTCTTGCAGTGGTGTGTTCGTGGCCGGCTGTGCAGGGATATGCAATAGGAAGAAGACGACAACCAAGACCACCCCACCAAGAGGAAGGTTGATGTAGAAACACCACCTCCATGTGGCGTCGGTAGTAAAGGCGCCACCAATCAACGGACCTGACACTGACGCGACCCCAAACACAGCCCCAAAGAAGCCCTGGTACTTAGGACGCTTATGGAGCGGAACGGCATAGGTAATGATGACCATCTGAAAGGGTATGTAAGTGAATAATGATTTTATGATTAATATTGAATAACTCACGGCACCAGATAGAATGCCACCAGCTCCTATTCCGGCAATTGATCTGCCTAGGATAAAAGCAACAGAGCTTGGAGCGGCACCGCACAGCGCCGAACCTGCCTCGAACAGTATTATGGACGACATGAATATAGCCTTGATATTGAAAGAAGGATACAGCTTGCCAAACATCAGCTGGAACGCACAGTTGGTCAGCGAATATGCCGTTCCGTACCAGCCAATATCGCCTGCTGAGTCGAATTCGTTGGTAATCTGGGGTATCGCTGTTGAAATGATCATGCGGTCCTGTGTAAAGGTCAGATCAATATACCTTATGAATTAGAGTATTGGAGAATACCAAAGACACGAGGAACATGCCAATCAAGATAGAAATTATAAGCATCGCAAGCCTGAGACCCGAGGGATATGTAGCTTCAGGCTGGATGCTCTTGCCATTGTTGGCAGTGGCCTTATCTTCAGCTTTGTGGTCTTGGGTTCGGCTGTGGCTTTCAGAAGACATGTGGATTCTTGTAAGCCGCTTGGAAATTCAAATGCTAGTACTATTTCAAGACGTAATTTGAAGAAAGGACAAGCACAGAATCGCGTATATCGAAAGAGTGTCGATTTCAGAACCGATGAAAAGAATCTTTTGCTCAATATATAGGTCGACATCCTCGGCCGAGCACTGGAGTGTTCGACGACATCTTTGTGAGGTTGCAGCTGTGGTATAGATGCCCTTCGGTAATGGAGCCGGCCGTCTCGGGATCCGAGGCAAACCGCGCTAAACCCTTCTGGGACCCGAAGGCCCCGAAGAACCCAATTTCGGCCATCGAGCGCCCGACCTGCACTCTGCTTACTTTTCTACTATGAGGCTGATACATTGTGAATACTTGCTTAATTCACTTACTTCATAGCAGAGGCGGGTCCGAATCTAATTAATGTCGTCCGCCTCTCCGACTGGGCCTCAGGGTCAGAATCGACCTAAACTCGCCTGTTCTCTCTGCGCTCGTCGTAAGGTGAAATGCGACAAGGGCGAGCCGTGCTCTAACTGCCTCAAGGCGCATGCTCAGTGCTTATACGAGGCCCCTGCTCCACCTCGGCCACGGAAGAGGGCGGCTGATGAAGAGCTTCTCGCACGATTAGCTCGGTACGAGGAACTCATGCGGAAGCACAATATCGATTTCTCCTCACATGCCCACTGCTGGATCTCTTCAAACCAGAAGACTCAACCGAAGGTGAGCCATCCGGCTGGCTCACGCACTGAAGTGGGCGGCGAAACTAGTGTTCATTCTCAAGGAAGGCTCACTGAGAGCACAGATGCTAAAAGAGAACAGTAAGGTTCCCGCGCGACTAAGAGACTGTCTGCAACATGTTACTAATGATTGACAGATGTTTGTGGTCAAATCTAAGGCCAGAGGTTGGCGTTTCCCGCTACTACCGTGATCGTATGATATACTAATATCCTTCTGCGAATAGCTCATGTATCCCCCTATCCAGAGCCTCAGACACAAGGATGACCCCCTTCTGTATCCTACTCCTTCCCTTGAAGAGGCTATCTCTGATACACAAAGCATCCACGACGTCCATCCCGAGCCAAAGCACATCTATCGGTTGTGGCAGATCTTTGTAGAAAGGGTTCACCCAATGACAAAGATCGTTCATGTCCCTACCCTGCAGCAGCGTATCTTAGATACTAGCTGCAATTCCTACTGCGCTTCCAAACCACTGACGGCTATAATTTTTGCCATCTATACCATTTCAATCACCTCTATCTCCGCGGGAGACTGTGAAACTTATTTTGGCGTGGGAAAGGCCCTTCTTTTGAGACAATACCGAACCGCAACTCTGCGTGCTCTGATTGCAGCAGACTTCCTCACAACTAGTGACCTCGAAGTTCTACAAGCATTGGTATTGTTTCTCTTTTCTAACCCAGGATGTGATTTAGCAACCACCCTGTCCGGCGCCGCGCTCCGACTAGCCGAGAAGATGGGTTTGCATCAAGACACATCTGACCCCAACATATCTTTCTTTGAAAAGGAGATGCGCATTCGTCTATGGTGGCAGCTCTGCGGTCTCGGCGCTCGGTGCCGCATTAGCTCTACCCCAGGAATGAAGAAGCCACCACCCACTTCCGAGATAGGCGACGTCCGCCTCCCACTCAACGTCAACGACGCGGATCTGCACCCGGACATGACTGAGCCTCCTCTGGAACACAACGGTCCCACAGAGATGATGTGTGTCCTGTTGAAAATGGAAGCCTCCAACTGGCGCCGACATTTTCCGACAGCCACCAAGCTCTTTGAAAGTGTGATGCAGGGCTCGATCAGGTCCAAGGAGGTAATCGAACTGGAGTGCAAGGCGGTTGACGAGCTCAACGACATATACTGTCGGAAATACTTTCATAATTCTGATCCACACATCCCACTTCATAGCCTTACTCATGCTATTGCGAAACTCTCAATCGCGCGCTTCAGGTTCAAAATTCGTCATCCTCGAGGGCGGCTCACCGCAGCTGACAACAATGCCTATTTTACACGTGAGGAAAGTGATATCCTATTCGAATCATGCCTGACCTGGGTGCAATGCATGATGGATATCAGGTTACGCAGCAAGTTCCCGTATTATTTATTCACGCACCTCACGACAGACTCTTACATGGATGCCTATATCTACCTCCTGAGTGAGCTGCGGCGACGATGCTCAGGGGACCGCGTAGCACTTGCTTGGCAACTGGTCGAAGAACTTTTCAATGAACATCCTGAGCTCATTGATGGTGACGACGATTTCTATGCTGCATTTGGGGACTTGGTCTTGGATGCATGGGAACATCACAGTCACGAGCTGAAAGAAAGCCCGGGAGGTCTAGGATTCGTCACCAAGCCACGATTTATTGAACGACTCTATCATGAGAAGTCTTCTAGAGGTCGACCTCGTTATAGTAATCTGCCTTCTTTCTCGGATTTACGTGAGCTTGGTGGGCTTGAACCGCAAGATGAAAATGATAGCAATTGGCTGTATTGGGAGGAGTTTCTTCGGTTATAGGCAGGAATGTGCGGTGCGGTAGAAATATTGATCAATAAATTTGAAACTAATGAATAGTCTAACGTCAACAATCTCGTACATCGGAAGGTGTAGGTTCATGATTCTTTCAGTGCGTCTAATGTGCATCTTGGTAACATACGAAAGATGACCCGAAGGAAAACTATGATAAAATGCATTTTCTATTCGACCCCCACTTTTAGCAGGTTATCATGACCATTCTGTGGTAAACACAAAAAAGTGGCCGAACTAGCTTCGGTGAAATCAAAATAAATACTCAATCAACACACAATCAAACAGCCCCTTCAGTGAAAGGAGCTCTGCCAATAAAAGCAAACAGAAAACACAGATTGATCGCCAGCAAAACATCGGGCTTGACTCTGCGTGGGACCCCCGAGCCTCTCTATCCTCATACAAGATTTTCCAGTCTGTATAATGCTAACAATAGGCAAACACTGACGATGGACCGATTGCGGAGTAGTCAAGTTGTCAAACCTCTAACGCGTGATCTCTCTCGATGTTCGAAACTTGGACGGCACAATGTGACTCGGCAACACGAATGGGGCATCCAACTCACTCTTCCCCAGGATGCTCGTAATCAAGAGCAGACTCTAAGCTGTCCGAACATCTATTATAAACGCGGGGGAATTACTCCATGATCTTCGCACGCTTGGCAGCTTTCGTCGGCTGCTGTCCACATTCCACCCATTTCCGCCTGCGCCTAGCTTCCTGTGCCGCAGAAATACTAGGACGTTTGCCAAAACAATTATCATTTGCGACCTTCTCGCAATACTTAACGTGGCTTTCAATAAAGTTCCCGACATTCTGTCCAGGGCGAGGAGTGAGTATGGTGATAGATTCGTGTGGGCTATTTGAAACCAGAAGAACCCGACGAGCATAGCTAGCTTTCCAGTTCACCTGCTTGCCAAGGTGTAGAAGGACATGGTAGACAATTCCCTTCTGCGTATACTCCTGACAACATCCATAGAACCTATCGGAAGCGAGAGAATTTCGCTTTAACGTTGCTCGAAGCCCTTCCACAAAATCAACTTCATGCTCCAACGGACACTCCGTGTAGGTAAGAAAGATCCATCGGCGATGTATCTTCTTGTTCCAAGGCGCCAATGTTTTAGGAGAGGGCCCGACCGTCACAACAGAGGACGGCTGAGAGACCTCAGCGGGTAATTTCACACGGAAGCTACTGACAGTCATTGTTATGTGAATGAGCAATGTTTTTAGGTGAACAAACGTCAGAGGTTACTCTCACGTATTTATACTCCTCAGGAACCCCTCACATTGCAGGAACCGCGTCCCGATTAGGAAGGTACACCTAATCTCGCCAAGAATTACGGCGATATTGCCAAGAATTCCCTCTTTGGGATTCTGCTCGTCGCTACCGCCCGTACTTACCGTACGGAAACCCCCTCTTTTCCCTCTTAAGGGGGATGCCTCCTATCGGAGGGGGCCCCTTCATCCTATCGGTGTAATTAGACGGTCGCAGGCAGAGACTATTTAAGATGCGGCCAGAATAAATCCCGCAATTTTTCTTACAATACCAATCCAATACATGTTACTAAGCGTTTAGCTATCTTTTTCACCAATGGTGAGGCCCTCTCGGGTATACCGCGGAATTTTCCTGTTCTGTGATGTTATAGTCGTATTGTGGAGTGCGGGGCTCGCAGACAGCTCACTATCATCAACTATCTATACACAGATTAAATACTGCCCCTGATATGTATACAACAGATACAAAGTTTGCAAGAAACTAGAAACATGAGTGGACTATTGCATTCTATGTAAACAATTTGATGCTCAGTCTCGTATTGCTCTGGCTATGGCCTGGCATTACCTGTAGTATAAATCAGTCACATTATCCATGAGGTCTGCTACTGCCTGGGCATTGATGCACAAGGATACTTCCTTGTAGCGGTGTACCAGAGAGCCCGCCGTTCATACATACTTTGTTCATCGATGAACTAAAGTGTTAATGTGTTCTACGCCGGCGCTCACATCCACAACACCAGCCATGAACGCACTATATACTTAGAAGAAAACCAAAGACGACCTCAAAAGCCCCCCTCCCCATTAGGGAAAAGGAAGAATAAAAATAGAAGAAAGTTACGTAGGTTGAAGATAATCAGAAAGGAAGTGGTAGTATAGAACGCTGACAGTATAAGATTCGTATCTGTCAATGTAGGATCTCTAGACCGATTGCACCTCTATGCCAACATTATGCATCATTCCAATCAGGAAATCATGGGAATCATGATTATCCGAAGTGCAAAATCTTCACATTATTTACATACACAATATGTGTCTCAACTTTGATTGAAAAAGAAAAAGAGGAAAGAAAAATGACAGTAGTATGAAGGTGAATGCAAATGCAATAAGCTAAACACGCCGGGTGTCACCGGATATTCAGCTGTGACGTCATATGAATATAAAGAGGTCTGCACAGCTGACAGACCAACTCTGTTCCTCCATCTCACACACCCATTGCACCATGGATCCGGCAAACGAATATTGCGGGCTTGAAGACTATGGCCTGGTGGGGGACATGCACACCTGTGCGCTGGTTAGCAAGAATGGCAGCGTCGACTCCATGTGCTGGCCCGTGTTCGATTCCCCTTCCATTTTCTGCCGCATTCTCGACAAGGAGAAAGGAGGCCATTTTTCGATAACCCCAGATCGCAAATTGAAGAATCCTCTCAGTAAGCAGCGCTATCGTCCATATACCAATATGCTGGAGACACGCTGGATCCATGAGGAGGGTGTGATGAACATCTTGGATTACTTTCCGATCGCAAAACCCAAGCCCCATGTGGTCGAGAAAGGGCTTCCCCAGTGGTGTCGATGCTACCAGAACAAAGGCTCTGCGCAATATCAGGCATGTCGTTCCGGGATGGTACGGAAAGCAGAGTGCGTGCGTGGTGAAATGGAGATAGAAATTGAGCTCTTCCCGGCATTCAACTACGCTCGCGATTCACATGTAGCCCAACAGTATTCGGCTTCGGATGACGCTATCCAAGTTTACCACTTTCAGGCTGAGAGTCAGAATCTGGTTGTCAGCGTTCTGGGAGACAAGGGTGATGTTTCCGGGGATGACTCCGATCTTAGCATTGAATTTGAACTCTCTGACCGACCCGGCCATTTAGGCCCCGGTCTGGTTGGGAAGGTTACCTTGAAAGAAGGACAGTCTATCACTATGCTTCTTCACGACCAGGAATCCATAACATGCAATGTGGAGGATCTAGCGCCCTATCTACAGCAGATTGAGCGAACAACAGGCGACTTCTGGTCAGACTGGACCAGCAAGTGCACCTTCCGGGGCCACTACCGCGAGCAAGTGGAGCGCAGCCTACTTGTTCTTAAGCTGCTAACCTACAAGCCAACTGGAGCGATCGTGGCAGCTCCCACGTTCTCCCTGCCCGAGCATATCGGCGGAAGTCGCAACTGGGACTATCGCTATTCATGGGTGCGAGATGCAGCATTCACCGTGTATGTGTTCTTGAAGAACGGCTATCCCGAAGAAGCCGAATCGTACATCAACTTCATCTTCGAACGCATCTTCCCACCCATGGATAAGAATCCAAAGCCAGGGGAGCCCTTCTTGCCCATCATGATTACCATTCATGGCGAGCGCGAGATCCCCGAAATGGAACTCGACCATCTAGAGGGGTACCGGGGGAGCCGACCGGTGCGTATCGGCAATGGTGCAGCGACTCATATTCAGCTCGACATTTACGGGGAACTAATGGACAGCATATACCTCTACAACAAACATGCCGCCGACATATCATACGACCAATGGCGAGCTATTCGTCGCATGATCGACTTCGTCATCCAGATCCGTCATCAACCCGACCAGTCCATCTGGGAAGTGCGCGGACCACCGCAAAACTTTGTCTACTCTAAAATCATGCTTTGGGTGGCTTTGGATCGTGGCTTACGGCTGGCGGAGAAGAGATCCAATCTGCCATGTCCGGACCGGGCGCGATGGATGCACGAACGTGATGCACTATACGATGAAATCATGACCAAGGGGTATAACGCCGAGAAGGGGTTTTTCTGCATGAGCTATGAGAATCAGGATGCTATGGACGCTGCAGTGCTTATCGCGCCGTTGGTGTTTTTCGTAGCGCCGAATGATCCCCGCTTGTTGAGCACCATCCAGAAGATCACCGAGGTTCCGGCAAAAGGAGGTCTGAGTGTGGCTAATATGGTGTCACGTTATGATACTGGGAAAGTCGACGATGGTAAGCTATCCCCTGCCTACCCTAATGACGACACACTTCTAACACATTTTCAGGTGTTGGCGGCAATGAAGGCGCTTTCCTGATGGTTACATTCTGGCTCGTTGAAGCCATGATGCGCGTAAGTTCCGACACTCAGCCTCTTTTACCCTATTCTCGACAGCTAACAAATATCGCCAGGCCGCTCGATCCAAAGCCTATCTTCCTCACGACCCATTCTTCCAGCAACTGCGCAAAACAGCGACATCGCAGTTCGACAGCATTCTCTCTTTTGCAAATCATCTGGGGATGTTCTCCGAGGAGGTGGCGACGTCCGGCGAGCAGATCGGCAACATGCCGCAAGCGTTCAGTCACCTTGCGTGTGTGAGTGCCGCGATGAATCTGGGCGGAGGGGGCGACAGATAATCCTATCGCATCATGATAACAGCCCGAAAAGGACAATACATATCGAAAATCAATGTAAAGAGGATTTCAGCGTCTGCTTTTCGATGATTACATATGAATATGACACAAACTCGCATCAAGTTCCTTTTGTGTCCCATAGGAAATCCCTGAAGACCCACGAGGACCCTACATATACTTCATGTGGGGAAAGAATCCTACAAATATGCTATAATATAATTATCTCCATATCCTGAGTAGTTGGCTGTTAATATTCAGGTTTCACATACCGCCAATCATTTACTATAAGTCACGAGTTGTTACTAGTTGTTGTTTGAAGTACATGCGGGATTCAAAGTCATATAGTATATTTTTCATAGTAATGAAAACGGTCCAGATCCCCCTCTCATCGAATCTCTCTGGCAGTAGTATTTACCACTACTCCGACCGGCAATCACATGAGGAGAACCCAAACAAATATTGAAGAAAATATGAGAGGACCAAAGAAAAAAAAAAAGAGAATCCAAACATATCCGGAAGAAGACAGAAAAAACAAAAAAGAAAGCCCAACGCGGGGCTCGAACCCGCAGCCTTGAGATTAAGAGTCTCACGCTCTACCGATTGAGCTAGCCGGGCTAGTTCGGTGAAAGCTACAACAGAATAATGCTACTAGTAGAGTATTCTTCCAATGAAGTCTCCAGCAGGGTCTGCATCACGTGCTTTGACACCCTACAGACAGATGCATTAGTGCTACCTTTAGAGCCATTCCATATGCGAGGTCTTGCATTAGTGTCACTTTTAGAGCGATTCAATATGCAAGGTCTTGCATTAGTTTCAGTTTTAGAGCCGTCCTCTGAGGCCGTGCATTAGTGCTATGTTTTAGAGCAATTTAATATGCGAGGTCTTGCATTAGCGTTCACTTTAGAGCCATTCTGTATGCATGGGCCTGCATAGATACTATTTATAGAGCTATACCCCGAGATAATCAGTTACTAACGCAGGTCTGCGCTGCCATATGCACCACACTGCATTGGCTTAACTTATAGAGCTATTAAGAGATTGTGGATTAGAAAATCACCCTGCCATTGAGCCACGTTGCCTTCCGAGCCATCCTAAACAACACGGTTCACTTTTGCTTCCTTCTCACCCTGCGCCTGTACCGTCCCGCAAGAGCAGGGGTGTATCGACCAACCAGGTTTACACCACAGGAGTTATTGAAGTTCGCATATCAGAATATATTCCTCGTGCTACTCTTACTGTTTCTTACTATGTCATAAGGGTTCGTTTGTTAAGCCTGCCAAAGTCCATGATCGGCAATAAGCAGTGTTCGGTCTTCAAAGCAAGTATATTAGGGGTGGAGAAACAGATGCAAGTCAGTTTCAACAACATCCTATGTTTTTGGTGGGCGCTGATTCTCCTTCTTAGGGGGTTGGTCGGGTGGCGGCATGCCTGGCTTCTGGTCTTGCTCAGGCTTACTGTACGGTGTGCGCCATATATTAAACGCCTCCACGTACGGGCTCTCCTCATCGATCGGAAACGATCTGCTACTCTTTGGGTCGGAAAATCCAAGACAATCGAGGTCAACAAGATAAAGCTTGTTTGTCTGAGCCTCGTAATTCAGATACCCAGCATGTTGCTGGACCAGCTTATAGCCATTCTTGCGCATAGTCCTGCGATGAGAGCAGCAGGGGTTAGTTAGTAAAGGAATAGAGCCTCGCTTTCTAAAGCAATGAAACCGCTGTCTTACTCCAAGATATGTGCGAGTTGGGTTCGGATACTTTCAAGCTGTCGGTCGGTAAGCTCATCTTGGATTTCATCCACATTTTCGCCCGGGGGTATCTGCATAACCAGAAAGTCGATATAACCATCAGGAAAAGGCATCCACTCCTCCTGCAATTGGGTCTCGTGGTGATAGTATTTTGGTCCTAGTCCACGCTCACCTAGGAGTGCTGTAAGTTGAACTTCGTGGCAGTAATGTTCCTCGGCCAACTCCTCAGCTAACTCAGCCTCTGCGGAATCATCGAAATCAAAGTCTTCTGGGTCCAGTTGGTAACGGATTTTGAGAAGAGACTGTAGATTGTTTTCCATGTTTATGACCCTTGTTAGGACTCGGCGTTGACCCGATTCGAAGTCCAAGAACTCAGTGAGTTGCTCCAAGACCTTTAGCTTCTTCCCGTCGATATCGAAGACTCGTCCTGTGAAGCTGAAGTCCCACATTTTTGCGCTCTTGTCCGGGTAAACCCTTGATTGAACAATAGTATATGAGTTGCGAGATGCGTAATTTTCTTTGATTTTTTTGGGAGGTAGTAAAGGTAAATATGAGTCACCACCCGTATTCTTTCACTATGACGCCCGAGCGAGTCATCACAAGAAGGTCATTTTTTGGGACTTAGTTTCTTTGATAATAATGCTCAACACGGGAATATTCACCGTGCAGCTGCAGTTGCTGCCATGCTATGATGAGTGAAACGCTAATGTCAATACGAATGGCATCTACACTCATCATTCGGGGCTGATCTATTAAAAGAACATATCGAGCAAAAGTTTCTGTCTGAAGCGCGAAATTTGACCTGAATGGGGTTACCAGAAAACTTGATACAGTAAGCGTAGCACTATCTAGACTTCGACCATGGAAGTTGTCGCTTCTACTGCATTTGTGTCGACCTGGTATTATGAAACTCAAAATAAACGCTACATCTGATTATAATCATTTAATATCCAAAGGGATAAGTATTCAGCTTCGTAGAGTCTTTAGGAGTCTCACTGTATCGCCCGATAACGGCTGAGATAGTGCGATGAAGATGTATCTACCGCGAGGTACGAACGTATAATTGTTGTCGCTAACTTTTGAGTCTAATCTACTGCAGGTAGGCCGTTTTCTAAGGCCATACATTAGTGTTCTTCTAAATGCATTCATTCAGCCGGCCATGTATATGCATGGGCCTGCATAAAAGCTATAAATAAAGCCATACCCTAGCAATGCGGTCATAGTCTGCTATATGCACGGCACTGCATCAGCTTAACGTATAGAGATTTTGAGACCGTACATTAGAATAGCAAGTTCCCGATTGAACCACTCTGCATTCCCAAACCACCCTAACCAACGCGGTTCTCACCCTGCGCATGTACCCTCCCGGAAGAGAAGGAGTGTATCGACGAAATGTCTGATAAGATATATTAGCAAACGCTACAAATCTTTAGAGTGCCATAGCATACCAACTTCCGCCCATATTGGACACCGTAGTAGCTTCCTTTGTCGTCTGAAGCTCTGATTGCCGTGGCAGACAGACCTTATCGCAGAGATACACGGTGAATAGATGATTGCGCCGTTGCGCTTATCGGTGGAGACATTAGGAAGTGGGTATCATCATGATGCTTGACAAACCAGGTATACTCGTAAATTGTAAATAAAGCCGTAACGAGAGTAATGATCGTCCATATAGCTCGCTAGTTGACCTATATCAATAGAAGCAGTACAGTCAGCTTTTGGGGCATTTCCTGAAAAGACATAACTATCACAACTTGCCTAGCTTGTCGGACAAAAACTCTTGCCATGTCTGGCGTTTCTTTGGCGCGAATGCCGAAGGTGTCATAGCATGCATCTTGCTATCTACCAGTATAATGTCTGGTATTAGCTTTCCTTTTGCCTTCTTGATCTTCTGCACTCAGTGCTTTCGCTTCTTTTCTTTGATCCAGACTTCAGAATTCAGCAAGGCCTAATCACCCAACCAGGGTGCAGGACATTATGAACCAAGCGACCCTGCACCCCCACTTCATTGGCAACGGCGAATATCTCGTGAGCTATGAGAAATGTAATGCCTCATATCTACCGCAGTAGGGCTCTATAACAGCCTTTATCTCCTTTGTGAAGTCTGGCCAGTATCGAAAAGCAGTGGGGCTCAGTTCAAAATTAGAGCTTCCCAGCTTTAGAATCCTGATCAAGTGTTGCTTATGCAGAGTTGTTGACGATGCCCGTTCGGAAGCTTTAAACTGGAGATAGTGCCGCCGTTAGGTAATACAGATGATTGATATATCCCTTATAAATCCCAAGGTAGTTAGGCAACTTATTAGAATAGCGAGCGATAGCTCTCCCTCCAGTTGTATAGAAAATAGATATATACTCGCTAGTAGTTCAGCTTCTGATATATATATATTGTAGTCAAAATAAAAAGGAAATCAACCTTTTCAAACGCAGAAATATATACCTTTCTGCTTGTCCAATATGATGAATAGAGGGGTTTCACTTTCAGCATCTTCACCTGAAGCTATATTCACGGCTACTTGGAACAGAATAATTCAAGGTGTTTTAGGCAATTTTCTACTTCACAGTTACTCAAGGCAGTGCATAAAAATTACATTTAGCATCATGTCATGAGGCATAATACTAGTAATACAGTCCCGAGCTGCCATATGCAGGGCACTGCATTACCTTGACTCGTAGGCTCTTGAGACCGTGCATTAGTGCCATATTTTAGAGCCATTCCATATGCATGGGCCTACATTTGACAGCTGCCATCTGCACGGTGCTGCCTTAGTGTGCCTTTTAGAACCATTCTTCATGCACGGCCCGAATGAGCTGCTCTAAACATGTGGGCCTGGCATGTTGAACCAATGAGGTTGCTAGTTGACAGAGATTAATGGATCCACTATCCACCACTTGCACGGGCCATGTTAAAGCCGCTAATGCACAAGCTTGCAGGTTGATGGCTCTAAATATGCGGATATCCAATCATGCTATGACATGGATTGTATGTGGGGCTCATCTTCAAGAATCAAGGGAAGATGGAACTGATGCACAGTTATGCAGTAAACATACAGTATTTAGCTTGCAGATTACATAAGTTTCCGATATTATGCAGGTCCTGGCTAGTTATAAATTAGCTTAAAGCTAGTAAGTAAAACTGGACACAACAGTAAGTATTTCAGCCGTGGAATATAGCCAAGACATATAGGTAACCACAATAATTCAAATACGAGCCATCGGCGCTCAATAGTGCAAACCTTCCACGGTGTGCTTTTGGCAGACTTGTAATCTGCAGGCGAAGACTATGAAACCTGACATGGTTATTCAACGATGGCCTCGTATCTCGTACTTTTATGCGCAGGCCATTGAAAGCGTAAAGACACTAGTCCCTAGTTACAGAAGACATGGCCCAAAATGTCTGGCGTATTCCAGATGCAGTACTTTGAGGCGGATACAATATACAAATTTTAGATTCATCATTCCCGCTGATCGCCGGGACAAGCGACAAAAATGGATTGGCCGGAAGGATGGCGGAGGCGCATGTGGCGAATATCACGGAAACCACCGAAGATTGTAAGGGTCTTGTTTGAATTGGAAAACACTGAGGAGTTCAGTCGATATTGAGGATGACTTCGATGATTTACAGAATGATGATGATGATAATGTGACGGTAGTGAAAAGAGTAGTGTACTAGTAGATTGCCACCGTGCATGGGAGCGAGAGAATGCATGTTCCCGGGACATCTGCAGCGCGGCATCGGAAGGTCTCACTCGTTTGTTGTGACAGGTCAGGTGATAACCTGCTTGTCAGCATGCTCATCTAGACCAACTTTACCTCCCCAACCCCTCGTATACTTCCAACAGTGCCGCAGTGCCTCTGCCCTCGTCAAGCATTTATAGGAGCTCTTCATCACCTTTCTATCGTCTTCCGGTTCTGACGGCGGTTGATCAATCTTCACACCCCGTCATAGCATCCATTTTACATTCACCTACCCTCAGATACCTCCTCTTTCCTGAACGAAGACAATTCCCCCCACCCCCCTATAATAACAAGCACCTCCTTGTGACTGAGACTTATCTTGAGAATCTGTGGAACAATGGGTACCCTCATGGTGGTCATAAACCCAATCATGGCCGCAGGCGGCTACGATAATGATCGCAGAGTCGGTACAGGACGTGTTCTTCCTACCAAGTTCAATCCTCCCTATCCTGACGACACACCGCAATCCCTTTTTCCACCTGGTGTCAGGGTCGACAGCGTTCCACAGGTTCATCGCTTCATTCGTCGAAACAATCCTCGCCAGCTCCTCCTTTACACAAAGGGTACCTGTTTGAATAACGGCGAAGCTCAGCCCAGAGGAGGCTGTGGTGTTGTCTACAGATCTGCTGTGGACCTTCCTGAAGGCAAAATGAATCACTTCAAGATCCCCCTCGAGATCAAAGGGCCCAGTGGCCGAAAGCATCCGCACACCAGCGACCGAGCCGAATTACGGGCTGTGATAGCAGCCTGCCGCTTCCGCTGCTGGACGGGGGAAGGGTTCAACAAACTGGTGATCGCGACTGATTCCGAATATGTGGTGGAAGGGGCGACATGTTGGGTCCAGGGATGGATCCAGAGGGGCTGGAAGACAAGAACAGGGAACCCTGTTAATAACCGGGACCTGTGGGAGTGTCTGCTGGGTGAGCTGGAGCGGTGGTATGATCATGGTATGGAGATCCAGTTCTGGCAGATTCCCAGAGAATGCAATACCGATGCAGCTCGCCTTGCCGAACAGGCCGCGTTGGAGACCCCAGCCAGAATGTTTGGCGATGTTTCCGGATACATGGTTTAGGATCTAAATGTGTTCACCATGGGTCTGCCAACGGGTCGAAGGTTCTCAGTGTTCTTGTCTGTTGTTTTCATGGAAGGCCGATATAAGACTGACCGGGTATATGGTACGGCCGTTGTTGCTGGAACAAAAATTGTATCTAAAGCTTTTGCCAGATGTGTATATAGGATTCCGAGTTATAAGAGTGTTCCTAGTATGGGCCTCGTGGCTATAGCAATCCCTCTTGTTTTTGATAATTAGACAGACTGTCCTTTGTGCTTGCAGTATCAGCACCCCAAGTCAATTGGAAGTATCGCGTTAAGGGTAGTCACTACTAATCCACAGATCACATAAGTGTACTAAAAATAGCCACTCAGAGCCAGAACGATCGGTTCACGTGATTTTGGAAATTAAGCTCTGGTGGCTATTCGAAAAAAATGCTAGCGTGCAACAAGGTACACACTCCCAGCCGATCAGGAGCGGCTGGGAGACGAATCCCACCACGACACGTAACACATCCTCCTCCTTCATCGCCTCGCGAAGCGCACCATACTGCTGATACAGCAGCTTCACCTGGTCAACTACCATTATGTCATTCAGAAGGGCAACGGCATACTCCAGCACAGCTTGAATCTGTGGACGCAGGGGAACAGAGTTCTTATTAGCAACTAGGTAGCTGGGATGGCACTTCACTTTGACTGCTGGAGAGTCGGAGAACTTGTACTGGACTCAGCCTTGGCGCTAAAACCTGGTCTTGGGCTTACGGGGTGGAGAAGGGAGTATCCTGGTACGGACCAGATGTGCTGGACATCCTTAGACTTTCCCTTTCTCATTTTGTGCAAGCTTGAGATGAAACGGGAAGAAAAATGGAAAAGGGGTAAAATAATAGTAATAATAATAATGATAAAATCATAATATTACTTGGAATTAAGAAAAAGAAATAACTGGGTCGCAGATCATATTCCACCGCACGGGAAGGACCGGGACTATAAAAGACCCTCCCGAGCGGTCCCGATAGTGGCCCGTGCCGAAGAATTTGACCATCGCGGACAGTTAACGGTTTCCGTCTCGACCCATACTTGGTGAACCATGGATCAATGGTACTTTCAGTTTCAGGGAAACGCCCGAGAAAGTGGGTCGATTGGGTACCCAGTGGTGAAAAGTTATTTACAGATGTTTGGGTTTAGGGCTTATTTACACTAGGAATCCAGACCTCGTAAGGTATCAAACCATCGGGATTTGTTCGGATTCAGCATTCTTGGCGCCAGTTATGAGTCATCTCTATAGTAGGGACTAGGTTTATCTACCATAAGGTTTGGAAGGAAGTAGTAAGAGAAAGTAGATTCCATTCCGAGATTATTTCACAGGTAAAGAATTGTATTAGAGCGCGGAGGTGGTATATTCTATTCTAAGAAGGAAATCGATGGATATAAGACAAGGCGCTTGTGACATGAAAGAAACTCGTGTGGTATCGTGAATCTCCCCCGGTGTGGTTGTGGGAATTTTCGGTGGCTTCTCGAGAGACTGTATGTAGAGGGAGATCGTGTGTGGTGGGAGGATGTTCGCTATGTATCCATATGCCTAGCATACGGTAGCGTGGATGAGGTCAGAACCCATAGGGCTGTTTTAGAGAATACGTTAGCGGCGGACGCGATCAGCTGCGGAAAGTCCACACCTACATCTAGCGGCCCTGTCCAGCATAACGTCCAGGCTGAAAGTTGTATTCATCATCCCAGTGCTCCTTTGCAGCTAGGCCAGCTTTCCATAGCTCCAGGTGTTTGCGAAAGCGCGATTTGAAGTTGTTTGGAGAGGATGGACGGTGTACGGCATCCTGGATGTTGAGACTAACTGATGATGGAGAATCCATGTTGAGCGGCTGTGTGATACACCACGAAAAAAGATGGGAAATCTGGGAGAAGATGATATTCTGATTGTACACCCTGAATTGACCAGACTGGCCTATTCTTATATGTTTATCACACCGACAGAAAGAAAAAATTTTCTTGTTTTCTTTTTCTTTTTTTTCTCTCAAGGATAGCGTAAGCCTTGTCGGTTTTCTCTCGGCGCGGGTGTTTCTCGGAAACTCGGAGATGGTTCGGTTTTACGATATTCGCAAATCTTTCCCGAGATTTCCCGCACCAGTCACAGAGCACCGTTCCTGGCAACTCATCCTTGGTCAACACAAAGGATTCCCTGGATGAGCTAACAGTTTCATCATCCCTGTTGCTATCTTCCTCCAAGCTGGGACTTGAAATGTGATGCGATTTGATTTCTGCTATCTAGACAGAGTCGGGTGGTGTGCGTTGCCCGATCCCGGTATACTCAAAGATAGTGGCACCACACCGGTTTACGGCCACCTATACGGCCACCTATACTAAAGTCATCTCTAATACAATCCCGAGAATACGAGCTCCCATATCTTTGCCCAGTAAAAATTTTGCCTATCTGGGCCCACAATATGTACCAGGGATCGGTCAGATGTTGTAGTCATTTCAGTCACGTGTGACGGACCTTATCCGGTTCACATGATTATTTGCTAAGGCTAAGCATTGGAAAATTGACGCATGACCCTACTTACTACAAAGGCAAGGTGTACTGATGACCGCAGAATCACCCTAATATTTATACTGAGTGGTCGATATGACTCACTGTATTCTACCTCGCCTCGACTGAGAATCCGAAACGCTTTGGTAGCATTCAGAGTATATTGTATCAGCATAAAGTATACTAGGTAAGTCTAGTCTTTCAGCCCCGAACGTGGTAATCCTTCACATTAGCACAATGCCAACGAAGAAACTTGAGGAAAGAAATTAAAGATAGAAGCTGGTAAGTGCATAGATGTCAACTGTAAGAGGGACATAGTGATAATTTTCGGCGAAACAATGACTTTGAGTTCTTCACGCCCGCCCTCTGGGCATCTCGTTCCCTCTCCATTCTTCTCCACCCAGCGGCAAATCTCCACTGAATCAAAGGTTCTACAAGTGCAAGTAGCTGTACGCGACGCAGATGGTAAAGGCCACGCCAACCCAAACGCGATTGATAAGAGGCATGATGAAGCTTGTACCTCCCGCAGCAAAGAGACATCGTGCAAGGCTGAGACTAGCACTAGCCGCAGCGCTCCTATCGGGAAAGACATCAATAGGGTAGGTCATGATGAGCGACTGTGTCGAGACTGCAGTCCAGCCAGTAATGAAGGTCGAGACAAGAGACACAGCGATGTGTACCTTGTGGTCATAGTAAATAGTCCAACCAAGCAAAATAATCAAAAGGTACTAAAGGATCGAGAAGATAGGAACAAGCCGAAGGCGCGTCTTCTCGAGGGGAATGTTCTCTTCTCGTGTAGCCGCATTGGATTTTCCCCCTTGCTCCGTATCAAGCAAAGCCTCATACCTGGCTTTGACACGACGATAGTCGACATCAACGATTTTGCCAGTCACGAGAGTTCCAATCATAGATCTTACACCGTTTGCGATAAAGTCAACATGATTTGTATCTCTGGCAAACCATAGCGGCTTTCGAAAAGGGACGACGTCGCTGTGATGCCCCTCTGTCAGACGGCCTAATAAACCGCGAGGAAAATGATGATTGGTGCCGCGTGATTGCTAATGAGTATCCGAAGATTTCCCAAAGCATCAACCCTCTTCTTTGCTGCTCGCTGCGATTGGCCACCCGGAATTTATTCCCACTTAACCTTTGTCGTTTTCTGATATATATGCCGCGAAAAATTCACCAATGGGTTTGGAAGGCTTCGAAGCCCCCATTGCCAATTATCGATCGTAAAGTCTCCGGTAGAAGGACGATGAGAAAGCGGAGGAAAGCTCCGGTATACATAGTCAGGAACCAGAAGATCGCCTTCGATCCCAAAGATCCAGCAATGCCACCCCCGATGACTGGGCCCACGGCAACGGGTACGAGGAGGCCAGCCTGGAAGATCCCCATGTAGCCACCGCGCTCGGCCCTAGTGGTGATATCCCTGATAACACCAAATCCAATCGCGATTGTAGTGGCGCTACCGGTGCTTTGAAGACATCGTAGAACAATGAGTGTCGGGTAACTCTTCGTTTCAGCAAGTCCGATAGAGGCGCCCGAAAGACAACGAATGTGCACAAATATGCTGTCCGGCGACCTTTCACACCAGAGACTGAGCCCCCAGAGGCTGGGTGCTAGGCCCTGGAAGATGAGATAGGATGTAACAATCAGATCGACAAGTTCGATGGAGACATTGAGGTCATTGGCGATTGTCGGTAATGCTGGGAAGTAAATGTCGAATGCGATCCGGAGACTATTAGGATGCTAGTGGGTTCCTAAGCGTGAAGGGGATTAATATCATAGAAGTTGCTGCAGTGGATACAATAATGATGATCAACCGCTTCTGTCGCTTATCGAAGATGCTGTAGGGTGGTTCGGGAGTCGTGACTCCAGTTGAAGGGTCTGATTGAACAAGCGTTGCATTATTAGTATTCTCTCTAGCCAGGAGGGCCTTTCTACCTTCCTTGGCACGGAGCTACGAGGTCTCCCTGCTCCGGCCAATAAACTGCTGTGGCAGGCAGCAACGTGGTATGAATGGGAGAGAGAATTTTACGTACATATGGCGGACTGGATGGAAGGTTGTTTAACGATCGACGAATTATGGCCTACGCCTGATGATCTAGGGGAGGCTGGGATCGCAAGGCGGCGTGCAAGGGTGGATCAGTGGCTGCAGAACCTTGGGGAATATGGAACAATGCTTTTCGCGATTATGAGATGTACTCACGGCGACTGATGGATGCTACTTCGGTAATAATGGATACAGACACAGCTACCAGTGCCCTATCGGGAGAGTCGCACTATCGTAATCTTCAAGGACTGCGGATCGATTCAAATAGCGCCACGTGACAATACACACGGGGCAAATGAGCTGATATCCAGCCGTTCAATCCTGGGTCTTGATAAGGTAGGCAGATGGCTTTTCATCAGCAACTCCTGTCAGGAAACACTCACTCCATATTGTGGGTCTTTCCCTATAGGGAAGCTCGTAGCCCTTTATATACTCGCAGGGTGCAGTTCCTTACCCGAATAAGTATCACTGGTATGTGAGGCGCAGCACAAAGCAGGGTTCTTGCCATGGTCGATGCATTAGCTATGCAACCAGTGTTCTTGGTTGCAGCAACCCAACCAATCAGCTTCTCATTATTGTGCAATCAGAGTGCCATGAAGTCTCAAGTGCTGGCTGCGGCCCGTCGCTTCATGGCACCCACTGGCTTTTAGGCCCCCACTACAGTCCCCTCATAGTCACCGGTGATTCTGCCTCGGCAGTTTCTGATATAAGGAATGCCATGCTCTGGTAGCGAGCAGAATTGATGACGGTTTTAAATTTGGGTAATATGTGAGTTACACCACCTGGTGTGGTGAACGTATAGTTAGTAATCGCTAGCTACTCCGTACACTGGTGTTATTGGAAGACCTATCCAACAGTCTCACCACTATCCCGGGCGAAAGCGATGATTTCGATTAACATCTTGTTTCAATACCCAACCCAACCCTACTATTTCTCAGAATCAGCCATGCAGGAAGGTAGACCTCGGTCTTTGATCGCCTAAGGTATCCATTGCTCCGCCATGCCCACCCTCGCATCAAGACAGGTAACAGTCATTGTCAATTTTGCAGTCCTGAATGCCTTGGCTCTGATAGCCGTGGGGCTGAGGTTTTACGCCAGGGCCTTCATCAGGCGAGACATTCAAGCACATGATATTCTCACTCTTATCTCGTTGTTATTCTCATAGGCTACACGATCTGTCTTCTTATAGCTACAGTGAACGGGGGACTAGGAATCCTGTCGTTCAGGCTATAGCATCTGGACTTAACATTGTGGCCGTATTGAAGGTGAGTATGTTTCCATTTGGGTCTACCAGGGCAACTGGCTAATAATCATGATGCTCATGTAGACTTTCTTCGCCTCCCAGCTTTTCTGGGCTGTCGGGATAGCCTGCTTCCGTCTTGTGATCCTGGACCTTTATATCCAGACATTTCCAGTCCAAAAGTTCCGTATCGCCGCATATGCGCTAGAAGCAATCATCGTGCTATATCTCATCGGTAGCATTGCGACCACACTACGTCTTTGTCGTACTCTGGCATACTATTGGAACATAAGCCTCGAAGGCTCGTGGGCGATGCAGTGACTGCTGAGCTCGCCGCAGCCGTCATCAACATGGTTCTTGATATTATCGCCGTATTACTGCCGATTCCAATCATCTGAAAGTTACAAATGGCGACCAAGAAGAAGGTAGCTGTCACCGCCACCTTTGGTCTAGGACTGGTGTGAGTCTATGGATATAGCTTGCCATGATAAAGACGTTTCTGACAGAATCCCGACCGACAGTATTTCTATTATCAACCTGATCCGTCTCGTCAAAGTTCTGGACTGTACTTTGGATCAGGATCTTACCTGATGTACGGCTGACAGCTCCATCTTAACCGTAGCGGAAATGGCAGTCGGGATTCTGGTTGCTTGTGCACCCACGATCGGCCCTGCCATTCTCCCAAGCCGGCGAAGACGATTCGCAGAGCAGGAGCAGAGCCCCAGTAACAGCAGCAACGCCAGCGGCGGTCGGTGGCCCTTGAAGCGATTGAGACAGAATAGCACTGCTTGTTCTTCGTCTACCGCTGACCACCATTTATACGGACAATTTACATCGGTTCATTACGAGACGAGCCTGGAAATGCATAGTCAGAACTCCCGAAGTGGACTCGTTCAGAGCATCCAACAGAACGAATTGACCAGCATTGATTCCATGCCCCGGGACGTTGAACAAACTCAAATAATATATCAGTGACACTTTATTTTGAGGTCGGCCAGTGAACCAAAGGAGGACCAGCTCTCCATCAGGAGATTCTAGAACAGCCAAGCTGAAATTACAGATGAACACAAAAGCCATAAGAATATGAGAACTAACGCGCTTTTTCTTTGTCTGATCGCCTTCCAAAAATTGGCTTCCGTTTCTCAGCCGGCTTCAAAACCTAATAGACGACATATAACTTATAAGCATTCGTCTCAATATGTGATTCCCGGCGATACTCACCTGGAACGAGCAGAGAAGGTCCTCATCGATGCTTAGCATAGCGCCAGAATTATCAAATTCGCCACAATAATTGGGTGCACTGAAAATTGTAACCAATTGCCGCTTAGCGAAGAACTCATATCCATCCTGAACACATTCATGTGCGCGGCATATCATGTCAAGGTCATGCTTCTGGGTGAACCGTCGAACCACATCGGGGCCAAAAGTGAACGAAACACCACGATCGTTTTCACCCCAGCCTATAATATTCCTGTTCGGATCGGCCCAGAGGAGGTCGCATAGTAACCCCGTATCAGGGATCTTATCCACGATCAGCATCTATGTTGACGAAGAAGACCACATAACGAAGAGCAAAACTCACATCTGTAGGCCGCATGATGCGCCGAATTTGGTCCATGGAAGTCAAGTCCGGGCTAAGCCCACCATGCGTGCAGAATATCTTATCATCTATGATAGCAACAATAGGTAGACAATTGAAGCAATCGATAAATGTTTTCCAGAGCTTGACATTACATCTTCGTTTACATTCATCGTAGAAACCGTAGATGCGATTGATGGATGCGCATTCATGATTCCCGCGTAGAATGAAGAAGTTCTCCGGATACTTAATCTTGTAGGCTAGCAGGAGGCACATACATTCTATGGATTGTCTGCCGCGGTCCACGTAGTCACCGAGAAATAAATAGTTGGATTCGGGTGGAAAGCCTCCGTATTCGAATAGACGGAGGAGGTCGTAGTACTGTCCGTGAATGTCCCCGCAGACCTGGTGTTATTAGTTAGAGGTGTTTGAAAATACTATTCCTTTTCAAGGCTAATGGTCTTACCTTGATAGGTGCCTCGAGGTCTAGAAGTATCGGTTGGGAAATGAAGATATCCCGCGCTGTGTGGCAGAGATATTCGATTTCAGACTCTCGGATTTCAACTAATTTCCCTGGTCGCGAGCCTCTTACTGCTACTAACCTTGCAATAAGTTCATCTAGGTCCACATTGTTCTTATCTGGCATGGCGTTATATGGGAATCTTTAAGCAGCTCTGATACAGAGGGTCTTCAACTATTGATGGCAATCGTTGGTGGCAAGGTCTGGGGAAGACAAACTGTCTGACCCCGGAACAGCAGGTATAAATACAACTGAGAAAATGAAATATCAGAGAAACTTTTGAGCTTTCTATGCCGATATGGTATCCAGACCACCGGGTTAATCCGTTTGTGATCATGTATCTGTGGAAGGGTTTGATAACTTTTATGGATTGTCGACGATAAGGCCAGTCCCATCAATTTCTGTTCGGAAGATCCCAAGTCTTCTATAATCGCACTCACCTTGGTACTGAATAAAAATAGATTCAAACTAAGATTTGTCTTGGCTTCGAGGTGAACTCCGACATTCTAGACGGAGTTGAGCAAGCCCAAGCAGGATTGGCAGATCCGCATAAGAGGTTACTAATGCCGCCATCCCTATGCCACGGATATCTGTATCGCAAATGGTTTTTGACTTCTTTGCTGTGACACACAACAGTGCCATCATTTCTTCAGTATACTCAAGTACCTTGTTTATAATATATTTATAAGCTACCCGATTTCCCAGGATCACTTACACGTAGCCTTCTTCGCAGCGAAGCAATGATAATTGATATTACAAGTAGGCCAGATAATCAATTCGAAGCCACGGGAATCGGACTATCAGCACATGCGAACCCTTGACGCATGGATTAAGCAATTAATGAAATTCAAGATCTTGTCAGAGGATGATGTAGACCGATTATGCGATCAAGTACAGTTTTACAAGCCCCAATCGTTTAGTCATTCCTAGCATTTCCCCAGGCAAGGGAGGTGGTGCAAGATGAAAAATCAAACGTACAAACAGCTGTGAGACCTACTTGACTACTATTTTCGCTGCAAAATATGACAGCCCTAACCAGCCTTATATAGTCCAGCCTAGTCACGGTCTGTGGCGTCATCCACGGTCAATGTCACGACTTGATTGAGCTTTTCCGAACAAGTGGACCTTGTCCAGACACCAAGTCCTCTCTTCCAGGGTGAGACATCCTGCCCACGAAAGTAACTACAGGCTAATATCATCATATCATTCCAGGCGATTACGTCGACCGCGGCTATCACTCCGTCGAATCAGTATCCCTCCTCTTTTCGCTCCCAAAGTCCTCTACTCCAAGCGCATAACGATCTTCTGGGGAACCACAATCCGGCAAGTCACCCAAGGATACAGCTTCTACGACTAGTGTCTTCGGAAATACGGCAATGCACGAGTGTGGACATTATTTACTGACCTACTTGACTACCTCCCTCTTGCCGCACTTATCAATAACGGCATCTTCTGTCTCCACGGAGGGCTAAGTACCTCAATTGATACGTTGGATAATATCCGGGAGTTAGACAGAGTACATGAGCCTCCGCATGACGGTCCAATGTGTGATCTGCTCTGGAGCGATCCTGATGACAGATGCGGTTGGGGCATTTCGTCCCGCGGAGCAGGGTATACCTTCAGACAGGATATATCTGACGCGTTCAATCACAATAACGGGGTTGATTAGTCTTGTCGCGCGAGCATATCAAATGGTGATGGATGGGTATCTTTGGTCACATGACAGAAATGTGGTTACTGTATTCTCTGGTATAGCCTGGGAGTATGGTTGGAGTTGAAAGCTAATGAGGTTGTTCCAGCTCCAGAATACTGCTACCGTTGTGGTAATCTAGTGGCCACATTGGAAGTGGATGAACAACTCGATTATCAGTTGTAAGATTAAGGGATGTGGTTTGAGTCTAGTACTTTGCTAACTCTTGATATTAGTATACAGTTTGATCCTTCGCCGTGGACTGGAGAACCTACAGTGCATAGAAGGACGCCAGCTTACTTCCTACACTTACAGTCTTGCCCATATATCGCTATATAGGTTAGAACGTGTCATGTTTGCAGTCACTGCTGGTATATACTTTTTGTGGATTTGATGGTAGCTTGGAATGTACAACTAATCATATGAACAAAAGGAAATCATGGCCTCGATGTGATAATTGCAACTACTCTGCATCCTAATATTTTTTTCTTTTTTGTGATTCTCCGGGCTTGGCAGAGATATATTTTTCTACCAGTTATCAAGCAGTTCTGTCTCGATGAGTTCTTACGCTATCTTGTGCACCCGCAAGTCATTGATAGGCAAGGATAAAGTTTATGAAATTGAACAAATTTCAGAATGGATACCTTTACAATATTGTTCATAATATTCAATGTTATTATAGGGTACGGAGTAGATAAAGGAAAAAATAATCTCCTAGTCTTGGTTGCCATTCGTATTAGTGCAGCTTATATAATTATGCAATGCGCACTAGTGCGAAGAGCAGGCAGCAGTGCATGCATTTGCTAAGTGAAGCTGCCTAAAATCAATCTCTTGGCAGTCAACAATGACCCACGGATCTTCGGGTGGGGTCCTTAAATAGAGAAACCAGTCTGAGGGTCCAAGTCTTATCGGGCAAACGCCTACTCCGTACTGAGGCTAACTATACCTAGTCGTATGGTCCAATTGAGACATATGATAGTCCGCGCCCAGTTAACGTCCTGCTGCACAGAAGGCCCCGCAAAGAAAAAGCAAGACATTTGAGATCGAAAGGCGCCAGCTTTGGTCATCTCCTCTCAAAGCCCTCTCTCTACCGGTACTTGTTAGCCAACCGTACCCGTTCTACACAATGTCCAACCCATGTCAATATGATGGGTTTTCCTTTTTGCCCACGGAGCTATTCGAAGCACTCCTGTCATACTTAGACGTCGACTCGATAAAGACTCTACGTCTCACAAGTGGAAAGATTGCCAAAAGATGCCTCGGTCCACGATTCTTAGCATGCATCCAACAACCTGTGCTCGATGTGTCGTCGGAGAATCTTCGGTCTCTTATTGCCTTGGGTCGCAATCCCGATATCAGGAAGAAAGTGAACTCTCTTACTTTTTTAGCTACAATAATGGACATTTCTGGGTTAGAGAAGAATATCAAGGATGGATACTATATCGTCGAAAAGTTCAATGGGCCCGGTTTCAGAAGGGTCGAAGTTGACTATTCCCCCGAGGAACTTTCCAACGCGAAAGATGATCTAATATGGTTAAAAAAGCAGAAAGAAGCAAGAAAAAACGAATCGCCAAGCGAGCTGGTTGAACTTCTTGGCCATGCGCTCAAAAAGCTTGGTGAATTGAATGCTATTCACTTGGATGGTGCAGTTATTCGGGGACGCAAGGAGAGAAGATCTCTCAAGCATGGAGAATGGGTTTCACTGTGGACGCGAGCCGCGCAAGTTTTCTCATGGGTTATAACAGCGCTGCCACGGAGCCAGGTGTCGGTGAAGAGGCTTGATTTATATCAGAGTAATCGCCAATGCGGTTTGGAAGCTGCTACTATCAACAGCCTAAACTTGACACATGACTTAGCGGAATTGAAAGTGCCTCTTAAGGGGTTGCAATCGCTCGAGATGAGCATATCTGGGGACGTGCAGGATGCCCTGGACTATCGCAAAAGACGGGAAGAGGAAGACGAGGAAGAGGATACATCTCGCGAAGAGAATGATCAAGCAAGCCCCAGAAAAAAGGCTCGCAAGTCCAAGGAGGAGGACTATCATGGGATACCGAGCCTTCCGTCATTCTTCCTCAAGTCTGCCCCCTCTCTTCGAAAGCTCGAATTCTCGTTTCGTCATACTGGGCCACCAGGTTCAAAGTTGTTTGAGCATAAATATGACTGGATCATGGACAGTATTGCCCACGAAGCCCAGTTCTCAATGTTGGAAGAGTGTGCCTTTGCCGGACTTCCAGCGAGGAGCGACTCAATCCTGCTCTTTTTGCAGAAAAGCCTCAGTATAAGATCCTTAACAATCCACGAATGCCACCTGAGCTCTGGGTCATGGACGCCAATCTTCGCTCATCTGGAGGAGTCGATGCCGGAACTCCAGAGCCTAGACCTCTCGAACTTGTGGGGCAAACACATGCAAAACATGAAGTACGTACAAGCGCATGTAAGCGATAGTAATGATAATATAAGGGAAGAGGCAGAGGATGACTGGCAGGAAGGCGATGGTATGGTTATTCTGCGACCAATATGGGATACAAATCCCATACCGCGTCGGACAAGATACATGTCAACCAAGGGAATCGTTGTACACACCAGAAGCTTCACCCGCGAGGAAATAAATAAGGGGCTCGTTTTTCGACCCCTGAGGAATGGGCCAGGTCGACCTAAAGGCTCACCTGAGCACTGGTCGTGGCGAAGAAAGCGGGTCGTACTATATGGGCCTCTTGAATAGGTCTATTTGGTGGACTGTGCTTGAGAAATTAGTTCCGACAATTCTATTTACCTTTAGAAGATTGAATTCGTTTCACTTTTCATATATATGCTTTCCCGTACAAATGATATAGAACAATGCAAACTAGTCTGGCATTGTGACCAATGCTTGTTCACCAGATTTATTAGCCTTGTAGATTAGTTGATGAAGTTCTCCAAATGAGTGACCTGATCATGTATCATGGATGACGTCAGCTAGAGATGAATGGCTTCTTCGAATCTGGGCAGGCATCTCTCTCCGGCCGGTTCCTGAATTTTGCACATCATAACCCGTTCCACAAAAGATATCCTAGACCCTGATAGTCTACTAAAACACAACTATTGACAGCTAGTCACGACACTAACCCTCAAGCGGTGTGTGCCCCACGTATAAACTGAGTCTTAAGCTTGTCAGGATCAAAAAAGTCAATTTCACCTGTACAAATTTGCGCACCTGATACAGTGCCATTGTAGAACTGTACTTAGGCTAAAATGGAACCTTCATCAAACCAATCGGCGTGGCTTTCTTTTGCCGAAACTAGACCATTTATTTTAAGCATGGATCGGTTGTAATAGATAGGGCGGGTACGAATTTTTTTTTCGGACTCTTTCCAAGTAAGTTCAGAGCCCGGGTGAAGACGACTCCAATACAGACTCACCTCATGTGGTATGTCGCCCATACATGGGAATGTGTTCGATAGTGACCTCAACAATCAAAAAATTGTGCTAAGTAGCGAAAATGGGAAGGACAAATGTGTGAGATACTAAAATACTTAGTGATCCAGGGTCCTGCAGGCTTCGGGCTTGGTCCGAGTGGACGCAGACTGCACCCGGGTCCACTCTCGCGTCGCTTATAAACTACCAGGGTCATTCTAGTGGTCTTTTTCTTCTGGTACATTTCATTTACTCGACTATCCACTTATGACCTATCTCTCTACGCCTTTTTCAATGCAAATTGTATTGTTCTTCGATATAGCCTACAAAGAGCCAAGGTAATTGTTCTGTCGTGAATTAATACTGACACATAGCCGCTGCAACGCACGTAAGAAACGCGTGACGGTAAGAATCATAAACTATACAAGACACTAAAACACACACACACACACACACACACACAGACACAACTATTTCAGCGTTGATAATTTTGAAGAAGCTCGAGTATGGTTAGAAAGGAAGCCTGCAGATCTGGAACGTTTGTAGTATACTTCATTCTCGTCTCTGCCACCTCCGATGGGCTCTTATCACCGAACTGTCTGCACTTTGATCTCGCTGCAGGATCTGCACTTGCATCTAGCAGAATTTTGACAATTTCCTCCTTGGCAATGTAGACGGCGCAGTGCAAAGGCGTGCCCCATTCTGGAGATGTCGTATTCGGATTCAGACCCTTACCAAGAAGGAACTTGGTCTTGAATTCCCCATCTACCCCACGCGGACGAATTGCCTGAAAGAAGAGACTGGGTTCTATGTTGGCCCCGTATTCGACAAATAGGTCAAACAAAGATGTGTCATCTTTGCAAGCGATCTCTAGTGCAGTGGCAAGCGGAGCTACCTTCTTTGGTCCGCGGCGATTGGGATCAGCTCCTCGCAAAAGGAGCTCACGAGCTGGGGCAGCATTCAGGAAGCTATTTTGCTCGATATGTCAGCATCGCGGCTCCATTTTGCCCTTTACGGATATTTGCGGCCCATCGAGATGATATGAACCTACCGTAAGAGAGGCTCTCGATCGGACGTCGTACGGTTAGGATTGAGACCACGATTGAGATAGTGACGAACTACATCGGGATGTTGCTCGCCATCCCTTCCACCAAGGGCATCTATCGCAAAGGCCGTCATTGGAGCACCAGCATCGAAAAGCGCGGCCACAACATCCGGATGCGCCGCACCAGTAGCGAGACTAAGGCCATGCTCGAGGGTACGTGTGGGTAAGCCGTTAGCGAGGACCTTTCGTATTTTTCTCAGGCCACCATCAATGCATGCAGAATAAAAGGCCGTCTCAGAAGGAGTGCCAGGTTCCATGTCGTCCAGTGACCTGAGATTAATGTGAAATGGACACAAGGAGGGGACCTTGAAAGGCGTATTTGTGCCTGAGACACAGGCGGTGGCGGAGACCGGAGACAGTCGCTGTAGCTCGTGATTGGTCACGCAAACTGGTCCATGCACAACAAACTTTCAAGCCACATCTTTGAGCCTAGAATTACGACTGTACTCTGTAGATGGCCCAAACTACGCTCCTATAAGTAATCCTGAGGTCTTGGCCATGGCTCTTAGTTCTGCCAAGACAGGTCAGGGCAGATGAGTTATAATTACTGGAGATAAATCTAAGTGTATTCTTGGGGATGGTTTAGATTCTGATTGTTGTGATATTATATTTTAACTGAATAAATTTTCTCTGGAAGCGGTTGCTCAGCTTTTTCAACTTATATCTCAGATTACTATCCAGGTTAATTAGATAAGTATCTCTGCAGTCTTTAAGACTGCCTCTATAAAATTATATCACCAGCTCGGAAAGGTTTCCGCGGCCCTCCCGGATATGTTTAAAATTACTCTTATATTATATTGCTGGTTGACTGCGCGCTGCGTTAAATTAACAGTGTGGCTTGAGATTATAAAATTTTCTATATTAGCTGCCAAGACCAGCCACAGAGATAATTTAAGTATTATTTTAATACTATAAAGGGGCAAGATCCTTCAAAATTAGTATTGAAATATTGCCAGGGGTGTTAAATATAACTATATAAGAGATGAGGCCCGTAGGCCCTGTGGTGGTTGCGTAGGTTTCAAAGATTCGATTTACGCGTGGGGATTTGTCGAACTTAGTGTAGGTGTTGAACCTGTCTCGGAAAATCGGACACCATCAGAGCAGATGTGTTGATCCATCAAGAGATAATCCAAGGGTGTGATGGAGCCGACAGTCTTCTAAGCAACAAGTAATCAATGCGAACCAGATGGTTCCTGGGTTATGTAGAAGGAAAGAGTGGAGAATCTGAGACCCTGGGCCCTGATATACTGGAGCCCGGTGAGACTATTGACAGCTAGCCGAGACATCGGACCAGAATGATGTTTGCCCCACATATTGTTGGGTTTTCAGGAACAAGAGGTCCGCCAAATGCTAATGTGAATAGATGGATCCACCTTAAGCAGCCAAATAAACAAGTGCTATTCGCTGGCTTTGATGGACAGAAGCCGAAGTTGATCCGTTCCATGGCTGAGAATGGGTGTTCGCTTGAGCCCTCAAGCTAAGAACGCGAACCATACATTTGGTCGCCGGAAGTTATTCGCGACTGGCAAAGGTGCCATACCGCTCCACATAAAGTACTCGTTACTAAGCCTTTAAGGGATTGAATGGCCGGTGTGACCTTTCGTCAAGCAATCCGTAGCCCTCGCCAGGCTTGGTGGGATTTCCATGGCGGTGTACAATTTTCCTCCTTTGTAGAACTTGATAGGATATGAGTGAATAAAGTATCATTACAAGTTGTATATTAGTGGTATTCAGATTGAAGCAGCTCTAGAATAGTCTCGAGTGAGGCACGCAAGTCAGGAGATTTAGGGTAACGTTGGATCGTCCGTTCAGCCACTTCCGCAGGGGTTTGATCACGAAATTGCCTGCAATCAGATCGCGCGGTCTTGTCGGCACCTGCATCTAATAGAACCTTGACAATGCCTCTCTCAGCTAGATAAACAGCCCGGTGAAGTGGCGTACCCCATTCTGGAGATGTGGTATTAGGATCAACGTCCTTGGCAAGGAGTAATTTAGTCTTAAACTCCCCCAGAGACTCGCCCGGTCGGATAGCATAGAAGAAAAGAGTGGATTCCAGCCTGGCCCCGTGTGCAAGAAGGGTCTCGAACAGAGACGTATCCTCTTCACTGATATTCTCAAGAGCACAGGCAAGTGGACTGACGCCCTTAGGACCCTTCCGGTTGGGGTCGGCACCCCGTGAGAGCAATTCTTCGGCACAGGCAGGATTTTTCATGAACCTGTCACATAGTAGTCAGTGATAGTTCCCGTAGATCTGAATAGTAATCCTGACCAAACATACCGTAGAAGTGGCTCACCATTAGAGACGTTGCAGTTCGGATCAAGACCGTGGTTGAGATAGTAGCGAATGATACCCGGGTGTTGCTGGCCATCGTCTCCAATAAGGAAACTCGACGAATCCGCTGTCATTTGAGCCCCAGAATCAAAGAGTGCTGCCACTATATCTGTGTGAGCTTCGCCGGTGGCAATATGGAGTCCTTCACTGACGTCCTCAGCGGTGAGCCGTCCGCTGTAGAGGGCATTCTGGGTTTTCAGCAAGTCACCATTGAAACAAGCGTCATGAAAGGCCTCGACAAATGCTTCACCTGGTTCCATGTCGAGGGGAATGAAGATTGGAGTGAGGTTCAAGTGTCCAGTAAATAGACAGGGTATATTAAACCCGAAAGACAATCAAAGGATGCGAGGTTTTTACGACTCCTGATATACCAGAATGGTGCTATTGAGGATTAGATTAGGACAAATGATTTTTGGCTCGACGCTCATCCCCTCTCTTTGCCTGCACTAAACAAAAGGAGTATGTGAAGAGTCCCTTAGCCCCACACCTTATCCACCCGATGTCAATCCAACGGCATGGCTCGCTTCCACCGCGAATGCGTCAACCATGGCACAGACACCCAATCGGGATAGTAACCTCCATGATTCGGTCATGGGCCGAGAAGAAACAAAGGCTAAAACTTGGTTAAATCCGAGTCAATCTGCAGTCCAAACGCATTGTGCTCATAGTCACGCCCCTCAAAGGTCCTATATCCCCTTAGTCTGCGTCAATGTCATCCAGCACCGCAAATGACTCTTTGAGTAATAATTTTCAAAAGGCATGTATCGACGGCAACCTTCAGGATGTTCAGAGAGCTCTCACCACGGGTAGACTCTCTGCTAAAGATCTCGACACTGGACTCAGGCTCGCTACTAAACAAGCACATGCGGACATAGTAGCGGCGCTTTTCGATGCGGGTGTGCCTATGTCGCCCAATGCGATAGGTTGCCTCTGCGGAAATGATGCGAGGCAGGACCCGCGGGTCATTCGCCTCTACTTCGATCGTGGCCTGAAGCCTAGTAATTGTATAACGTCTAAAGGCGAGCCTCTTCTGCGGTGCGTCTACTACGAGTCATTGTTAGCTGTCATTGCAGGGCTGAATTGTGAGATATACAGGTTTTATTCGGTTGACTGTGCCCGGGAATTACTCGAGCGAGGCGTCGACCCCAACCGCTGCGGTCCGAGGAAGATAAGCCCCCTATCGAGCTCTCTTGACCTAGTTCACGAGGACAACGGAGCTACTTTCGATTTACTTGTACAATATGGGGCGAAGATGAACCCCGCTCTTTTATTCGAAGCTCTTGTTTGGAGCAGCGATGCAGCTATTAAATTTCGTTTCCTTCTCTCCAAGGGACTTGATCCGACCACGACGGTTTCTGCAGAATGGGGTACGCCGCTGCATGTTGCAGCGCTTTTTGCCGATAAGGAGGTTATAAGAATACTTCTCGACTTGGGAGCAGATCCGAACTCCCGATCATACTGTACAAAGTTTAAGAACAAAAGCCCCGTGGAAGTCGCCGAGTGGAAGATGCGAGCTTCTCATGAAGGCTCTTCCATGAAGGGCACGTATCAAAGTGTAATAAAGCTTCTTGAGTCTGCACAAACAGGATCCCCTCTTGCAATTGGTGGGTCGGAGAAATCAACTACCGAGAACAGTGCGTAGCCACCTGCAGCACAGAATTGGAACACAGAAAAACAGCCTAATATTGACGTTACAGGCTGGCCGGGCTCTTCAGTGTGTGGATCGGAATCGCTGAAACGTCCCACAACGATTCAAAGCACCAGGGAGAGAGAAATCTTAGAGGATGGTAGTGTTAGCACCCGAACACGGAGTCGGACCAAAAATGTCTCATAGTTAGAAATTTACTGTACGGCTTTATGGGTGATTGGTGTGAGAGAAATGAGTTGCTTGACCAGAAACTATACGCTGCGTCGTGCTCAGAGATATTGATGATACTATAAGTTTGTGGGTGAGCGAACGCATTCAGGTAGAGACCAGCTACTTGATGTAATTAGACGTGAGTAATGCAATATAGTGACATGCTGGAGCAATATCGAAAAACGATGCCCTACCATGGGTGAAAGAAACCTGTAGTAATTTAGGACTTGGAGCATTCACTCTAATTTCATCAGATCGGCTGCTACCTGCACGGGCCTTATCTATGCTCTTTCTCTCAACTTTCCCGACCCTATTCATCTCGGGGATTCTGGAGCTGCAAATAGCCAGGACACTGGCTTTACAGCCTGGCTATGTGGTACTACTAAATAAGCTGCAAAGCGAGGGATTTACACCATGGGAGCTGAGATCATGTATTCGGAATATTGCTGGCAACATGAAGACCTCATCGTAGCCTCACATTTGGCTCAGGGAGACCGGAACGTCTTTATTACTCACCATATTTTCTCTGCAAAGAGCCCTGCACAAAGGACACCGATCGCCTCTTACCCTACAGTAAGACTAAAGAGACTAAGCGAATTAAAACACCATGAAGTGCTCCTTACGGTTACGAGACAAGATGTCCTTCGACTAATCCGTTGATGTACCACACACATGATGCGAAGAGCCGCCGAAGGGCCTGAGCCTATGAGGTCCTGGTGGTCTGCAGACTGCACAGATACATGAACTGGAGGGAGTAGAGGTCAATAGTAGATAATCTAAGCGGAAGAAGCCCCGGTCCTTCCAAGCGAGCTTTAACATGTCCACGGCAAGAAGAGAGTTGGTGTGGCTGTAGTTGCTCCCGTGAATCAACTTCACCCTCTGCATTTGTTACCCCTCTTGAACATCAATGTCACTTCACACTGTTGCAAGCCCTTCTGATACTGTTCTATTCGGCTAGGAGTTTCTCAATGGGAAGGAGATAGAAATATTCATTACTTTCTACTCTGATTCTCAATCTCACAACTTTCGACATAGGATTGTGGGAGACGGGCATGCAGCTAACGCCTTGGCTCATTGTTTTCTGTATTGTGTGCCTATAAATCGAGGTATATTCCCGGCACTAACATACCTGACGAGAATGTAGCCCAGCTGATAAGCGAACAGAACTGGATGATGAAGAAGCGGCTTTCGGCGTTAGAGGAAAAGTCTTCAGATCTGCCCTCACAGGAATACCCATAAGCAAATGAAGGTATGTTTCCAGCTCCGCCGTTGCAGCACAGGATCTAAAGCAGCTGATATGTGTGTAAGTTAGCATTTGGAATGATGGACTCGGGAATTTAAGAAGCCGGAGCCTGGAGCGCGGAGTTGAACCCGTAGGACCGCCTCAAGTTCGCAACATGTAATAACCCCGGGTTTCTCTAGTTTTCATTGCTATTCCATACTGGACTGCTCAACGCGTCCTTCGGTCGTTTCATTCTAGTTAAACGTTCCAGGGAAATGCCAGTTTTTCCCTGGGATTTATTCTCACCGCTCTCTACCTTATGTACCTCGCCCACAATGTCCTTTCTTTCTTCTGGACTTCCACACAAAACTGTATGCAATCTTCCCCCAAGCTTGCACCTCCTGAGTGCAAGGCTTTTGTTTGTTCATCTTCCTTGCACTATGTAGCCTTTCCAAGGCGCTGTTAATGCTACGAACTTTGCTGCCCAAGAGACCGATCCATAATTTCCTTCCCCCAAGTGTTATGCTCCAACTAATCAAAATCCTCTCATATTCATGCTGCTTGTCTTCTCTCAATCTCTTCGCAAGACTGGTTCTTACTACCCGTCTCCATTCTTATACATCAATTTGCGACGATTTCTTTGGCTGTATTTCAACTTCTTATGACAGTTGGTGCTGTCATAGTCACCAATATCACCATCATCCGGGCGGCGATCAACCCTCGGTCATGGCATCGGCGCTTTCGACGCTGACTACAACAATGATAGAGCAAACGTATTGCCGCTGTCGACAACAATATACGAGCCTCGCGTTCATTTATCAAATGCCGCCCTTCAAACTCGGCTTTTGGGAGATCGACGATGTCTTGAAAGCTCGGAGCAAGTGATTTATCGGGAGTGATGTTGGCGTGTGGTGCGACCGGTGGTTTCCTCCATATTTTGTCGGCGAACCCATTGGAAGGTTTGAGTAACAAAACCATATTAGCTGTTGCGTCTCTCGGTCATGCTCGTGACAAGATGATAAGAGGAGCATGACAGCAGGGGACAACAACACACCGACGAACCTACGGCCGCCGGTACGAAATGATGCTCAAATTCTTTTCTCGGTTGTGTAGCCGCGGCTAAACTTGGATTTTCCCCTCATACGATATAAACAGGCGACTGTTTCACCCTTGTCTACTTTGCTGGAAAACAACCACATACTGCGGTTGAATAAAAGAGGCCACCTGATTGCAAGGGCCAAACTAGCAATTTGAGCCTGAACAGGCGGTTTGGCCTGGATGAGATAAGCAGTCTCGTTCCAAAGTCCGTAAAAAGACCGGTAATAATAATAATCAGTGTACAGATAATATCTCTATTCTATCTCGGATTTCACAAACCTGTGGTGATTGGGAAATCCTAATTCAGAAAAGGAGTCTTTTATGTGGCACTAACTGGGTGGCCGGCCCGGGCGGGAACTAACGTTACTTGGTTAGTTATCCTCTATCTGCTAACTTAGCAGACCCCGCACTGTGGCACATGCACATACTTGTTGAAAGCAGTGACGGCGAAACCACATATGTATGGGAAACTCGCACAAGATCTCAATACTTCTTTGTTTTGTATGAATGTTTACATCTAGTCGCATTCTGCCTGTCAGCTGGTTTTGCTTACTCAACGATGGTCTAGGAAGCCGTATATGTGCATACACCGAGGCTTAGAGAGAGGCTTAGACGCAGGCTTTGATGTCTTGAAATCATGGCTTTTTAGATATATAGAGGTGAGTCAGAACGAACTCCAATGTTTTACCTTGGAAAGTCTCAGCATAGGGATACATTTACGTTGACCTCTTTGTGTGGTTTCTTATACTCTAGGATTGCATTACACCATCACAACTCAACCAGACTGTACGTTACCCATGAAGGCCGATACTGCGGGGTTCATTCACACCCCACTGGGTACTGATGAACACTACATCCGACTTCTCAAATTTGACTCTACCGCCCCAGAGAAACCTCTCAAATTCTCTCTCATAACATGCAAATTCGCAGAGAAACCTGCTCACAACAGCCTCTCCTATGAATGGGGAACTGTCGCAGCCGACCATCTGATCCTCGTCAACGATCGGCCCTTCTTCATCCGGGAGAACCTGCACAGCTTCCTGAAAGTGTTAGCCACCAGTGCTTACAGAGAGAATTATTTCTTCGCGGACGCAATTTGTATCAATCAGGTGGACATTCCCGAGCGTAACGTCCAGGTACAGCGAATGGGCGATCTTTATGCACAGGCAGAGAATGTGCTCGTCTGGCTTGGGCACTCTACAGCCGAGAGTGATTTTGTCTTCGATGTATGCATTGATTCAGTAGCGAACAGCACCATCGCCACGACCAAGCTGGGGGAGCAAAAGGATAGAATCGAGGCCCTTGATTTCAACGCGCCCGACGGACAGGCCCTGGATACAGTATACCAACGGTCATACTGGACAAGACTGTGGATCATCCAGGAGCTATTCCTCGCGCGAAACATTATCCTATTTTGTGGATCAAAGTCGACAACATGGTCAGTCTTTAGGCGGCTCCCGAGGTGGAACAAGGGCGAGTTTGTCCTGGGAGGCTTCACGGGAGTTGATATGGTCCTTGGGAGCACACCGGCCGGACGGCATGCAAGAGAAATTCTCAATGAGTTGGACAAGAGGCAACAGGGAAGAAGCACCTATGAAGACAAAGGGATCGTCGACTTGACTCTGAAATTTGGTCTGGCTCAGTGTTTCGATGTTCGCGATCGTGTCTATGGTCTGCTTGGTCTCGCTAGCGCATCCGGTAAACACGAGGAAGATGGAGGCCTTGAGGTCGTCGCGGACTATTCGGAGAGCCCAATGTGTCTATTCGTGCGCCTTTTGCGTACCATGCCACGTGAGCTCCGTATTGAAACCGCACTAAAGCTCTTCAACATTCTGAAGCTGCACCATGCTCACGAAAGTGCAATTGTTGGAAACATTCCAGACAGCGACAGCAACTTCAACATTTCTTTCGACGTCTATTTTACCCATATAGGACATCTCAGACATGTGACTCAAACCTCTCGACCTTCCTGCAGACCTTGCCGCAGCTGGGCAAGGCAATCTGTTCCATTTGTGATGAACGAGTCCCTGCACCAACAGCTGGCAGGAAAGACTTGCTCGCAGATAAAAACCGCTGAAAGTCAAAGTGCTATGGCCAGACATGGTGGCGGGCCTCTATATAAAATGATGTCTTATAACAGCTGCGTAACTGAGTCCGGCCCTTGTGAAGGAGATGAGGTTTTCCTTCTGGAAGGTACAAGTGTCGTCCTAATCCGACATCAAGATGATTCAGGTTCTACGCTACGTTACATGCGGGGTGTTCTCTGCAGCACAGAAAGGGAGCAAAGTATTCAGAGAGCCGGGGAATTGCTCGATAGCTGCCTCTCGTATTTACCATCTATCGATGAGGTATGTCTCAGGACTGAGAGGCATACGATATGGACTCTAGTGAGCCCGGTTGAGTTTGTCTATGAGGAGCTGAGTCTGCGACAGATTATATTGCTTCTGATATATACTGGACAACACAGCGATTATTGGAATCGGCGGTTAGAGGCTACTTCTAGCGACTAACGACCAGAAGGATGGGCGAACGTCTGTTACATATCCATATAGTATGAACGCGCAGTCTTTTAGAGGGCCCTGTTCAGCATCTTTTAATGTATTCTTATTTGAAAGACGAAGCTCAGATGCCATGTCGGTATGTATGTTACTTGCCTTGGGGAAATTTCACTGTATGCCGTATGTTGGTTAGGTCTGCATTAGACCAGGCATCAGCATCTTTCACGATAAGCTTCATCTGACAGAAATATGCAAGTATCCTCGCAAATATATTGTATATACCAGCACAAAGGATTCTGCCGACGGTATGCCACTTCATCCCGGCAGCAAAACGCTACTTGTAAATCTCAGACATAACTGCAATTTTACAGGCCATCTCTCCATCAGGGTTAAAATGAAGACTGAATTTTGGCTCGGGAGAAGACCATGGGTGTTTGTGTAGTAAATCAATACGTATTCACATCACTAAAAACCATCGCTTCGACAGGCCTGTGCAATATGCCGACGTGCATACACAATCATACTGTAAATTGGCTTATGAGGGTATTTCATGATGGTGGCTCAAGCTTCACAGGTTGCGACAAGCGTCTTCGTTATACAGGCGTCCTAGAGTATGATGGCTAAAAAAGGCGGAGACCTAGGGAAGAAACGTACACTTAGCAGGTGACAACAGTGAGCCATCTAGGGGATAGTGAATGGCCTAGCAGAAATTTGATTAAGCATAGTGATTGCTGATGAAGTACTTACTTCTATGTTCTTGCGCATCTGATGTATACTGTGTAATCCCCGATGTACTAGCCACAGCTCTAGCGGATCCAAATAATCCTGCGATTTGAAGCGAGCACCATACTGATACGTTCATCCTATGCGGGAGGCGACATTCTCTGACTCTATCCAGTTTACTGACACGAACTAAACACTAAGCCTCTCTAGGGAATTGACACTACTACACAACACGAAGGTGTGAGCTACGGCAAGACCGAGCTTAGATCCGTCGATCCGCGGACCGCTATCCGGAAGTTACTCTGGAATAGAGTGGCAAACTAGCGCCATGCATGATAATTCCGGCCCCATTCTCGCGATCCGGTAATACGGAAACAGATCGCCTTGCCTGAAGTTTAACATCAATCTATATACTGCACAGAGTTTGCAACCCGCAATAAATACAGACCTCTCCTATCTACGGAAACTATCAGTGCTGCGATGGATCCTGATACATTCCCCGAACCCCCGTCTCAAGCCATCAGTAAGTTGACCCGAACCCCTTATTTGACAGATCCGTATTCCGATGAGGTGCGCTAACCGGTCCGACAGACTGGTCTTCCCTTGGAAGCCAAAGCATTGAATGTATGTTGTATCTCTTGCTGACATTTCCCCAAATATCGAACCTCTATCATTAGAGCCAAGTTATATTCTGACTGATAAAGTTCCTACTTCCCATGTGGAGTGCACCTACTGCCAGACAACGGGTTCATGGGGCTCACCGACAGTGATCAATAACCCAAATCTTCAAATCAATGGCTTCGCCGTGGGAGTAAACTATGGGGGACCATATTATGAGTCCCTCACCGGTAAGTTACCTTCTGTTCCTCTTCCCACAAACGTAACTCGAGTTTACTGATCACGGCATCTGCTAAAAGCCCGACGCACGCGAGACAACCGCATCCTTCTCTTCCGGCCCCTTGATCATGCCCGTCACTTAGCCGATGCTACAGTGGCGGCAGGCATGACGGCTATCCCCGAGCACTTGTTCCTGACATGTGTTAGAAAAGCAGTAGCAATCAATACTTCCTATGTACCTCCGCCCCAGACGGACGCGGTGCTTTACATCCGCCCACTTCTGTTTGGGCCCAGCTTTCCTCGCATACGGGATTCCCCGCTGCAGTATACTTTCTGTGTGTTTGCCCGACCGGGTGTGGTGTACCCGCGGACAGCGGCGCAAAATGCAATAGTGCTGAGTGATATTGCTGCTCATAACGTCTCCACTACGATGGAAGGCCAGAAATGCTCCAGAAATGGGATATGGGACGACGGTTGGAAAAATGGACTGGAAGTAACAGCTCAGCCAGATGAACAACAGGCACAGCGAGACGTATACACTATGAAGCTCCGGCTGGAATACTCGCGACATGGGACATTTATCAATGGGTTTACGACGTCCGCGTTCCTTGGAGTGCAGGAGGAGCACGGTAGGTATACGTTGATGGTGCCGAGACATCCCAGCCGGAGCATCATTAGTGATACGTGCGTTGCGATTGCTATACGGCTTGGGTGGAAGGTGAAGGCTGGGCCGGTATGTATTGCGTTCAGTACATCGGCACCCTGGAAGACTTCGTTAGCGCCACTCTACTACGCATGGACTAATCATGAGGAACGGCGCTGCTCTGGTGCTATTCTAGATTCCGGTCGATGACATCGACACTCTTTCCGAAGTCATTGCCACAAGCACATGGCACTTGCTGCTCCCCATTCGACTAATCTTCTGTCCGTCGGCTAAGCAGACAGTAGTGTATCAAGCTGGGTCTCAGCACGCGGGCCCTGCGTGCCGGTTGCTGCGCAATGCGATGGCAAAAATCATGGGTGGGGATGTCTTAGACATATGGCAGTGGTGTGTGCCAGTGACGCAGCAGGATCGACATCCTGGCTGAGTGACGGAATGAATTGGATAGCGGTAGATCTACGCACATGAGTATCCTCGCTGCCAGTTGGATTTGACCTGTGATTCCGTCCCTCTCCCCTACCCCTTAGGCAGAAACAATGTCCGGGTGGCCCTGAGTCCCGAGGGTCTAGATTTGCCCTCCTCGACCGGTGCTTACGGTCTGCGTCTTAGCAAAGCTCATGCACCCCTCGTCGGTGTTTGTTTGTTATTCCGCTCAAGCAGAAATATTTAAGCTCAATTTTTGAGATTCTGTAGATCGTATGGTATCTTGAAAGCATCGATCATTGAGTAATCAATTTTTCAATGCGTCGCGACTCACACGGCGATGATCGTGTGGCCAGCCTGTCATACTTCAGTTTGCAACTGTCCTGAATTTCCCTCCCACTGGAATACGACGGTCCTCATTTGTGAATAATACTCGTATACGTAGTTACTCATGTGGGTAGGGCCACCGGTCGGGTTTTCAAGGTTTGGGCCATATCGGCGTCGCCAGTCGAAGGGATGCGGAGACCACTTGGGAGACCCTGAGCCAACGATTGCTGTCCAACGTAATGCACGGTTAGTTTGTGCAATTCTTTCGTCTTCTAATCATACTGGACGAAAGGACTACCTAGTTCCCAAATATTGCTGCATGTCCGGAGAGGGAAGGAATTCGCCACGTATGATCGCGGTGGGAATTTCGGCCAATTCCATACCAATAGACGAGCAAAACTGCCGGAGATCAGAAGGGGGAACGAGGGAGGAGCTGTGCTAGACCGGGCGCTGAAATAATCCAACTGTTTCGAAGAGATTTTTGTACTTATTTCTTTTTACTAATGGCGCCGTGCTAGGCCAGGGTATCTGGGCCTGGAGTGGGTCATTGGGCCTGGGCTGAGACTCACGGCCAGGCCTGATCCTAAAGGGTGGCTGGCCATGGTCTTCCCAGTCCGATCTAGGTGGCGTTCGATAGTGGATGACTGGATAGACGCAGATGTAATTCAGGGCAAGTAATTTATAATTCCTTGACCACACTCCTTCAAAAGCAGGTATGTAAATGGAATGGTGTCAATAACGTTCATGTAGTGGGGTGTGCCCGGTGATCCAGGCTGCATCGGAAATGTAACGTCGGTCCGGGGTGATTCCCTTAGTGCTGCGATCGGCACAGGACTTAAATGGATAGTCCCTTAACGGCTGTCTCACCCATACCCAGGGGCACATATCTGGGTAATTGATTCGGAGAGGTCCCAGGAAACCTGCCCATCGCACGACTGTGTGGTTCTGTGACCTTCAAAGCCCGAGGACAGACCGTGTGTGTCTGCGGCGGGACAGATTGACCAAGAGGATATTATATTCTAAACGATTACCCGACACTCACTGTTGGCGAAAAAAAGAAAAGAAAAAGCAACCCGTTCTCACTGGCGACCCGCGTGATACAGCAGACTATCGTCAAACGAACAGTGAAAGTATCTGCAAGTCTGACCGAGCGCGCTAATAGCGCCGGATGGACACATTTGCCCCACCAGTCGATGCGATCCTCGCCTGTCGATCTGTTGACCATTCGATTGGTGAAAGACGACCAGGTTGGCCTCTAGTGTCAACCTCTTTGGATGGAAAGTATCTCGACCCTGCTTTGTTTCAGGAATGCATCTTTCGTCCGCTACGATCAGAGATGGGCGACACACTACTGCAGTGACTGTACCCACTGTATTCAGCACGAAGAGCAGATGACGCTGCTGTTTGACGTAGTGGGGCTGGCTCGGCTGAGAATTATCCCAATTAATTGTGAGCAACCAAATCCCTAGAGGGGAAGAATGAGCACTCACAGTCCGCATACTGCCCCATGTCCTCGTGGTAAAGGTAGGAGGCGACAGTCCTCGCCTTTAATAGATCTGTGGTTCATCCTTCGATTGCGTCTTTGACGAGCATCTTTGCGTGATTTTGCAGTCGACAGACACCTGCTGTGCCGAGACTGGCCCCATGAGGCATCATGAATGGAATCCGCAAGGGTATTACACGACGAAGAGGCGCCTGTGAGCCGTGCAAGGCGCGAAAGACTCGCTGTCAGTTCCTGGCGTTTGCCCCGCCTCCCGCCCTCTTCCTTATCGCCCCCTTCTGATATGGTGGATTGTGGAACGTTCCAATATCGCTGACTTCCGCCCCCTTTATCCTTCAGCTAACCAACATTTAACACTATAGGTGATGGCGGAAATCCTTGCATGCACTGTCGGGTAAGTGCTCATGTTGCCCTGCAGGTCATTTGCTACGTATGCCTTCATAGTAACAGAGCAGCTCCCAGAGAAAGGATAGCTCGTGCACCTATTTACGAGGGCCAGCATCAACAAGGTCCATCTCCACGCCTTCGCAGCTCAGTCCTGCCTTGAGTCTATTTGAGCGTGACGCGGATCTGTCGTTACGGCAGTCAATCAGTCCCCAGGAATGGTTGGAGACAGTTGCTCCGGGGGCTCTAGACCTGCCCTGTTGGGACCTTCCCGATATATCTTGCAACCCTTGCCCGGACTGGTCGGCTGAGGGCTCGATGCCTGGAGGTCAATCCGAATCCGAGTCGAGCCCTGCTACTCTTCCCCCCAATTACGGTGACCCATCAGTGACCCGGTCGGATCATGAGCACGGGGGTGACAGAACCTTTTCTATCCATATGGTAAGGCCATATTAGGTTGTGGGAGTAGTATTACGACCAAGGCTAATTCTTCGACAGCTGCAAAAGGAGTTTCAAAGTACGGTAATTCCCGGAACTTGGAATCACACCTGGAATGCTCATTGTCTGGACAGCTCGCCAAGTAACATTGGGCTTCGACATTCCTTCGCTTTATTCCTCCCTTCCTCTGGTTGAGAGTGATCCGCCACGAACCGAAAACATAAAACGAGCTGTAGAGCTTCTCAACTGCGACATTGTGGGGGGTGACAAAACATGCTATGTATTGCCCGACTGTCACAAACCATCGATGGGGCCGATGCTCGACAGTGAACCTCGAATCAGTAGCTACATCCAAGGTACGGACAAGTTAGCTTCCAACGACCCTACAGTTATGTGGGAGTACAAACAGTATGAAACTGATAATTTACAGCATGTTTTGAATCACCCGGGTAAGTTGTCTGCGGCTTACGGGGAGCTTGACTGGATCCGGCTGATAGAATGTAGTGCCGGTGTCAATATGTTCCTGAGTATGGCAAGTGCCCAGGAGTGCGTGGACGCTGTGCTGAGGTCCGACTGCTCAAATCGAGCCACGGTGGTGGTAGCCTATGCTGTCCTGGCGCTGGGATGCTACCTTGTAAGCATACAATCGGGTATTAGGAGTGCCGTTGAAGGCATAACACGGGCCACTGGATATTTTCGTCGAGCGTTGTCTGAACTGAATTGTCTTTCCATGGATAATGTGACTGTCCGGACGCTTCAGGCAAGTCCTTTCCCACAATTTTCAGGTCAACAAAACTGACTATTTCATCCAGGGAATTTTGATCATGGTGAGCTTCCTGAATGATAAAGCAGAGGACATTAGCGCTAATCATTCCGTAGGTCATCTTCGCCGACAAGTCCGCTCATCACTCCAGGTCCCGTCTTGTCACCCTTGGTGTCCAGTGCGTGCAAGATTTGGGACTTCACAGCTCTCGACGTCTGCGACAACTTTCCACCGGGACCGACGAACGATTGCTCAAGAATGCCTTTTGGGCTCTCTATGCTATTGAAAAAGCCGATGCGGTCGGCACGGGTCGCGGTTCGGTGAGAGTCCCTCCCCGCTTACACACATAGAGAAAAGACAATTTAATATTGAAGGCTCCCAGATTATGTGCGACAAGCACACCGACCATTCGCCCAGCGATGCGCTTCAGCACCCAGATGAAGCGCGGTTGACGCTTCAATGCTTGTACGGGTGCCTCTGCGATCGTGTGATAGATTCACTCTTTAGCCAGGCGGCCCTCCGAGTTACACGCGCTGACATGTGCCGTCAAATCGAAGATGCATATTGCCTGGTTCAAGCATGGTTGGGTATCTTCCAGACATATAATAACTCGCTCAATACTCCCGCAGGACGCTTCTCCTGCCTTGGGGAGCAGGCGGAGGCCGAGACCCATTTGAGCTCTTACTTCCTCATCTTCCTAATTCACGGAAAATGGCTCCATCTGGCCCAGCAGGGACTGGATCCTGAGGAGGCAGAGGCCTATGAGCGAAGTGAAACACGATGTCTCGCAGCTGCTCGATCGGTTTTAGAACAATGCAGCCAGCAGACCCATGCTCAGATGCTGGCGAACATGTAAGACCATGGAAATAGCCTCCTGAGAAGCTAGTCGACTAACCACGAAAGATAGGAAGTTTCGTTCGCTTCCCAAAATCGCGGCATGTATTCTCATTCTTACGGAGCAGTCATGCGACCGATCGGATGAGCAGCAGATGTACCTGAACATGGCGTGTGGGTTTTATAGTCGTCTTGCCATCTTCATGCCGGTTCAGTTGAGTCCACTAATGGAAATGGTGGATCGGATGGATACACCTACATGGCAATGACTGAGACGGGCGAATATCATTGTACGTTAACGAACATCAGTCAATGAGATACCTGTAGGACACGAGCAAGAAGCATGACGATGTCATCATAATAAAAACACCAAACGTGCACAACAGTAGTCTGTCGATCACGACCCGTTCTTATCTTATCACCCCAAAGGTAAACCCACAAGGTCCTTCATTCGTTTGCTCGTCACGACCACATATTATGGTTTTCACAAAGGAAATAGTCTTGAACATTTCCAGAGATTTTTGATGGTTCAACTTCTAGAAAAGAATGTTTTCATCCAGCAGCACTCCTGGATACGGGCATGCGTCTAAGGATGTGACCACAACATGGAGGATGTAAGACCTACCATTGTAGAAAAGTCCTCGAAATGTCACCACTGATAACTTACAACCAGAGCCGATTCTCGAGTCCTCCCTCTTCTCACCATCGGCTTCGCAACCTACCAGATCGACCGCACCAACATCGCCAGTGCTCTAACTGGAGGCTTCGCATCGGACATTGGCGTAGGCCAAGACATGATTAACTTGGGAAATCAGCTGATGTTCTTGGGCGTGATTATCCTGGAAATACCATCCAATATGGTTCTACAGAAGGTACTGATCTTACACTGTCCCCAGAGACATGAGATATGAAGCTAAATAAGCCCGATTGAATGTGTACTAGGTGGGGCCCCGCCGCTGGATCAGCTCCCAAGTGTGCATCTTCGGTGTCATTGCCGCACTGCAGATCTTCATTCGGAACAAGACTGGTTTCTTGCTTACGCGAAGCATCTTGGGTCTCTCGGAGGCGGGGTATATCCCGGCTGCTATGTATACCCTTTCGACGTGGTATACGAGAGAAGAATTGACCAAACGCATCGCGGTTTTCTTTTTCGGAATGTTTGGGGGTGCTGCAGTCTCGCCGTTACTTGGTGCTGCGTTACTCAAGTTGGATGGGAAGGGGGGGTTGCATGGTTGGCAATGGATTTTCTTACGTGAGACATCTAGTTCCTCGCGATTAATCATTGTTGAACCCTACTGATATCCATAGTCGAAGGAATATGGTCAGCGCTTATGGCGTTCGCTTTGTTCACGCTACTGCCGGAGAGAGAAAGCATTACTGCCGAAAATTCCGATGAAGAGTCTGCCGGCAAATGTCAATCATGGAACGGGCCCACCTCGAAAACACTGCCCGTCAAGGTAGTATGGCAAACGCTAACAAACTATACCAAGTGGCCTCATTTCCTCGCCACGGCATGTGTCTTCGCAACGTGGAGTCCCCTCACTACGTATACCCCGACGATCATCATGTCATTGGGGTTCTCTCGGATCCAGGCAAACGCTCTCGCCGCGATAGGGAGCTTGCTTACACTGCCTGTCATTGTCTTTTTCGCTTGTCTGAGTGATTGGTCACGCCGTCGAGGGATGAGCGTTATGCTCGCAGTTGCTGTATATCTTGTTTCGCTTATTCTGCTGCGAGCTTTGCAGGCGCGCGTCGATAGATGGGGACGGTTTGGCCTCTGGACGACTGTAAATGGGCTGGCGGTCGGGTATCATCCGGTTCATAACGCGTGGATTCAGGTTAATTGCTCAAGTCCTGGAGAGAGGAGCGTTAGTGTGGCGTGAGTTTATACTTCGTGTTTTACATCCTGCAATATTTACTAACCAGATGGGTAGGATGTGTACGTTAACATTGTTTCTGAAGATCGGGTGTGCGAACGCTGACTGTGATTTACAGTTGTCATGTCTGCCACGGCTGGTCTCATGGCTGGGACGCAGATCTTCCGACATGATGATGGTTTGAATGGGTAAGTCGTCATTGGGTAACAGATGAAACTATATAAACTGATGAGACCGATATAGCTATCCCAGGGGAATACTAATCATGATAATCTTGGTTTTATCTGGCTTAATCTTGGTTGCTATCCAAAGCGCAATATACCGGGGACTAAACCGTTTTAGCAAGAGTCATATCGCCCAGGAGACCTGATGGATCAGCGTCGAAAACCAAACATTCCAAATTATCTGCTAAGCCCACAAGAGCAACCTCTACACAACCTCATTCCCTCCACTCTCGATATTTTCCTGCTCTTCCCTCTTCTTCGCTACCGTCTTAACCGACTTCCACTCTGGCACAAACGTAGCTAAAACCGCCACCGCCGCCAACGCAACCGAGATATAAAACGTCCTCACCAACGCACCATTATACGCCTCCAATGCCTCTCCCATATACTTCGGGGGCACTAAGTTCCTAACATCTGTCGCTCCCGCAGCGGCTACACTGCTCGCATCTACACCCGGAATATTCCTACCTGTCAATCTCTTCACCAGCTCATGCTGAAACCCATTCTGCGCCACAATAAGGAAGACAGCACCACCCAGCGTCTGATAGAATATCATAAGCGCTGTACCAACAGGAACGTCTTCTGAGGGCAGCGAAGCCTGCATAGCGAGGACGGTTTGCTGCGCGCCCATGCCAATCCCGGCGCCCATAATAACTTGGTATCCGGCCCATTTTACGGTCCCCGTGTCCGGAGTGAATGTCGTCATGAGGGCAGCGCTGATGAGCACCAGAATACAGCCCATGATCATAGTAGGAGTGTAGTACCCCATGGCGGAGACTAGGGCACCACTGAGAATGGAGAGCACGATAAGCGATACGAGCATGGGGAGGTTCATGATTCCCGATCGTACGGCGGAGACACCTTTGATTACTTGGAACCAGATTGGAAGCTGTTGGGAAACAGATGTCTGTTAGCGTGATGAAGAACTATGTTGTTGTCGTTGTCGCGAGGAGACATGATGATGAGGACTTGCATAATAAACGAGAATATAAAATGCGGCTCCAAGCATAGCGCTATACAGGCCGCAGCTCCAGACATTGCGGTTCCCAGCTACTCGTGGTGGGAACATTGCCATTTCTTTCTTCCTGCTCTGCACTATGCAGAAGACAATTAAGGTGACGCCGAAGATCACGATCAGGGCGACGATACGCCCGTTACTCCAGGACCACTTTGCCCCTCCCCATTCGATAGCGAGGAGGAGGCAGATAATGCTTGCACTGAAGAGTACCGTGCCTTCAATATCGAACTGGGTCAGGCGTTGCTTTAGTGGGCTACCCTTCATAGCGTCAGGGACGAAGGCAGGAGGTGGTGCATGGAATAGGAGAAGGATAGCCACGGCGCCGACTCCGCCCAGAGGGAGATTAATGTAGAAGCACCATCGCCAGGTGACTCTGTCCGTGAAAGCCCCACCCAATCTATGATTGATTTGTTTGTCAGCATTGAACTGTATACTTTACTGGAGAGACATGTCGAGGAAAGGGAAATATCTGACAATGGCCCAGCCACGGCTGCAGCACCCTTCAACCCTCCCAAAATACCTAAAGCTGTTGCCTGCAACTGCAAAGACATACTAGCAGCAATGAGTAAGATGGTGCCCGAAAGAAGTCCCGCCGAGCCTATTCCTGTAATAGCCCGTCCAAGTATCAAGCCAACCGAGGTGGGAGTTGCCGCTGACACTACGGACCCAATTTCGAAGATTACCAGATTTATCAGGTAAACCCATTTGATGGAGAACATGGTGCAAAGCCGACCGTGGAGGATCTGCGTGGCGCACATGGTCAGTAAATAGACTGAGCTGTACCATCCCATATCGTTGAGGGAATGGAAATCGTCCGTGATGACGGGGAGAGCAGGTGCCAGGATTGTGTTGTCCTGCCATAGTATCAACGCATTAGCTCTGCGTTTGTGTAACCGAGATTTCTGAAGCAGAATAAATATGAAATAATACCAGGGCAACTGCAAACATCACCAGATACAATGCCAATAGTATCGCAATCTGGCGCCATTTTGTCGGTGCGCTCGTGTAGGTGAGAGTTTCGTGCGCGATTTTCTCGGTGTCACTAGCCCTGTCCTCAACGCCGGGGGAATTTGCTGCAGAGACCGACATAATCTGAGAATATAGAATTGTGCTGAAAATGTGCAGTGGTCCCTTTCCAAATGATCATATACGATGGGGTGATCTGGAGTCTATCGTCTGTGGAGCGGATTTCCGGCCGGACTCGGGCCTGCAGCTCGGTCCGCAGATGGAAATTAATTGACGCACTATCACCAACCGGACCGGAATGGCTTCACCACATACAACATAAGTTCAACCCGTGGAACAGCTGAAGTCTTCATCCACTGGGCTTTGTGTTAAATTGTTCCGATAATACGTGTAACTCCGTACATAAGAAATCCAGCAGATACCCCAATCACCCCACGCATCCTGCACCACCGCAATGCCAGTCTACACAACCCCTGACTACTATACTACTTTCCCTGGGAATGCTCGATCGTCAACTGCACCGCAACTGCTGAAGCCACAAACGTGGCATTGCTAGCAGCATTGGGAACGTCCTTCGCCACGGAGGCATGATCCCCCGCCACAAACACCCCCGGCACCGTGGTCTCCATCGTGACATCCTTTTGCTTATAAATCCCACTTTCATCCAGCTCCAGTCCCAGCTGGCTGCTCCAATCATTTGTCATGACTGTATCCGGCATATGCGTGAGAAACCCCATATCTACATAGCTATTAGGATTCTCACTTCCGACTGGCTGTCCCAGCCAGACTCGCAGGATGTCTCGCGAATCCTCAGCAGCCGACACAACTCGTTCAAATGAACAAATCGGGCGAGATTCAATATTGAATCCTCGCGCTTCCGCGCCGGCCTCTTGTAGAGCGACCGTAGTCTCTTCATTGCCGTGGGTGAATAATGTTACTTTCTCGGCGAAACGACGAACCATCTGCCCGAGGATCAGGCCCACAGAGGGATTAGTGTGTAGTTGCGAGCTCTCTGCTACAAGTAGGCCTGCATTCGGTGCGCCACGCTCCTCATAACCATGGCAGAAAAGGCAGTGGAAGATGAGCTGGCCCCAGTTCTCAGCGTACCCCTCAATGGCAGGCATGATGTCGCGTATTCCCGTAGCGAGAACAAGTTTTGAGCCCTGATATGCAGTTCCATCTTCATCAGTAATTTCGAAGCGTGTTCCTATCCCGTCGTGGGGTAGCTTGCGCGCTTGGGTGATCTTCTTGTTGATGATGGTATTGGTGGTGTATCGATGCAAGAGGGTGTCGTGGATGGCGGAGCGGAAACGTGCAGGTTCCACATGCTAACGGCAACGCAGGAGTAGTTAGCATGTTGTATGCTGGATAGGTAAGAGGATGAATTAACTTACATCAAATCCGAGGACATTGTGCATATGGGATGTCTGGCGGTTGCGATGCTCCTGACTGTCGAACAAAAGTACCGAATGGAGCTTGCGGGATAACGCCAGGGCCGTGGCGAGGCCGGCGGGACCGCCTCCGATGATGAGCACGTCGGCTGTGGAGGCCATACTTATTTCCCGTTTGCAGTTCCTTTTCTCCTTGATAGCTGCGGAATGGAATAAATTGAGCTAATCAACATCTTGAAGGGTGCGAAAACAAGAGGGGATCGCAAAGTCCGTTAAGTAGGGCTTCAGTCCGGTTTGGGATCTCGGACCGCGGATTACCGTCACGTTACAGTTGCTCTCCACTGTTTTCCGGCGTGATTCCGATGCAACTTCGCTTTCAGCTCTGCACCAACGGAATTCGTATTGGCTCGTTTTATTAGCTAGTGTGTCTAGTCAACTGCAGCTCAGCCGCAGATCCGATTCAATTCTGTTTGCTTACCCTGGTTGGTATTGCGTTAGTGGCACGGACGCCGACAGCTGGACAACCGGTTATAGTACCAAGTGATGGATAAATATATATAGTGCGAATAAGTACTACTACACTATGATGACAGTGACCATTGGGAAATCAATTTCCAGTATCCAATAGCTTCATCTTTTTCTTGGTCGTATTCTGTGACGTCTTCGACTGCAACATGAGTCGCTTTTCTTGCATCTTCCCTACCCTAACGGATGGGTATGTCCCAAATCAAGATCACACTCGTGCCGCAGGTCGGCGAACATACACGATCGACCGGAGCGGATGGACCGCCCCAAGCAGTCAGACAGAATCGCACATTCTAGCAGCCTGGGGCCTTGTTCTATCCAGCTACGTAGGCACCGATGAAGTAGCTTTCTACATTGTGCCAACGACTGGTCCGGACACGACAGCTTTGGCTGAGTTGAAGGTCGAGGGAGACATGTCTCGCCGGTCCCTCATCAACGCTGCCCAGCAGTTGTTGCACCCAGGACCCGTGGGTGCCGGCCAGGTGTCCGGGGAGGCTGCCAACACGATAATCACCTTTGAGAAGGATATTGAGTCGTTATTTGTTACTCAGGCCGAGGTACGCGCGTCGCCACCCCGTATTACAGTGGCCTGGCTGGGCGTGTGGAAACTAACGGGCATCTAGGAGTCCTTCCTATCGTTACATGTTCATCGCGATGGGCAAGGACACGTCTCTCTATCTCTTACCTACCACCTATCTCTCTTGACAGACGCGCAGGCAGCAAATGTGGGCACTGCGATGGCCCAGGCGCTCGCCGAGGTGGGGGCAGACGACCACAACAGGTTAATCAAGAACCTCAATCTTATGAGCCCGACACATCTGGAAAACATCTGGCAGTTTAATGCCAATGTTCCCGGTATGTGGGAGGAGTGCTTTCATGATGTGATTGAGCGTCGCGCCGCAAATCGCCCACACTCCCTGGCGGTCGATGCCTGGGACATGAAGCTCACCTACGCCGACCTCGTAAGGGAGGCACGTCTGCTCGCCGCATACCTGCAGCACCGCGGCGTGCGTCCAGGATCCGTGGTCCCCATTTCGTTCGAACGGTCGGGAGCAGCTCTGGTTGCCATGCTGGCTGTGTCCAAGGCCGGCGGAGCCTTTGTCAGTGTGCCCCCGACTCTCCCTGCTGGACGACTCGACGCCATTCTGGAAGTCATCGAAGCACCGTTTGTGGTAACTTGGTCGAAGTACGAATCATTCTGGGCCGAACGCCTGCCTACGCTCCCTATCGACAACTATCCCAAACC